TCATCTTCGAGACTTCGAGTACACTCATTTCGCCTTCGATAGAAAATGTTAAAGTAACTAATGAATATAATTTACAATTTCAAAACTGATTCACTTAAAAAAAATCTGTAACAGAAATCATCTTTTTACAAATCACTTGGAGTATAAGATATCTCAGCCATGTTTAGCGATCTTGTGAGACAAAGTTTTGGATTTTTCTATGTTATTCTGGAAAAAAAAAAAAAAAACGAAGAAGTAAAATTTATGTATGTGGACTATGCAACATCAGGACTCCGATATCTGAAAGAAATTAACGAGCGAACTTATATGAGTTTGAATGAAATAAATTAATGTAATTGCTTAGGAAGCCAAGGAAGAAATGGAAACTGGAAAGCACATGCATATATCCCAAAGAAGAAAACCACTCTTTCTTGAAGTTGGAAGATAATTCACGTTTATGAAAGAAAAAAAAGGATAATTCAATTCACGTAATCTCACTTAGCAACTATCTCATCTCCAAGAATAAGGAAGAGATGGAAAGAACATGCATATATTCCAAATTTGACTAACGATTCTTGAATAAGGAAGAAATCGATATATTACTGGGATTTTTAGCAACCATCTAATCTCCAAACTAAGAAAGATATGCAAAGCACATGCATAAGTCTAGACTAACGAGTTTTACTTAAATTTGGGAAAACATATTTCATGTCATCTTACTATAGCTATCTTAGCGACTATCTAATCTCCAAAACTAAGAAAGCATTTAACAAAGAAATTAACAACACCAAAAAAACAAGGAAGAAATGGAAATTATTTCGTCACTAGGAACAAACTCTGACGCGGTTTTATTACGTTGTAGCAATTCATAAATCTTTGTTAACGGTAGAAATTAGACGAAAAATCCCTAACTAATAGAGTGAAATATTATATTTTCTGTCAAAAATATCCTATTGTGAAAGTGTTTGCTTATAAGAAACGTAATATTTTAGAGAATTTTAAAAATTGGTTAAGCGAATCTTTTAAAATTTAAAACGTAATAATGGTGATGTAAAGTCGTTAATGTCAAAAAGAGATATTAACATTAAAAACCAAAAGAAGAAACTTACGAACAAATTGTTCGAACTGACGACTACTTAGCTAAGAGCCTAATACATTCCTTCTCCAGGGCCCCTATTCATTGTATCTGTAAATTGTTGCAGTTGGGACGTTGGCCTCATAACACTTCATTAACTTCTTGTAGTAATATTATTATTGTTATTGGAAGCCATAGATGCATGTAAGCATAAAGCTGACACGGAGCTCGATATTGACTTCGTTTTCTTATATGCATGCATATATAAACATAAACATATATACATGCACTTATTCTATAGCTTATACTATTTCCTAAAACCAAAAATAAAATGTACTTTTCAATTAGTATTTCTTATAACTTATGAAGGCATATGGAAAAATGGAAAACAGAGGCATGTCCCGTAGTAATAAGAAATTAAGAATCACAGAACTGTCAAATATTGCAGAGATGCATATCATGCTCACGTAGAAAACCATACAAGCTTATGTTTAGAAATTTCTTATACGATAAGAGTTTGAACAGTCCAATAATATATATATATATATATATTTAACAGTCCAATAATATATATTTATTAACTTTATATGAATGCAGAATACCTACAAAATTTCTGCCAAGAATGGATGATGGATGGATAGTAGTAGTGGGTAAGTTCGAACCTCTTTAAATGCGAACACCATGTGTATGGCCATTTTTTCTTTCTTTCGGTGTCTAAAAATGTGTATGCTCTCACGAAAGAAAAATAAATAAAGAAAAGGAAATTAAAACATCAATCAATGGACCATTTCTACCAATAGTGTACATAGAATATAGTCACCACCTATTTATAAATAAACACTCCATATAAATATAGATACCCATACCTCCGTACTTTGAACATCATATTAACATCATCTGTTATTAAAGTTTGAAGTTATCTGTATCTCAATAAAACTATGGATAGACAATAACAAAATTTGAAAAAACGACTTTTTGGTCCATTCCTGGAAACAACATCTTTACACAAAATGTATCCCCACTACCCATTCAGAACGTCAGATTTCCGTGATACCCATCCATATCTTCGTAGCCTCAATGTCGTAACAACGAAAACATTAATTACTTAACTTTATACATAAAAAAAACATTGAGCTCTTGTGAAAAAGATATTCATGCAAGCTAATATTCAATGACACGGCGAACATTGTATATCTCAGCTGATTTCTATATTGATGTTCTTTAACTTTAAGGCTCACTCCTAAAACATTGATGTAAGGACCGTTTTTTCTTTTAACGCATGTATACAGAGCCGGCTCTGAAGATATTAAGGCCACAAGCCCATTTTTTTTTTTGGCCTACTATACATTACTTTTTTTGAAAAAGACTTGAAAAACAGAAAAAAAAATGAAATGGGGATTCGATCTCTTGGCCCTTGGAAGAGTAACTCTTAGTCTTAACCAGTAGAACCAATGAAACTTTCAGAAAAAAACGGCCGAATATCAACTATATAATTTGGAGGCCACAAGCAGATGCTTCATCTGCCTGTGTCAAGGGCCGGCTCTGCATGTATAAAATATAGATATTTTTTTTCTTCCAAATATCGTAATATATTCTATAGGAAATAGCAAAAGAAAAGAAAGAGAAACAGGGTTTTAAAAAAAGCCCCTAACTGCACATAGAATGTATAAACCCTATAGACTAGAGGCAGGCAATAGAATTATTTCGTAGATTGTAAAAGTTTACGAGTACCCACAGAGGCCACAGTGTGATAGATTCATCATCATAACTACACAAAAGACATTAATTGGAACCAAAAAAAGTCAATGATGCACCTGCAAAAACCACAAGGGGCCAACCCATTGTTTATTTACCTTTCACCAAAACTTATTTTATTTTAACCTATACTCTTTCTTTTTTTTTTTTTTTTTTTTTTTTTTTTTTTTTTTTTTTTTAACCTATACTCTTTCGGTTATACTAACATACGAAAAAGTAGTAGTAAATGAAGAATCACAGATCTCAATGAGGCTTCCTCTGTTTCTGGGATTTTCTAATGACAAATCTGATGTGGGTCGGTGTCCAATCCGGTTCTTTCTGTTTTGCCACCATTCAAGGCCATGCGGCCCATGCCTCGCCATTGATTCGAACTTCCTCTGATCACTGTTTTACTGGACTAAAAAAACATTGAAGTAAAAATATGCCAAAAACAAAAAAAAAACATCTGATATTTTGTGATCATTACTTTTTCCCCTGACAAGTAATTTATAAAGAATTCAAATATATTTTTATGACGACAAAAAACAAAAACTGACTCAATGAATAACCTGAAACCCAATCGGTTGTCTGAACAAGTCTGGGTAAGGTCAGAAGTAAAATAGTTTCGATACTTATGAAGATGGTGTAACAATTTTCATCACTTTGTGTATTACTCTAATGATGTTCAACTATTACATTGAATAGTTAACAACTTAACATAGCCAGAGCACGGATTTTATAGGTTACTCCTTTTTTGCTAATTAAGAAAAAAAAGGAAATAATAAAATAAAAATTCAACTGGAGCCACTTATGGCATCAACCAAGTTCAACTTTTAGATGAGCATTATTTTCCTTTAAGCAATGAAAGTTTGTGTTATGGCCATTTGCGCGAACCTATCAGAATTGTAATCAATGCTAACTAGTTCGTTGAGTTGCAAATGAGAATAGTAATTTTAAGTATTGTATCCCACAATTAGGAATTGAATCAAAAGTATGGGCAGACGAGGTAGTTGTGAGGAGTAAACGCCCATTCAATTGTCAATGGATGAGAGGTCGGTCATGTGTGATGGGTACTATGGGCCCTATCTTTCACCACACGGCCCACTCTAGCTTATTTTCCATAGAAATTTCAGTCCATTTATCTATCCACCCTCCCTTATCCAGAAATCAACAGCAATCACAGTACTATAAGAGCGTTGACAAAATACAAATAGTAAGAAAAATATATTCTAGGAGACTGAGATCGCAATTATTTATTTTTTCTTCTTCACCGTCTAAAAGAATCAAAATATGTATACTAATCAAAATATGCTCACTCTTTCATTTTTCTAACTTGTCTTTTTAAAATTTTAGATTTCATATGATTGAAAGAAATCATAGTTTCCATGATGGTCTCTCTCTTTCTCCGGTTATAGTAGCAGAGCACATTATTTCCACTTTGAAAAACAAATGTAATGCATTGAATCAGCTGGGCTTTAAGCATGGGATCTCAATTCTTCGATGCTGGATCATCTAAGGTTTTGGAAAAATACAGAAATTAGGATCTGTTTTTCTCTTTTTTATTCAGGTTTCTTTGTTCTGAATCCTTCTTTCTCTTAGCACTTGTTGCTAGTTCTGATTGTAATTTCTTGCTTCCTTGTATACTTTTTTTTTTTGTTATTAATGAAAGCCTTTAACAAAAAAAAAAAAAAGAAATCGTACGTCAGAATCCTTAATATTATTGAAAACACATCACATGTTTTTAACTTCCATGGTTAGTATTTTCTTATTTAAAACATAAATATATTAGAAAGTCATCAAAATAGTATAATCGCAGCAACTCTCTCGACGGTCCAACCAAAAATTAGCAACCACGTGAACCAATTTGACGAAAATAATTGGTTTCCGCGTTCATCACGAAATAACCAGAGACATATTGATCATCCAACGGTCAGTAACATCGTTCATTGCAGCACGCTAAGGCAGCTGATTACCACCTTAATTCCGACAAAAGTACCACTAACCCGTCTAACCCAAACCATATTACGTCAAAACGACATCGTTTACATCGTAAAATCTTCTGATGCACACTAGTTCGAAGAATCCTTTAATGGAGAGAGAATGTTCTTCTTCTTCTTCTTCTTCTTCTTCTTCCTCTCTCGTCGGATCTCTCTGATATAGTGATTTATCATCCTTCTCTGCTCCCTTTTCTCACAATTTCGATACTTTTGCCAGATAATTCTTCTCTTAACCTATAAGTTTGTGTCTCCTCGATCTCTCTTAGGACATTGCTTTAGCTTCTGGAGGCTGCTCATTAGATCTCTGTAAGTGCGTGAAAACTCAAAAGATCCTATCTTTTTTATTTTATTTTAGGGTTTTCGTTTTGAATTAGGGCTGAGATAAAGCGTGTGATTGTTCTAGGGTTGTGTATCTCCTTAGTTGAGGAATTGGTAGCTAAAGATGAAACCCTAATATGGTCTAGTATGTAATATAATCCGTCTTTTTTTTTTCTTTTGTCAATTATGGTATGCAGATTAGTGGGTTTAGGTCAAGTTCTGGATATGGATAAGGAGAAATCTCCTGCACCACCACCTAGTGGAGGTCTTCCTCCACCATCAGGTCGTTACTCTGCGTTTTCACCTAATGGAAGTAGCTTTGCAATGAAAGCTGAATCATCGTTTCCTCACTTGACTCCAAGTGGGAGCAATAGCTCAGATGCTAACCGATTCAGCCACGATATAAGCCGAATGCCGGATAATCCACCTAAGAACCTAGGCCATCGCCGGGCTCATTCAGAGATTCTTACTCTTCCTGATGACTTAAGCTTTGATAGTGATCTTGGTGTGGTTGGTGCTGCTGATGGACCTTCTTTCTCTGATGATACGGATGAGGACTTACTATATATGTATCTTGATATGGATAAATTCAATTCTTCTGCTACATCGACTTCTCAAATGGGTGAGCCATCAGAACCAGCTTGGAGGAATGAATTAGGCTCGACTTCTAACCTTCAGAATACACCTGGTAGCTCTAGTGAAAGACCGAGAATCAGGCACCAACACAGCCAATCGATGGATGGTTCGACAACTATCAAGCCTGAGATGCTTATTACAGGGAATGAAGATGTGTCTGGAGTTGACTCTAAGAAAGCTATTTCTGCTGCTAAACTCTCTGAGCTTGCTCTCATTGATCCTAAACGTGCTAAGAGGTATATTTCTTTTCTTAACGGTATTCCTTCTATGTTTTTAAGAAGCTGTGTATAGTGTTGGTGAATCAAACATGATCAAATTGTTGCCACCCTATTAGTTCTAGGTTTGTGGACAAATAGAAAAGAATAAAGTTCGGCTGGAATTTTACATAACCCTTCATCTAGAAGTAGCTCGCTCGTATACTAATCCATTACGGTAACTAGTTATGAATTTTTATAAGATGCATGACCTGTTGTATCATTTGATAGGATATGGGCAAACAGACAGTCTGCTGCGAGGTCAAAAGAAAGGAAGATGAGATATATTGCAGAGCTCGAGAGAAAAGTACAGACTTTACAAACAGAGGCCACATCTCTCTCAGCCCAGTTGACTCTGTTACAGGTTTGGAGACCAAATTCAATTCTAGACTATGATATTTGTTGTTAGTTTATTGTTTTAATCTTGTTCTCTTTTCATCCTTGTGTTCAGAGAGATACAAATGGCCTGAGTGTTGAAAACAATGAGCTTAAACTGCGAGTACAAACTATGGAGCAACAGGTTCACCTACAGGACGGTGAGAATCTTTTCTCACATACTTCCTAGGAGCTGATATTTCTTCATCTCTTTACTATCTCAATGCAAATGAACATTGTCAATGAATGTCAAAGGTGTAGTATATGCCATACCACATTCTGGATCTGTCAGTGTAGGATTATATGCCATGCTTGTGGTCATACAAAGCTTAAAATACAGATCCAGAATCTGGCATAATAACATAAGCATACACCTTCAAGACCCATTACCATTTCTCTGGTTAAGAAAGTCTGTATATATATTTGTCCCAAGTAGGGATTTTCGCTACACTTTGTTGTGAATGCTGCTACTTGATTGATCGTCTTTCTCTTTTTGACAGCTTTAAATGATGCACTGAAGGAGGAAGTCCAGCATCTTAAGGTATTGACGGGGCAAGGTCCATCAAATGGTACATCAATGATGAACTACGGTTCTTTCGGATCAAACCAGCAATTTTATCCCAATAATCAGTCGATGCACACTATCTTAGCCGCACAACAGTTCCAGCAGCTCCAGATCCAGTCACAGAAACAGCAGCAGCAACAACAACATCAGCAACAACAACAGCAGCAGCAACAACAACACCAGCAGCAGCAGCAATTTCAGTTTCAGCAGCAGCAACTGTATCAGTTTCAACAGCAGCAGCGGCTTCAACAGCAGGAACAACAAAGCGGGGCTTCAGAACTAAGAAGACCCATGCCTTCTCCAGGTCAGAAAGAGAGTGTGGCGTCGCCTGATCTTGAAGCTCCCTTGACAAAAGACTGAGTGTAGACTGTGCTAATGTCCAATTTAGTAAGTTACTCTTGGAAATCTCCTTTTTCATTGCAGGCTTGTGGATTTGGGATTATTGCATTATAGAGTTAAAAACAAGACAGCTTAGAAGTTGCGTATTTAGAAGTTGTTAGTGAAGCTTTGGTTCTTATCTGTTGGTAGTTTACAATCTTCTCTTTGTATGATCCTAAGCTCTTAAAAGGTTCTTGGATTTGGTCATTTGGTTAGAACTGGGTTCTTAATCCAAGTCTGTAGTCGTTTAACTATATTCATATTCTTTGGCTTCTGTTCATTTTGGTTATTTGAAAAGTTTCATTTGGTCTTGGCTTTGAAGATTGTGATGTCTAAATAAAACCTTGAATTTGCGAGTGTTCTATATCAAAGCATAAAAGATAGTTACAAAGAGAAATGTGTTTCCAAGGATATGGATTACAGATTTTATCGATTAAACTCACACAAAGTTGAGGAAACAATTTCTGGTAGAGAACTGAACCGAACCCAACCAAACCAAGCCGAAACTGTCCTTCACAATATTGATCTCTTGCAACAGCAAACCGAAACCCCTCCTGTGGCCATGGAAGACTAACCTTGTCTCCATGTTTGCTGGAGATGAAGACAGATTTAAACAAAGGAGATAAGCAAGTTTTTTTTTTGTATATACATGACAATGCTTAGCATATCCTCCTCCTAGCAAACTTTGGAGTAGTCCTGCGATCTTAGCCTTTGAGAGAATCCTTGAGAGAGAATGGAGGAAACGCATCCTATCATAAGACAATAAATAGCATTTAAACACAGGTACCTACTATTCCCACGGTATATGAGTAAATACTGAAATACGATGATTACTTTGCCATTCTCCTCAGTCAAGTATTGTCTCACAACTGTCACCTGTTGTATGATCCTTTCCATTGGTGTGTAGCTTGGGTGGTTTGTGTGTTCTAGACAATGTGAAGAATGAGTTAAAACTTGTAATTTGCTAAGGTCACAGGAGGGCAGAGAATTTCGTGGAGGTAAAAATAAAAAGAACTTACCAAGAATCGTGCGGTTCAGATTATCAGCAACCTGTTGTCGGTATTCAGAGCTCAAAAGATGGAACATTGGGGATTTCTCAGGGTCTTCATAAGCCAGCAATGCCATTACGTCCTGCCTCAGGAAAAACAAATCTCCCATCAGTTGGAAGAACAGAACAAGTAATCTGCCAATACATCAAGATGGATATAATAGAGGATCAAACTTACTTCAAGCTTTTCTACATATTTTGGGACCTTCCCAAAAGGAGCCAATCTTGTCTGAGCAAATTCAAGAGCTTCTGTGCTGCACACGCAGAGAATCATTTTAAGATTCAAGGCACTGAGAAAACCTGAGTTCCTTATGAAAAACCAATCATAAATTCTCACCAGTTCCCAGCACAGACTCGGTCGACAAAATGAAGGCATAGAAGATCGAAGTGCAAATCCTTGTTTTTCTCAAGCAAGTCTTGTGCTAGTTGTTCAGTTAGTTCAACAGCCTTCAACGCTTTCCTCTCCAGTATAAAATGTATTATTTCTGAATATTTAACAATCACAACATATAATCACAGAGTAGATAATCAATGAAAGACAAGTTGTACTCACGTTTTCTTCTCTCCAAGTTATCACGATCAATTGCGGGTTGCTTAACTCCAGTGCAAGAAGCAAGTGAGTCCGCAGTTTCGTTGAAGCAGTTATGCAGAAGATATGACATTACAATGCTGTGAATATCATTATCATCAACAACCTGGTCAACAAAGAAAATTCTTTTTTAGAGGATAACAACAGTATACACAATTTCCAGATTCCAATAACTTAATATAACACTGCAGTTCCAAGGAGAGTAGTACAGCTTCTAATTCTGGATAAAAAAGCCTAAAATGACTTGTATTCATACTAAGAGCCACCACCAATACACAAGACGATAAGCAATGCATATCCATTCATGAAAACCTAGAATAATCAATCCATAACCCAATCAAATGAAAGCGGTGCGATCATCGTTGAGCAGGATCGTTATTCTAATTCTGAAATCTCGTCATAAAACATTTGAGGGAGAGAATAACGTACGGTGTGTTCGAATTGACGAGGATCCATATTGTTTCAGAAGATCCGTGTAATGCTCCAATAAATCCACTAAACGCCGGTGCGAGAAGTAAACTATGGATCTCCGTCGCCGGAGGGGAAGAAGCCAGATGAGATGGCCAAATTCGGTGAGGTTTGAGTCGCCGAATATAGTTTACGATGTGGTACACTAAACAATTGCAACAGTGTTTGGATTTTTATTTTCCATTTTTGAAGATTTTTTTCATTATTACTTTAAAATGTGATTTTGTAATCTCTATTTGATATCAATGAATTTAACTGGAAAAAGAAAATGTTACTTGCTTAGGGAAAAAATCTTATAGAATGAATAATTTGAATTATATATGGTTTTATTTAATAGTATTCATAATAGATAATTATATTTTTTTAAATCCAATTAATAAGATAATTTGTTTATTATTTTTTAATTACATTAATAAGGATAATTACCAGTTGGACTTGGACACAAAACGTTATTTCCAGTTGGACTTTATATAATAAGATATGAACTAAAGCGTTACGCTACGGAAGGATTTAGGATCTGTTCGCAGCTTCCGTTTCAAAGCTAAATCCAAACAATAAAAGAAGATAATCAAAACAAGATTATTCAAAATCGGATTATCTTCTTTCTTCATCGTTTTTTTCCCCGTGAGAAGTTTTCGTTTTTGAATTAGGGTTTTTGGAGAATTCTTCTCTTCTTCTGCTGCAAAAGGTTTATTGTTTGCTCCTTGTCCTGCGATTGAATTAGTCTTTTGTTAATTGTTTATCTCAACTTTTAATTTCTCTTTGTGATTATTGTAGCTGATTCCTCGTTAACCTCTGAAACTTGTTAATCGTTTCTGGGTTTTGATTGCTCTGTTTCTTTAGGATCAAAAGAACTTTTTTTCCGTTTCTTCATCTGTGTTGTAGATGAATGTTAATTTAGGATCATCAAGGGCATATGTGTGTAGAAAATCTCTGATTCATGTGTGATCATGCTGAATTTTTGATTTGATTACTCAAAATTTGAATCATTTTACTAACTTGATTCTAGTTTCTGGTTTAGCTGTGAATTGAACCCAAGTTACCAACACATGGCTCACATTCTTGTTTCTTTGAGCAGTTTTTGTTTCACTCTTTTCTTTTGAACAGTTCATGGATCCTAAAGAAAATTTGATGGGGAATAGAGTCGCATAGATACTTTTGTTTTCTGATCATATATTTTGGTCTTCTTGACGGCGTGTTCTTGTTTGCTATACACTGAGACTGATTTCCTCTCTCATTTTTACTCAAGGAATTAAGTTGTGCACTTGTGTGTTTCAGGTTTTCACAAGATATGGGTGGCTCTGTTGGTGAAGAAACTGAGCCAGAATGGATTAAGAGAGTGAAACTAGAGGGTGCTGTTCCGTGTCTTAAGCCAGACAACTGCCAAAATGGTTGGACTACGCCATCTCCTGACACATTTATGGTTAGAGGACCAAAGTATTTCTCTGACAATGTTAAAGTTCCTGCTGGTGATTTCCTTCTAAAGCCTCTGGGTTTTGATTGGATCAAAGGTCCTACAAAGCTTTCTGAGATCCTGAGTTATCCGAGCAGCCGAATCAGGAAAGTTATCGATGAGGAGTTTCAGACCGATGGAACTAAGCCTTTTGTATGGGCATTCAATCTCCAGCTTCCTCACAAAGACAATTACAGTGCTGTGGCTTACTTTGTTGCCACAGAGCCTATCCTTGAAGGCTCCCTGATGGATCGGTTTCTAAAAGGAGATGATGGGTTCAAAAAATCAAGGCTTAAACTGATTGCAAACATTGTCAAAGGCCCTTGGATCGTAAGAAAAGCTGTTGGAGAGCAAGCAATATGTGTGATTGGACGTGCACTGTCTTGCAAATATGTTTCAGGAGAAAACTTTGTGGAGATTGATGTTGATATCGGTTCTTCAATGGTCGCTAGCGCCATTGTTCATCTCGCATTTGGTTACGTCACAACATTGACCGTTGATCTTGTGTTCCTCATTGAGAGTCAGACGGAAGCAGAGCTTCCAGAAAAGCTACTAGGAGCTGTGAGATTCTCTGAGCTGCAGACCGAGTCAGCCAAGTTTATCGAACTGAGCACCAGTAATGAGCGGTGGGATCAAACTACCTCAGAGCGGTCGAGCTGGTGGAAATCGATTGGTAATGGATTCTCTAATCTGCTTAACCAAGATACAGCCAACATGAACAACACTTCTCATGGGGAAATCCAGAACCAGAAGGATGAACATGTACAACAAAAGCAGTAAGTGTTTTGGGAGTTAACTTCACAATTCTTTGAATTTGTTCGATCTCATTTACCAAAAACACACAAACAAAAACTTGTCAATTCTTAAAAAACCGCAGATGTATAGATTGGGTTTTTACTAATATGGATGGATATATCCAACAACAATTCTTGTGACCAACCAACCATGCCTAATTTTGTATTGGTGTCTTTTAGGATCATTTTTTTTCTAGAACAGGCTACATTTCTTTGTTTGTTAACATATACCAGTATATTTTTTAATGATTGCAATAATCGTTTTTATGATTGAGAAACCGAAAAATTGAAAAAAGAAGAAGAAGAAAAATCTGATCGAATGGTACATATTAACATAACATGTCGTCATTCCAAAGAATAAAGTCACATGTCATTTTCAAGATTACGTGTAGTCGTGTAATATTCTAATACTCCCTGATTTGAGTAATGCCCAACTCTTTCTTTCTTGATGAAGCCCATTTTTTTCTGTAAAAATCTTTCTAGAAATCGTAACAATTCACGAGACTTGAAATCCGAGCATATCATATAAAAAAAAGTCTAGTGGTAGTAGTGGAATTATTGAATTAGTTTAGTAGTCAAAATAAATGATATGTACACACATATTTGACTCGATTAGTAAAAAAAAGGGAACACAAATCTCTACTACATGAGAAAATAACAAGCATATAAAATAGCAAGTTTTGACCAAAAATAAAATAAAATAGCAAGTGTGAATACAAAAATAATATCTGAAGGTAGAAGAGATGACGAGAGGAAGAAGGAGAGCCACAGAAAAGGAGTGGGACCCAGGAGACCTTGCTGTAAGAAGCAGAGTGTTTCCTTTTGATACGCAGGCAGAATAATTAAAACAAGCAACAAGATTCATCAAATCCTTATCTTCTCTCTTTCACTCACCACCAATTGCTCCCACCAACTTGTTCCCCTCAAAACACTCTCTCTTTCTTTTATTCTCTCATCTCCATTTCTCAGAGCTCTTTCTCTGAATCTACGCTTCTGCTAAGCTGCTCATAGAAAAGCCACACAAGCAATAAACCCTTCTTTTTAAGTATTCTGATTCCTTCTTGACAAACCTAGATTTGTTGGTTTCTTGTATACGGACGGTGATGAAGATACAGTGTGATGTGTGTGAGAAAGCTCCGGCGACGGTGATATGTTGTGCCGACGAAGCTGCTCTCTGTCCTCAATGCGACGTCGAGATTCATGCCGCTAACAAACTCGCTAGCAAGCACCAACGTCTTCATCTTAATTCTCTCTCCACCAAATTCCCTCGTTGCGATATCTGCCAAGTAAGTTCTATTACAGATCTCTTTCTCTAGGTCATTGATTACATCTTGACAAAGATTTGATAGATTTTCCTTAGTTTGGATCTACTCTTTTAACATAGTTTTGAATTTTTATAGATCTTGTAGCAACTATTGTGTGTATGCCTTGTTGTTTAAGACTAGGGTTTGCTCATTTATGTTTTTATGACTTGTAGGAGAAGGCAGCTTTCATTTTCTGTGTAGAGGATAGAGCTCTGCTTTGCAGGGACTGCGATGAATCCATCCACGTTGCTAATTCTCGATCTGCTAATCACCAGAGGTTCTTAGCCACTGGGATCAAAGTAGCTCTGACCTCAACTAGCTGCAATAAAGAAATGGAGAAGAACCAACCTGAGCCTTCCAACAACCAACAGAAACCTAATCAGATTCCTGCTAAATCCCCAAGCCAGCAGCAACAACCTTCTTCTGCTACTCCTCTTCCGTGGGCTGTTGACGATTTCTTCCACTTCTCTGATATCGAATCCACTGATAAGGTAGTGATGAGAATTGAGATTCAATGTTAGATCCTTTTATAGCACTTTGTTTGCAAGAAGTTGTTATTGACTTCTTCTTCTTGTCTAAAAATTGAGCAGAAAGGACAGCTTGATCTCGGGGCAGGGGAGTTGGATTGGTTTTCAGACATGGGATTCTTCGGTGATCAGATTAATCACAAGGCTCTTCCTGCAGCTGAAGTTCCTGAGCTTTCTGTTTCGCATTTAGGTCATGTTCATTCATACAAACCCATGAAGTCGAATGTTTCCTACAAGAAGCCGAGGTACGAGATCAGAGATGATGATGATGATGAGGAGCACTTCATTGTCCCTGATCTTGGCTAAAAAGCTATATGTAAGCTATGTGTAGACATTCTTCAATGTAAAAGAACAAACAAAACCTATCTGCATAAGGATGATGTGTGGAGTCAATGTCATATACATTTTTAGTTTTGTCGTAAGTTGTGTAAGATATGTTGAGAGCTTATAATAAATGTCTGTGTGTTGAGTTTTGTTCATACCTCTTGAACATGGTATATCCGTTATCCGTATATGCTTAATGCTTGATGCTACAAACCGATTTTAAATGTGTTCGCTCTGTTTTTCTTAGGTTTTTTTTTGTTTGTTCGATGATTATTACTCTGTTTTCAAAGGCTTGAGAAACAATCCTCAATGCAATTTACGATTCCAAACAGTTGACTAACAACTACAAATAACTCTTTGTTATCTATTAGCAAGAAAAGCTTAGAAGCCACAAGTCTGTTTTATTCAATACAATGAAGAAGAAGAAGTAAAGACAAACAGAAAAAGAAAAAACCTTTGGGATCCTTTCATTACAAATGATCAGAATCATCAGCAAGACTCCAAATTTACAATAGACAAGGAGAATTGTGGACATAAAAGATAAGTTTTACGGTTCTATTTGTCTCTTAAGAAAACTGAGAGCTTCACAATCTGAAGGAAGAGCTGGAATGGCTCCCTTTTTAGTCGTCGTGATGGCTCCACAAGCATTTGCAAATCTCAGCACTTTTCTCAATCTCTCTTCCTCCTGAGAAAAAAAAGAAAAAACAGTAAATATCATCAACAAGATTCATTTGGTTGAGTTGAGTAGACACAAGATCAATGGGAGTTACCTCGAGTACAGATTGATCATCAACAATCTGGCTTAGAAGCGCACCAACGAAAGAATCACCAGCTCCAGTAGTATCCACCGCGTCCACATGGAAAGTTTCAACAGATCCATGGAAATCCTACACAAGAGAGAGCATCAATTAAAAGCACACCATGATCATCATCATGATGAATATTTGTGGTCCATTACTTACCTTAGTGTAGTAACGACATCCGTTTTCGCCAAGTGTAACAAGCAAGAGCTTCAAATTGGGATGCCACAGAGACATAGCTGTCTCATCATCGATCGTTTTGTTCCCGGTCAAGAACTCAAGCTCGACGTCACTGACCTTAATGATATCAGCCTTGTCCCAGATGCTCATGATCTGAGTCCGAGCTTCTTCAGGTGATGGCCAAAGAGGTTCCCTCAGGTTTGGGTCGTAGGAAAGAAGAGCTCCGGCTTCTTTCGCCACTTCCATTGCCTTCATGTGAGCTGATCTACATGGCTCTGTTATCAAACTTATTGATCCATAGTGGAACACTTTCGCCTGCCAAATAAAGAAAAAAATATGCATCAAATCTCCAAAACAAGTAAAATCTTGAAATCTTGAAATCTTTAAAACAGAGATAAAGATTTTCCGTACGGATCTGATCAGTTCGAGGTTGAGTTCGTCTGGCCGGAGAAGCATATCGGCGCTGGGATTCCGGTAGAACATAAACTCTCGTTCTCCATCGGAACGCAGAGTCACAAAAGCGAGTGCGGTTCTTGCTCCTTTATCGAAATAGATCCCCTGATCGTCGACGCCGTTCTTTCTCAAGATTCCGGCAAGCATATGGCCGAAATCATCGTCCCCGAGTTTTCCTACAAAGGCGGCACGACCTCCGAGACGTGAGACGGCGATGGCGACGTTGGCCGGAGCACCACCGGGAGCTTTGAGAAATCCGGAGGATTCAGAGAGGGAGACGCCGGATTCCGTGGGGACGAAGTCAATGAGCATCTCACCGAAGCTCACGACGAGACCTTTATCGCCGGTGGATGGTGTGTTGGATGATGTCATTTGAACAAGATCGATTTTGCGTTCGAGAGATCGAAGAATGATGACGATAGAGAGAATGAAGAGTGAACGAAGTTTTGAGTAGTTTATATAAGGCTCAAAGAGAGTGAAGACAGAGTTTAACTCTTTTGAGGTCATTTTTTCACATAATGTTTTTCTTTAAGAAAAAAATAATAATCATAAATAATTCAATCCTTGATGTTTGAAAAGTGGAATATATAAGTTTATAGAAATTCCAGTTATACTATATCTTGGATTTCAGATTTATTTACATTTGAGCAAAAAAAAATTTCTATCTGAATTTCATTTTGTCCATAATTGTAGTTGATAAAATTCTTTTGGTTCAATGGATTACATATTGAAACAATAAAATTTCATTAAGGTTCAATGAATTCAACGTTTCTATATGGTTATGAAACATTCCTATATGGTTGATCATGGAAATTAAAAACTTTGGATAGTGGATAAGAACAAAACACTCTCATTCACACTTTGACATAAATAATTAGTATTTTTCACCTTAAAAAATGATTCTAAATCAGATACTAACACCATAATGGACCAAAGTGTATTTTATTTTTTGGGTCAATATATATAATTATCTATGATTATACAATTAACAAAAAAGAAAATTTGGTGGAGCAACAAATGTGAAGTCAAATGCAAGAAATAACAGTTACATGTCGCATGGGTTCAATTTCACAGTTTCACATAAACTTAAGTCTCTTCAATCTGATTAAAAAAACTGTGGGATCCTTTTATTTCAAATCAGACTCATCAGTATGGATCTCTAAACACACACAAAATCACAATTAACAAGGAGGAGCCGTACAACACAATTTTGAGAATTTAAGGTAAGTTTGACGTTTCTTTTTGTCTTTAAGAAAACTAAGAGCTTCACTGTCTGTAGGAAGAGCTGGAATGGCTCCCTTTTTAGTTGTCGTGATGGCTCCACAAGCGTTTGCAAATCTCAGCACTTTTCTCAATCTAGCTTCATCCTAAGAAAAAATGAAAAAACGATATATATCATCAGTAAATCCATTTGATCAACTAAGGAAGATTCATTCAATTGAGTACACACCTCGAGTACGGATTGGTCATCAACAATCTGTTTTAGAAGTGCACCAACAAACGAATCTCCAGCTCCGGTAGTATCTACCGCGTCCACAAGGAATGTTTCAACAGATCCATGGAAATTCTACAGACACACATATACATATAAGCTAAAGAAGTAAGAGCAAATCAGCGTCCCAATATAGTGAATCAGCATTGGAGACTTGAAAAGTAGCTTTCTTTATTAACAAGAAAAAAATTGCTAATGGGACATTTATACCTTTGTAAAATAAGTACATCCCTTTTCGCCAAGAGTAACAAGCAAGAGCTTCAGATTGGGATGCCATAGAGACATAGCTGTCTTATCATCCATCGTTTTGTTTTCAGTCAAGAACTCAAGCTCAACGTCACTGACCTTAATGATGTCAGCCTTGTCCCAGATACTCATGATCTGTGTCCTAGCTTCTTCAGGTGATGGCCAAAGAGGTTCCCTCAGGTTTGGGTCGTAGGAAAGAAGAGCTCCGGCTTCTTTCGCCACTTCCATTGCCTTCATGTGAGCTGATCTACATGGCTCCGTTATCAAACTTATTGATCCATAGTGGAACACCTTCGCCTGCGCAAACAAATACAATTTTGTATCAAATCATATTTATGTTTATGTTTAATTAGTGTATTTTTTTCAAATAAAGTCATAGGTTCATAACCTTAAATTACATCTTTTTAAAAAATCATTTGTTAACCGTAAATGTAAAAGCAAATTAATGCAAAAAGGAATGGCCCGTGAATTGATTTATCACCTTTCGTTGATTTACGTTTCAATTAGTAAGAGTGAAATTAGCAAACTAGGGTGAAAAAAAAAAAAAAAAAAAAAAAAAACTAGGGTGAAAATTACACGTGGCATATTCTATTGAAGAAAATTATAAGAAGAAACGAGTAAAATCTTGAAAGTAAAGATTTAACGTACGGATCTGATTAGTTCGAGGTTGAGTTCGTCTGGCCGGAGAAGCATATCGGCGCTGGGATTCCGGTAAAACATAAACTCTCGTTCTCCGTCGGAACGCAGAGTCACAAAAGCGAGTGCAGTTCTCGCTCCTTTGTCGAAATTGATCCCCTGATCGTCGACACCGTTCTTTCTCAAGATTCCGGCGAGCATATGACCGAAATCATCGTCTCCGAGCTTCCCAACGAAGGCGGCACGACCTCCGAGACGTGAGACAGCGATGGCGACGTTGGCAGGAGCACCGCCGGGAGCTTTGAGAAACCCAGGGGATTCCGAGAGGGAGACGCCGGATACGGTAGGGACGAAGTCAATGAGCATCTCGCCGAAGCTCACGATGAGACCTTTCTCGCCGGTGGATGAGGCCATTTGAACAAGATCGATTTTGCGTTCGAGAGATCGAAGAATGAAAATGAACGAAGTCTGGAGTAGGTTTATATAAAGGCTCCAAGGGTTTAAATCTTTTGAGGTCACATAATAAACAAGTCAAACCTTGAAGATTTGCTTGAATTGAAACGAGGAATATATTTTGAATTTCAGATTTATTACTATTTCTGCACAAATTCTTCTATCTGATTTTCATTTGTTCCATAATTGTAGTGTTACAGCTTTTAAGGTTCAATTGAATTCAACATTTCTACATGGTTGATCATGAAATTATAACTTTGGATATATATAGTGGATAAGCACTTAAATCTACTCTCACCCACTCTTTGACCCAATTCATGTCTCAATATTGTAAGTTTTTTTCACTATTAAAAAATGATTATAAGAGCATCTCCAACCAAAGAAACTGATGGGAGTTTCTCAATTATATTATTTTATTTATTTAATAATAAATAAATTATTTATTTAATTTTAAATTATAGAAAAGACAATCTGACCAATCATATAAACCCAACTATTAAAGTGGGTGTTTCAGAGTTCTGGTTCTCTCTCACCTTTTTTCATTACTTTTTATTTTTTTAATCTCCAGACACTCTTTGAGAAACTGCCATTGGAGATGGTCTAAGTAAGTCATATAGTAACACCATATTGGACCGAACCAGATTAAAGAGTTCAGTACATCCATAGTCGGACTAGGAAGTTGACACAAAAAAGTTGGACAAGTTTTAGAAAGATGGATTAGCTCATAGATCTATTTAAAACTCTGAAGTCTCTTTATCATATAGAGACAATTAATCAAATGTGAAGTCAATTTCAAGAAATAAAAGTCGGTGCAAAGGCTAACAAAATTTGTATCTTGAACCAAAGTTATGATAACAAGTCGTTCAAACGACAATAGCTATATTTCATATTTTGTAGCCTTGATATAACACAACACAAAACATAAGAGAAACAAAAATTAGCTAGCTTCTTTATAATATATCATCCTTGCAAAAAAAAAAAAAAAAAAAAAAAAAAAAAAAATATCATCCTTGCAAGGGAAAATATTCACACAGAAAAAAACTGCTAAACACTCTTCATCAAGCTTCCTGGGCGATTCACTTTTCAATTTATTTTCCTAGAAACATCTAGAATCATCTACTCATATTCGCAAACTAATACCAATACCATTAAAACATGTTTTCATCATCTTCATGGAAGACTGAAAAAGGAAGAGAAGAAAAGGAAAACAACAATAGAACCAGGCTCTCCTTTATTTAAGCTCTTTTGCAATCTCTCGATCGGACTCAGGCAAAACTGTTTCATCCGTTATGACGGAAGAATCACCTGCACTTCCGTTCTGGTTTTCTTTTGGTGCTTGTTCCTGGTTCTGGTTCATCATTGATTGCATATCCTGCATTCTTGTGCGGACAACACTCGTCACCAATACTGCAAACAAGTAAAAGACTGGTCAGTATAACGCATACATATGATCTCATGATCGATCCATCGAGAGTAAATCAACCGGTATATAGATAGAGGCAAGGGTACACGAAACACAGTAATTAGAATAACAGAAAGAGTATCATACTAGCAGCAGTGCCGATAGTCCATATCCAGAGGATCTTCAAACCAGGGCTCTTCTCTCTTCCCATTTCCTTGCATCACAAATTTCATTCCAACTTTTTAGCAAAGTGACAAACTAAAACCAGACTACGGTTTGGCTAAACAGAGATCAGAAACCTAAACCAAATGATCAAGGTTTTGTTTCTTGAGACGAATCTAAACCAAACAAGAATAATCATTCAATCTACAGATGGGGATTATTTGGTTTACTAGAGATCAAACTGCAGTAAGCAGAAACTGGTTATAACTGCAGAGAAAAGGGTTTAGAGATTGCAAAAACATCTTTCACCAGATTTTACACCACATACATAATCGAAACCCAATTATAACAATCTCGCAAGGTTTTAATCCCAGCACATAGAAGCTCAAAGAACTAGGATTTCAGATAAACGATAAACAAAATGACAAGTCTCAGCTGTTCAAAACCCTTGATTTGACACCGAACCCTAAATCTCTCAATACAGCAAAAAGGAGTTTCAGTATTGGGGATTAAAGTTTACAATATTGAAAAGTGAATGCTACTTTCTAAAATGAGAAGTGCTTGGGTTGAGCAAACCAACATTCGCGATATCGAGCCAATGTAGTTCCCTTAAAAAAATTTGAGACGGAAACAGATCCAGATAAGTTTAGAGAGAGATAAAAACGATACCTTTCGCGATTCAAAGAAAGACCCAGAGAGCTTGTAAGCGATGAAGATCAGCCCCCACCCAGCGAGCGAATTCAGCGAAATGTCAAATGAAAGAGACTCACTCGGAAGAAGAAGAATCTATCTGGTTTCATTTATTATAACCGGTATCGTAAACCGAATTAAACCAACATATTATTTGATTTCACTAGGGCTAAGGCCGTCTTTTACTTTGTTTTTAATCAATTTTGGTGTATATAAGAGCATGATTAAAGGCAAGCTCTTATAGAAATCTTAAGTTTTTCTTAACATTTAATGCAATATAATTTAATCAACTTTGTGCTTTAATGTTAAGAAACGTTCCTTAGCTAAGGAACGTTCCTTAGCTAAGAGCCCTGTTCTAAAATCTCCGCCTATCCCGATTACTCCCCGCTTAATCGCTAGGCCCACCCTATCCGCCTCGATTAATGACTAATCCCCTAAAGAAATAAGTTACCCGATTACTCTCCGTCTAATCCGATTACTTCTCGTCTAATCCGATTACTCCCCGCCTAATTTTACATATCCCGATTATTTTTAGATTTCAACTATAAAACATTTATGCTTTCTGTTATTTATGTTATAAATTGTATCTCATGTATGTTTTAATTTTTTTTAATTTGCAACTATTATTAAATTTTCTATAATTATAAATTTTATTTTTGTGTTAATTTTTTTTCCTAAGAACCACATGTTAAGAGCCTACCATTAATCACACAAAAATCTTAACTCAAAAATACTATCTCTTAACAATCACTTTTACACATATATTACTTAAATATTGCTAAGAGATATTTCTAAGATACTACCAATAATCATGCTCTAACGGTGTTTAGACTATCTGACGTCATCGTTTCGCATTTATATTTCGCCACATGTTTATATGTTGCGGTCTTTATATTTTTATCTCTCATTCTTCATGCTTCTATGCCAATTGTTGGTTCTTTCATCACACTGCTTTTAAAGTTAACAACGTCATTACCTCGATCATGCATGTTCTCAGTTCTCCATTTGTCCTCCTTTAGCAAATCGTAACCAAAATGCAATTAAGTACAGTATATATATTTTATAATGAAATCACATCTATTTTATAATGAAATTAGAGGCTATATGTATCAACAAAGACGTACTTTCTCAAATTGTTTTCTCATTAATTTTATTTTGAATTTTGAACTAAAGCACCACCTACCATCTTATGCTTATGGAATGGGCCGGCTCTGACCAACCCTATTTTAATAAGGGACCAAACCACCACCAGTCACCACTAGCAATTACGTCGAAGTAGGTATGGCTTTATCGACTGGTCTAAATTTGTTTGGGGTTTTCCTTTTCCACGTACGAATAGTTTGGGTCCTTTTCTTTAATAGAGAGATATGCGGCATTTGTTTTATAAATAAGAGTTCCATTGCTGGCAGTAAAATTAACAATAAAAGGAGTTCCATTTTTCTATCTTTCTCCACTCCAAAACCAGAAAGAAAAAACACACATCATGACGACAACAACGAAGAAGCCGCACGTTCTGGTCATACCGTTTCCACAGTCCGGTCACATGGTTCCACATCTTGACCTCACTCATCAGATTCTTCTCCGTGGAGCCACCGTCACTGTCCTCGTCACACCCAATAACTCTTCCTATCTCGATGCTCTCCGTTCACTTCACTCCCCGGAACACTTCAAAACCCTAATCCTTCCTTTTCCTTCTCACCCTTGTATACCTTCCGGTGTCGAAACTCTCCAGCAACTTCCTCTCGAAGCTATTGTTCACATGTTTGATGCTCTCTCTCGTCTCCACGACCCTCTCGTTGACTATCTCAGCCGTCAACCACCGTCGGATCTCCCCGACGCTATCCTTGGAAGCTCATTTCTCAGCCCTTGGATTAACAAAGTAGCTGATGCTTTCTCTATTAAGTCCATTTCTTTCTTACCCATCAATGCTCATTCGATCTCCGTCATGTGGGCTCAAGAAGATAGAAGCTTCTTCGACGATCTCGAGACTGCCACAACGGAAAGCTACGGGCTCGTCGTCAACACTTTCTACGAACTCGAGCCTCAGTTTGTAGAAACTGTTAAAACACGTTTCCTGACTCACCACCGTATCTGGACCGTCGGACCGTTGCTCCCCTTTAAAGCCGGCGTTGACCGTGGCGGGCAAAGCTCAATCCCGCCGGCGAAAGTCTCCGCTTGGTTAGATTCGTGTCCTGAGGATAACTCCGTCGTTTACATCGGTTTTGGAAGCCAGATCCGGCTCACGGCGGCGCAAACGGCTGCTTTAGCGGCGGCGTTGGAGAAAAGTGGTGTGCGTTTCATATGGGCGGTGAGGGACGCAGCTAAAAAGGTGAACTCCAACGATAACTCCGGCGAGGAAGATGTGATTCCGGCGGGTTTTGAAGAGAGAGTGAAGGAGAAAGGACTTGTGATAAGAGGATGGGCCCCACAAACTATGATTCTTGAGCATCGCGCCGTTGGATCTTACCTAACTCATTTGGGTTGGGGTTCGGTTCTAGAAGGAATGGTCGGAGGAGTTCTGTTGCTTGCGTGGCCGATGCAAGCAGACCACTTCTTCAACACGACGCTGGTCGTTGATAAACTAAGAGCCGCAGTGCGAGTTGGAGAGAACAGAGACTCGGTTCCTGACTCGGACGAGCTCGCTAGAATTTTGGCTGAGTCGGTGAGAGAGGACTTACCGGAGAGAGTTACGTTGATGAAGCTGAGGGAGAAGGGCATGGAGGCCATTAAAGAAGGTGGGAGCTCGTACAAGAACTTGGATGAGCTCGTCGCAGAGATGTGTGCGTAATAAAATATTCTCTCGTTTTTAAGAAATGTTTGTTTTAAGAGAAACAATAAGCAAATGGGGTAAGACCTATGTTGCTGTATTTTCCTGTTATTTTTTTCTTAATTTTGTATGAGAACGATTAACTCGATTAAGAGTTCGTTAGTCAAGTTTTTAGTATGAATTATGGCAATAAATCCACATTGGTTGAAAACGAATGCAAGCTTTTTTTTTCCACTTTGCTTTTAAGTTTTGCTATATTAAGACAAAAAAATGGGCCCATTCACATAACTACAAATATTTCGAAATTAAAGAAAAGAATAGGAAAAACTACACGCGGACCCATGTTATCCTTGTCACATGATACACAAGTATAGAGTGTGCGGTCGATACATTACACACGCGGTTCATTTATTTTCTGATCCCTTTTTTTTCTTCTTTTATTAAGAAAATTAAATAACCTTCGCTATAGTTAACGAGAATAAACCAAGGGCAGTGGGGCATTCGTTGGGGGTTGTAAGTATTAAAAAAAAACTGATTTAATGTAAAAGTTGTATAGAAAAAGAAAAGAGAGAGAGAAAGAAAGAGAGAGAGAGAGTGAGTGTTACACCCGAGTGTAGACTTACACCCGGATGTGAAGAGAGAGACAATTTTTTGCTTTTTTATTACCACTAACACCCGTGAAGATGCTCCACTGCGCATGGCCTTAGACCTTCACTATTCAATGTATGTTTATCACTATTTCTAATAAGAGTTAGTTGAGTTCACACCTATTTTCGTTATAAGGAAGACTGTTTGTTAAAGATTTCAAAAGATTATGTAGAATTTATCACACTTCCATTTTAAGGATAGGTTTTGGATTAGTTGTAGAATAGGTTTTGGATTGTTTTTAGCTGTCCAATAAGCAGTTTAACAAGATAACAGACTAGAGCCACGTACAAATCTCCGATCAATATCCATACATAGAAAGTGATTAGATAAACGAAGATTGTTGGCAATATCCTCTTGACAAAATTAGATTTGTGTATCTCGAAAAGATCTGGTTGGTTGTTTTGACAGCTCTTCCTATATCTCTAATTAGCATATAGTGTTAATGTTTTCGACTAATTTGATTCAGTGTTTATAAATGAGATTCCTCCTAACTAGAGCTACAATAGTTGATCAAACCTTGTTGCAAATGATATCTCAATTCTTATGCTGCAGCTAGATTCTCATTACGTTAAATCAAACGCATTTATAAAAGACAAACTAAAATTTTCACTAGGAAAACAGAACAAGAATGCAGTCAATTACTAATAAGATCTTTTTTCTTTTGTGCCTTTCATTCCTAAAACAATAGAATTAAATCAATGGTTCATAAAACACAAAAAATGCCAGAAAAAAAAACCATATTAATTAGCTACAAAGAACTAAAACCACCGCCTTTCATCATTTGTCTAAACTCGTTGTAGTTAACCCTACCATCACCATCAACATCCACTTGCTTTATCATCTTCTTACAATCATCCAAGGTCTTACCTTGTTTGAGCCCCAAGGAAGACAAAACCGCCTTCAATTCATCCACGGTTATAAACCCATCTCCATTCTGATCAAAAACATTGAAAGCTTCCTTCATGTCCTCTTCTTCTTCGTCTTCCTCGTCCATTATCGTCTTGTAAAGCTCACCAAACTCGTCTATGTCCACGCACCCGTCACCATTCACGTCGATCTTCTCGATCATTTGAGTCAACTCCTTGTCGGGTATGTAAATCCCTAGGCTTCGCAGTGTCTCACTCAGCTCTTTCCCCGTGATCGTCCCGTCGCCATTCTTGTCGAACATTTGGAACACACGTTTTAGCTCTGTCGGATCCATCTCTTTTAAATTTGTAGGGTGGCGTGTGGAGGAAGAAAGGATAATGGTGAGAGCTAGCTCCGAGAAGCCGAGAAAGGGTTTCCCGGGAAAATATTGTACCCTTTCCTGACTTCTTGGATAAGGACAGGAATTCAGAAATCTAGGAGGAAGTTAAAAGAGATGCAACAAGAGACATTAATTAGCCAAAAATAGGGAAGAAGAAGGAGATACAAGATATGCCTTTGGTTGATATTGTTAATCGGTAGAGAGGACATGTTGAGGGTTTTTAAAAGGATACAACTCTATGACTTTATGGAATTAATTATTTTTAATTATGTTTATAGTGGGAATTTAATTAACACTTCTGTTTTTACCAAACAAAAAAGCAAGAAACAGTACTACAGGAAAAGTTGAGTCAACTTTCAAATAATAGATTTGTGCATCTTTTGAAGGTAGATAACAAAATTCTTGTAAAATATTTTTTACATTCTTGGATATGAGTGAAATAAACATTTAAGTATAAGCAAAATGTATGTTTCGTTTTGAATGATTGTAAGAGTAAGTCCAATTACAATTGATCAAGAATAATTCATTTATTCTTAAATAAGACATATTTTGCTGTTAAACAACTAGATAGTAAATGGATGGCAAGTACTCTCCACCTTGATAATATTGGTTGCACGTTTGAGTCCAAACATTCATCAGTTTAAACAATTAAATTAGCCAAATAACAGTTTTAGTATAATTTAAATCATAATTTGATGTAATATTTTCTCTAAAAAAGAAAAACAGCTACCCAAAAAACTAAAATCTGATGAAGTGGTGAGCCACTATGTGAACTTCACCCAAATGTCGACTATGACCAAGGAAAGTATCCGAAAAAGATTTTGTTTTAATATTAAAGCAATCCAAAAATTTGTATACAATGAATCTCGTATCACTTTCACTAAATCTGTTTATTTTATTTCACCTACATGTTTTTAAAATGTTACTAGGAAAGGAAAAAAATAAAATATTGCAAAAGGTTGAATAATGAAAAAAAGTGCCCACACGCAGGATCGAACTACGGACCTTCAGTTTACAAGACTGACGCTCTACCACTGAGCTATACGGGCCATTGTGGTTACTTATTCAATAACAAGATATATAAATAAGAAATAATTCGTCATTTTCCCTCCTATTTACTTCTTCTTCTTCCTTATATTGTTTCCCCAGAGACGATCAATCGCCTTTACACAAGTTTCTTCCGGAAGAGTCGATATTTCCTCTCTAGTTAAGGTAATTCTTTGATCTCTATTCTTCAATTCTTCAATGCTCCATCCATTTCGCTACTATCTCTGTCATTCCCACGATTCTAGATGGAGAATTTATAGAAACCCTAGATTTTTGCCACGATTTTGTTTTCCAGGAAATTTCGTAGAATCTGTTTGAAATCCCGCTATTTTAGCTAGTTTAGTGCTCGAATTGGCCGATGAAACTTGATTTGGTTGACGGAAGTTGTAACTCTGTTGAATCAATTTGCTTCGAGTTTTTTCTTTTATAACTTTAGTGACGCCTAATTCGTTTCTCTTTTTCTCTCATTAATTTGGTTTAGTGATGGCTACTCCGGAAGAAGCAGCGTATGACAAGTTTCTAGAGAGAGTTCGTCGTACTGTGTATATAGACGAACTCACGCCTCTTGCCACAACTCCGGTTATTGAATCTGCTTTCAATCAGTTTGGGACTGTCAAGAAAGTCAGCTTCATACCAAACTTCTTGGGTCCAAAGGAGCTTCCTATGAGTGTTCTCGTTGAGATGGAGACTGAAGATATGGCACAGGCTGTTATCTCCACTGTCTCACAGTTACCTTTTATGGTTGCTGGTATGCCCAGGCCTGTCAGAGCTAGTGCTGCTGAGCCTAATATGTTTGTTGATCGACCGAAGAAGCCTGGTAGAACCATCCGTTTTCGCTGGATTGAGCCTAACGATCCTGATTTCGACAAGGCCAGGAGAATGAAGAGGCTTGCTCGTAAGCATACTGCTGAAAATTCGTTCATGCTCAAGGTGCTTATGTTTTTTTGTTTTTTTTCGTTTCTTTCTGTGGTATTGGATCTGATTGGCTGTGATGGTGTTAATTCTCCTGTTGTTGAAGACTTGCGTGCTCTTTCGTGAATGTGGTTTCTTGTTTTCTGTTTTCAGAAACAGCTTGAGGAGGCAGAAAAGCTGTCGAAACAGCAATCTGAGACGGCCTTAACACATCATAAGAAGTTTGAGATGATGGATAAACTCCTCAACGATGGTGTTGCTCAGAAACTGGCTGACCGTTACAGCATGAAATGTTTTCCTTATCGCTAGAGAGACACCATCTATTCTAGTGTTGAGGGCCTTTACCATTGTATAGGTATGGTAAAATGGTTAAGAGTCTAATAGAGTCTATCTAAGTACTATTAAGTGAAAATTGTTGGGGAAAATGCTGAAAGCCAAGAGATGGTATTTTGCTTAGAACTTGCTTATGCCACTAGTTTGTGCAGTGTCTATTTTGGTTGACCTGACTTTGCTTTAGGTGCTGTGTGTTTAGGCTTTCTTAACTCGTAATGAAGAATGTTCCTCCACATTGCTCATTTATGTGTATAGCCCTCATTTTCTACCAAGCTAGATGTTTCAGCCTTGATTCATATGTACAAGCAAGTAGATGCGTGGAGATGAGAGAATCAAAGTACCTGCAACTATTCAAAGTGTATACCCTATAGAATAGTTGCAAGGACTTTGGAACCAACCTGTTTCATCACTGTTTCTAAGAGGACATATTCTGCTCTCTGATATTCAGGTTTTTGGTGTTTGGTAATCTACATTCCGGGTTCTTTGAAGTCTTGTGAATAGTGTATGACTGACTGACTACACAGAGGTTAATTAGTTAGAACCAGTTGCCTTAATTGATTAAGATGAGATAGGTTGATTACATTTACACCGTTTCTATGTTGGAGCAGACATTTGAATTGTATTAACCAAACTAAAAATTGTGTAAATCGAATCTAATAATTTTCTGTTTAGTCACATAACTTTGCTTTCAACCAAACTAACCAATTCTAAACCGAATTTAAAACCAAAATATTCACTTTTACATCTTCAATAACAAAGTAAATCAAAGATACTAATGATAACAGATTATGCATTTGAACTAATTAAGTAAGGAACAATTGTCAAGAATCCTACATGACTAGTCAAATGGATCCATTCAGCAGAAAACAATCTTAAAAAATTCGGACCAAATTATATCCTGGATCATACAAGCACCGGTGGATCGAATACAAGATATTTCGAGGGTATATTGGTAGTTTAATTAGGATTTCGGACAGACACTTTCCGACATTAATGGCGGAAAGAGAGAGCTTTTAAAGAATTTTAATAATGAATGAGATTAAATAAAATAATGATAAAAAGACGAGAGAAGAGCAATGCCACCTCTGAGCGGGCAAGCGGGATTAGATTTGCCTTCTTCTCCCCCCCAGCCAAGCTGTCTCTCTGGCTCTTCCCCATCTTCCTGGTAAAAACTTTCTCCTTCTTCAATCTCTATCTCTTTTTTTTTTTCCTGGTTAATTTCAAATTGGATTCGTAATTTCTCTAAAATTGATTCCTTTTTCTCCTTTCTGTGATCGAATAATCTAAATTTCCCCCCTTTCTTTCCTGGGTTTTCAGGGTGCTCTGGATTGCGATCTTGGTAGCTAGATACTGAATTTAGGGTTCCAATCAAATCGCGTTGCTGCGGGGTACAAATTCTTGTTTGATTTCTCTGTTGTTGTTGCTGTCTTCAATTAGGAATTGTTGCTTTTTAAGTTTTTAGTCTGAAGATACATATATTTATTTTCAGGGGGGATTTTAGGCGGAGAAGAAAATGGGGGTTATGTCCAGACGGGTTTTGCCCGCCTGTGGTAACCTCTGTTTCTTCTGTCCTTCTTTGAGGGCAAGGTCTAGGCATCCCGTTAAACGCTACAAGAAAATGCTCGCTGAAATCTTCCCTCGTAATCAGGTCTTTTTTCTATCCCACTCTTTCATTGGAACTTCTATATTTTCTATTCTTTCCTACTAGTTAACATCTCTCAAATTGTAACTGTTTTTTCGTTTCTATTTAATCATATGGAATTGGATTCTAGTTACTTTTATTGATATGGAGAACGGCTAGTCTTCAAGTTTTCCACTTGCTGAATTACTTATGTGGAAATTTTAAATTTCTGGTCTTTACTATAGTCTATAGGAAACAACATTTTTTTTACTTTAAATTTTGAAAGGATATACATGTTTCTCGCCTAACTGTCTAGGAATATGTATGTGGAATGGATTCCCAATGAAACTTAGATGAGTTTTGCTACACGGAATGTTACAAGTTTCAACGTTTTACCTATCTTGTGTCTGATTTGGCAGGAAGCTGAGCCCAATGATAGAAAAATTGGCAAGCTTTGTGAGTATGCGTCTAGGAATCCTCTACGAATTCCAAAGGTTGTTGCATTTTTCTGTTATTCCCTTTTGATGTTTTTTTGGCATACTTCTCTCAGTTTTATTCTCATGTGTTTTAGTCTTCGCTTATGACAGATTACAGAGTACCTTGAGCAAAAATGTTACAAAGAACTGCGAAATGGAAATATTGGATCAGTTAAAGTCGTCTTATGCATTTATAAGAAACTGCTTTCATCATGTAAGGAGCAGATGTAAGTCATAGTTTCTCTACATTATCTGGTTTCTTAGAATTAGTATATCATTTTTCGCTTTTGTTAAATTAGATCTTTAGAGTTAATGCTTGTTTTTCTTTCTTTCTTGTTACTCGATCATTTACTTTCGAATTCCTTTATGCTTTATAGATTTCTTACCTGGTTCCGTATTTACTTGTTAATTTCATAATTTTGCTGAAACTGTCAATTTTTCTTGTAGGCCTCTATTTTCGTGTAGTTTGCTAAGCATTGTCCGAACTCTTTTGGAGCAAACAAGAGAGGAAGAAGTTCAGATCTTGGGTTGCAATACTCTTGTTGACTTTATAAGTTTACAGGTACATTTAGCATTTTTTGAGGCATAGTTACATGTCTCCTTGCAAGCTTCTTATCCTGCTAGCACTACATTATGGTAACACATCTTTTAACATACAGACTGTGAATTCGCACATGTTCAACTTAGAAGGTCTAATCCCTAAACTTTGTCAACTTGCTCAAGAAATGGGGGATGATGAAAGATCACTCCGATTACGCTCAGCAGGAATGCAGGCTTTGGCATTCATGGTATGCTTTATCTAATTACTTTCTCTTTTGTTTGACTGACAGAAAACATGCCCTTTAGATGTATACATTCCTCACACTAAACATATCCTATTGCATGCCCTTTAGATGTGCAACATGTTACGGGTTATGTGCTCTTCCATTGCAGATAGCTAGAACTTCTGCTTTGAATTATCAATATTAGTGGAATGGTTTATATTTACTGAACTTATAATTTTGATCTGCATAACTGTTAACAGACACCCATATTGATGAGTTTTTTTTTTTGTTCAAGAAAACACTTTAAGCATGGCGGTATTCCTTATTCAGCTAGTATAGAACATATGGTCGACCTGTTTGATTTTACTAGTTAATTCCATTACAGTTAAGACTGGAATTCTGTTGTTAGTGTCTCTTTAGTTGAAATCCTATTTTAATTTTGACCTTCATCTTAGAGCTGCATCTTACGTGGTGCAAAGTCCACAACTGTTTCTGCTTGGATCTTTTGCTACTAATCAATAGTTATTGCCAGGTATCTTTCATTGGTGAGCATTCCCAACTATCAATGGATTTGGATATGGTGAGTCATCGGATACTTCAACTTCTGCTGGTCTATACATACAAGATCTATATACAAGTTCTGGTGCATTGAAGTTAAATTGTGAACCCTTGTTCATCTTGAATTAGATTATTTCTGTGATTCTGGAGAATTATATGGATTTGGAGAAGGGCCAAGAAGATACCAAAGACGTTGATCAAAATTCAGAAACGAAGATTCCCAACATGACCAAAAAGGTTTCTTTCAAACCTAATCCGGTGACTGACTATAAGTTGGAAAACATGTAAGGCTTCTCCTTAAAGATATATTCACTTGTTTTTACGACCACTGGAAATGCATCATCTATATATTGTTTAATTTATTCATTACATCCATTCAGGGATATTTCGAAGAGCCCCTCATACTGGTCTATGGTTTGCCTTTGCAATATAGCCAAATTAGCAAAGGAAACTACAACTGTTCGTCGGGTTTTGGAACCGCTTCTGACTGCTTTTGACAGTGGAGATTACTGGTCTCCCCAGAAGGGCGTTGCCTCTTCTGTTTTATTGTTTCTGCAGTCTCGTCTGGAAGAATCAGGTCAGATGATATATATAGTTTGCTATCTTTCCTGATTTTACAGGATATTGATAACTTGTCTATGAGGCAACTGACTAAAGCAGTATTTAAGCAGGAGAAAATTGTCATGTGTTGGTATCTTCTTTGATCAAGCACTTGGATCATAAGAATGTTATGAAGCAACAAGTTCTTCAAGTTAACATGGTCAATGTAGCCACATGCCTTGTGCTACATGCTAAGCAGCAGGCTTCAGGCGCGATGACTGCTGTAATAGCTGACTTGATTAAGCACTTGCGAAAATGCCTGCAAAATGCAGCTGAATCAGATGTGTCTGTTCATGAAACACAGCAGAACTCGGACCTCCAATATGCATTAGAAAAGTGCATTGCAGAGCTCTCAAATAAGGTCAGTTGGACTTGTTTCTGTTCTTTTTGAGGTTTCTGTGGTTTTGATCTGATCCTCTCCACAAGGTTGACTTGTATCATCTTGTGTCTTATATGTCTTAGTACACCAGATATTATTAATTTGTCAATGGTCGAATATGGCTTGAAGTTTACTCGTTCTTAAAATTAGTTGTTTTGCTTGTATGAAAAATAAGGTTGTAAAAAGGACATAGTAAACAGCAGTAGCCTTGTATATTAGGAATCATAACCCACGTCCTAATTATATCTGTTCCTATCTAGTCAAGGTGTTAGTAGATAGCCAGTGATATGAGTTACATGTTCAGCTTTCAGTATCAATTAAATATCTTAGTTAGCTGGTTCGTATTATATTGTTAAAATAGAAGTTACGGCGAGGTTGTTCAGAAAGAAAAAAAGAAGTTATGGCGTTATTGCATTTGAAAGTTACGGACTTGTTGTTATAGTGTCGAAACCTATATGATCTGTAGTGTGCTAAGACTAATTCAATACCCCATATTTCACATAGGAGTTTTGAAACTGAGCAGCTTCTACTTATCTTATTGTTATATGTTATTTTTTCATTCAGTATGTAATTCTGATCTACCTTCACTCCTGAAACTCCTTGGGGTTGCCAGTGCAATTTGTGTATATTGCTGTTTTCTCTCCTGTCTGCGTGTTCATACGAAACCCCATAAAGTTTGTTCAATTTTTTGTTTTGCTTTTAAGGTTGGGGATTCAGGGCCCATTCTTGATATGTTGGCAGTGGTTCTTGAGACAATATCCACTAATGTAGTCCTTTCTAGGACCACAGCATCAGCCATTCTCCGAGCTGCACATATAGTATCGGTGGTCCCAAATGTTTCTTACCACAAGAAAGTAATTGAATTCTTTTACTGCAACTTTTGTTTTGTATTTGACCATCGCAGTAGTTATTCTGTTCTAACCGAGTTACTGTGGTCTGTCCCAGGTATTTCCGGATGCCTTGTTTCACCAACTGCTCCTTGCGATGTCCCATGCAGATTGTAAGACTAGAGTCGAGGCACACAATATTTTATCCGTCGTGCTTCTTCGAACTCTTCGTTTGCCTTGGTCAGATCAACAGAAGGAAACCTCAGAAGTTGTTCCTGGGACATTATCAGTTGATGGAATTTGTACAGAAAGGAACCAGAGTACTAGTTTACAGGAGGAAGCGAAAGAAAAAGTTGAGAAATCCTTAAACAGTGAACTGCGTAAAGATGTAAACCACGTATCTTATCCAAGTGTATCACGACATACCAGTCAACAGCTTAGTGGTCAGTCCTTGGATAGTTTAAAGGATTTAGATGATGGTATAAAGGTATTATTTTTCTAAACCTACGTTTCTTTGCGCTCTCCCCCCAATTATATTAATTGGCACTTTCTTATCGATTTGAGTGTATTTAATACTGAGCTAACTCTAGTGTGATTTCATGCTATTACAGTCGTTATGTTCACTCCGACTGAGTAGTCACCAAGTGAATATGCTTCTTTCATCCCTATGGATCCAAGCAACTTCTACCGACAATACCCCTGAAAATTTTGAGGCCATGGCCAGCACATATCAAATCACTTTACTGTTTTCACTAGCAAAGGTTAGTTGATTGATCTTACTCTAGATATACCACCATACCAAAGGCTGGTGGAGTGTTGGTATTCTTTCATTCTGGTCAAAGTGGATAATTCCACTGGAATTCTGTCCAGGGAGATCTTGACTCTTTCAGATTCAAAATGAACTTATAACACCATGTTGAAACTGAATTTGATGGTTATGAACTTTCATTTCTTGATGCAATCCATCTAGATGGTCTTTTGATTTTGTAAATTTTTCTCTGATTTTATGATTTAAAATGGCAGAGATCAAATCACATGGCTCTGGTGCGGTGTTTTCAGCTGGCATTCTCTCTTCGAAATCTCTCATTGAATCAAGATGGTAAGTTAAAGACTGTGGTTAATGGTAATGCTTGTTCCGTTCAGTAAGAAAATTGCCTACTTTGTTCGCTAGATAGTATGAATGGATCTCATTTATTTGCATTTACTATGATGAATATAGTTCCATTAGATTATGCTATGCCATTTTTGTTGATTTGCGATGTGATTTTGTTAGTGTTGAATATTATTATACATAGTCTGATATTGTGCACCTATTAAAATAGGAGAATAGGGTGATAAAACAAACATCTAGTCAGGATCCAAGGACTTTAATCAAAGGGAACACTAGTTTTGCTTTTTAAGTTCCTTTTTGACTCTATCATAGTTTTAGCAGCTACATATTGGACAGGATCCTCCCGAAGTTAATTTGTTTTGATGAAACACTACCTACTAGTTACAGATTGGCTTGTGCTAGATCTTTCATGTTCAGTAAAATTACCTTAAGTTGTGGAACGCCAATGGGACGAGATCTTCTCCTTGTAAATGCAAAAGATGTAACTCAACTGTCCTGAACTCCCCATTCTATTGAGTTTATTTTGACATAGATTTCTGGTATAATACTGAAGGAGGTATGCAGCTCTCTCGTAGAAGATCTATCTTCACTTTTGCATCATATATGCTCATTTTCGGTGCCAAGATTTCAAATATTCTGGAGCTAGTTCCAATTGTCAAAGAATCTTTGACAGCCCAAATGGTGAGCTTTGGTTGATAATTGCATCCGTTTGTTTTCCGTTTTCTAGATCTCTTGTTTTTGGGTTGCTCAGCTGTTTTTAATCTGTATATGCAATTCGTCATGTCCTAAATAGGTTGATCCTTATCTTGTGCTGGAAGGAGATATCAGACTGCGTGCTGTATGTTCTGGATTTCCACAGGAAGAAGCGTATGGATCTGACAAAGATGATAGTGCTGCTCTCAATTCTTCAGTGATTATCGCAGATGATAGACGTCTGAAGGAGATCGTAATTACTCATTTTACATCGAAATTTCAGACATTATCCGAGGTACTTACCTAGTTTAAAATGATATAATGGTGTAATTCATGTTAGTTCTGTTAATTTTGGCGGAGGGAGTGTTTGGAGCTGTATCAAACATATATAAGAAAAAGAGTTTAGACCTGTCAAAATATTGTTCTGAATTTTTTTATGTGTACAATTCTCTTAGGAGGAGCAATCAAGTTTGAGACAGGAAATTCAGTCAGATTTTTCCCGAGATGATACACATCCGCTTGGTGGACAATTGTTTACGGATACACCAGGACCTAGTTCTCCTCTTAATCAAACAGAACTCCCAGCTTTCGAAGAGGTATAATGATTTCATGAGAAACTTGCTTCAGGAATGATTCTCTAATTGCAATTTTATGGATCTTTCAGGTTGAGCTTTCAGACATAGTGGCATTTGAAGGAATTTCCCCAGGGGCTAGTGGGAGTCAGTCTGGGCACAGAACATCATTGTCTACAAACACTAACCCAGTAGATGTTCTGAGTGTCAACGAGTTGTTAGAATCGGTAATAGTTACACTCAATGTTTCATAACAGTTTTTATTGGTCTCCTCCGTGTCCTCCTTTTTAATGTAATTTTTTTCATTGATGATATGTAGGTATCAGAAACTGCTCGGCAAGTTGCAAGTCTCCCTGTTTCCTCCATTCCTGTACCTTATGACCAAATGATGAACCAGTGCGAAGCTCTTGTGACGGGTAAGCAGCAAAAGATGTCCGTGCTTCGAAGTTTCAAACCCCAAGCAACCAAAGCTATAACCTTGTCAGAAGACGATGAAAAGGACGAACAATATCTTCTCAAGGAGGTGAGAGTTTGTTCTCTGTGACATTAATTGTCATCCTATCAACGTCGAATCTTGGTTTGGTGTTCATTTTTTTTGTTTTACTGTGTGCTGCAGACAGAAGAAGCTGGTGAAGATGATCAGAAGGCAATAATTGTGGCTGATGTTCAACCTCAAGGGCAGCTCGGATTCTTCTCACAAGAAGTTCCACAAAATTCATTTCGGTTACCGCCTTCGAGTCCCTACGACAAATTCTTGAAAGCAGCCGGATGTTAAACCGGTACATTCTAAAAATCTTGCATATACATGCATATATATAGAGACACACACAGAGCATAATATATACTATATATTATCACGTGTAATCTTTGGCTTCGTACATTCTTAGTCATCTCTTGGCTCTTTCTGGAAGGAACAATGATTGATTCATTTCATTTCTCCATTGTGAAAAAAAAAATGTTATAATCATCAAGGAAGCATTTGTTATAACTGATCGACCTGTCGTGGAAGAGAGCAGAAGCACCGAAAAGTCGTGCAAAAACTCAGAATTGTCTCTGTTTTTTTTTTTTTTGGGGGTGGAGATATCATTGATTGATTCAAAGTGTTGTTGATTGTTTGTATGTCATGAGATGTGTGTGTTTTTTTTCTGTGTATGAGTTTGGGGGGTTGGAACCAGAGTCTTGTGGTGGTTAAAGGTTGAGAACTGTGCTGGTTCTGGTCGGTCAATCAATGTATTGTGTCTGGTTTGCTCTGAAAATGACAAACTTGGGATGTATTGTGTTGATTTCTTATCTGAATTAATAAATGAGTTACAATTAGTTCTGATGAATATTCTCTGATTACTTGTATGATCGTGCAAATTAAGCAATTTGGATGACAGAAGTTCAAAAGTCTTATTTTTTTTTGATACAAAAACCATAGTCAAACTTAAAATCAAATTGAACAGTCCAGTCCTATCAATCAATCACTTAAGACCCTTGTTCAAAAACGCGGACTAGGCGGCCGATTAGTCGCCGGCGAGGCGCTCGGCGGTGGTGGACCGTTGCGATTTGTCCAAATCGGCCAACAAATCGGAGTTTCAGAAAAAAATTCATATTTTGCTTTGATTTAAGTTAGAAATCGATAGTTAACTAATAGATCTATCATAATTTGGTATAAACCTACATGAAAACGATGGAATTGTGAAAAAAAAAACAAAAAAAACGCAGAAACTAGGGTTTTGTTGTCGCAGGGAGAAAGGAAGGGGACGGGGGCAATTTTGTAAATTTGCGATTCTTAAAAAAAAAAAGAGATAAATATCAAAATTGAGCATCGAACCCTTATTCCCAAGGTCAAAGGAAGGAGACAGACCACTGTACCACGTTATAATCATTGTACACTTACGTTTTTTTAATATATATACATAAATCTAAATTAAAAGTATCTAAAGTTAATCCCCGAGTAATCCCGCTAGGCGCTAGGCCCACCCCGGCCGCCCGACTAGCGCCTAGAACAAGGTTAAGACTCACTAAACCACTGTACGATAAGAAATTTCCACAAATACCCTCGAAGAAGACACACTATTACAGTAAAGCCCCGAAAATATTGGCGCCTATTCGAATTTCCCACTAATTAAGAAAAAATAACATAAAAAGGAAAAACACGAAGTTTAGATGATCTTCTTCGTCTTCTTCTTTTTGTCTTAATAAGAGAGAGAGAGAGCTGACACATTTCTAAATTTTGAATGCTTCTCTCATTACCAAAAACGGTAATTGGAGACATTTTAAAACAAATCTAGGGTTTTCCTTTCCCGGTAAAGTTCTTCACTTCGTTACCCCATCAAAATTAAAATTAAAAATCTCAACTTTATTTTCTAGAATAATCTTCGGCTTCTTCTTCTTCTGCAATTTCTTCTTTTCGGGTTTATGGAGGAGGTGAATTGTAGTTTACCAGTCACGAAGACCACCACCACTATGAATTCTTGTCCTACAGAGGACGCCATTCGAGCTTTATTAGAAAGCTTAGTCGACCCTTTGCTTCCATTGAAACCTACTGATGATGTTCCTTCCAAATCTGTCCGGGAATCTGTTGCCAAACAGGTGATTTCTCAACTTCCTCTGTCTCTCGCTGGACTTCAAAATCTCTAATTGGTTGTCTGATTAGCTCTATTTAGACTACATTGTCTTGTTTTTAACTTCTGTTTTTTTTTTCAAATGGTGTTGATTCAGGTTCATGCTCTTGTGTTGCTCTACAATTATTACCACAGAAAAGACAATCCTCATCTGGAATGTTTGTCCTTTGAGTCTTTCCGTAGCCTAGCTACGGTTATGAGGCCTGCTCTGCTGCAGCATTTGAAGGAATCTGGTGATTCAGAACAAACCGTATTGCTGGAGAAGGTTATTGTGGATGCATGTAGCTTGTCCATGAGCTTAGATGCGTCTTCGGATCTTTTTATCTTGAACAAGTGTCCCATAAGGAAAATTGCTGTTCTGCTGGTTGACTCAGAGAAGAAGAATTGTTATCTTCAACACAGTTCCATCACACAAGGTGTCTGGTCACTACTTGAAAAACCCATAGAAAAAGAGAAAACTGCTAGGGAGAATCAGAAAGAAGAGGTCGTCTTTCAGAAAGTTGCATTTGCTGCTATTAAGGAGGCCACAGGTTAGTTTCAAAGACTGATCATTTGGGTTCCATAGTTGCATTCTTTCTCTAAGTTACTTCAACAGTTTTGAATCTTTTGCAGGTGTTAATCACAAGGACATTGAGATCTTGGAGAGGCATTTGGTATGCTCCTTGAGTGAAGAGAAGACAGCAGTCCGCTTTTACATAATGAAGTGCACTTCACAAGAAAAATTTTCTGGAGAAAATCCCGTCGAAGAAGTGCTTAGCTGGTAAGTCCATTTTGGTATCGAAAGGAAAGGCCCTAGCTACAATAGTTATGGCAACTCAAAGGACCTTATATTCACTTAAAAATCGGTAAATAACTGAACATAAGATTGACTCCCAAATTTTGGCAAAGATGGTCTCTCAGCTGTTATTCTTGAACTCACTTTACTTCACATTAGTTGCATGATTGGATAAATCTATACTTCTTGTAAGTACAAGGAAGTATTGATATGATATTCCTAATCATCCCCATTTGCTCTTCTCTACGTAAATAGTATGCAGGGTCCTTTATTTGAGAAGAGCTTCTCTGACTGGACTATGAATTCCATAGTGGAATACTTTCATGTTCTTCCATATGCCAGTCTCATTGAGGATTGGTTTTCCAGGTTTAATGGCATCCTTTTTTCTTCCTAAGTTGTTATTCCTTAACATTACTTTTGAGTTTGTTTGTTATCTTTTCTAGTTTAGGGGGTAGCAATATAAGTTTATTCTGCTTTTTCAGGCGAGGAGATACTGAATCTGTGATAGAGAAAGAACCAGAAGCTGTATGTGATGATATCGAAAGCAATGGCAAGGCAGATGCAACCAAGGAGTCGGAACTTTCCGACATTTTTAAAAGACAAGAAAATGCTGCTTTAAAAAGGAGATATGAAATTAAAGTATGCACTGGTAATGATACTTGTATACTTGTGTTAAGGAAAATGTATTACAAATTAACTTACGAATTTAAATTGCAGGCCAAAAAAGTTGCCGCTCTACTTAGCAATCCTAGAGCTAGAGGAAAAGCTACTCCGAGGTTACAAAATCGGTACTTAAAAGGAAGTACAAGTGTTGCGAAGGAACCTAATGTTCACTCGGAGACGGTATTTGCGTTGAAGGCTAAGAATGTAGATAATGAAATGAGCCCTTGTAAGGATAGTTATTCGAATGGAGAGAAAGGTGGTTTCGAGGTGAAGTCTGAAATCTACACTAACAATTATATATTCACAATTCAATCATCATGTATCCTTTATCACCCTTTTGTAAATGCAGGTTGCGTCTGACCCAAAGGATCTCAAAGAAAGAGGTATCCAGAGGAAGAAAGCTGTTCCTGACAGACTTAATAGCATTCTTAAGCTTAATGCAACTCCTGTGTCTGCTCATAACGCTAATCTAAACCTTGAGGAGCTACAGACGTCTCTTCTTTCTAAAGCAACATCTCTATCCGAAACTGCACTGAAAGTTCTTCATTGCAAACGAGATAAACTGGTAATAACTGTAGAATTTGATCAAAGATACACAACACAGCAAAAAAACTGATTGGCAATAGCACATATCTTTATTTTATGATTAAGAGCTGCTCTCTTTTTCTCTGGCTGCAGACTCGTCAACAGCGGAACATAGAAGACGAGATTGCTAAATGTGATAAATGCATCCAGAACATCAAAGGTATGTATATACATATACTTTTCCTTTCTGCCACAGCTTTGTTTTTACATGAACCTGAGTGATTCGCGTGGGTGTTATAGGTGATTGGGAGCTGCAATTAGAAACAGTACTTGAGTGCTGTAACGAAACGTACCCGAGGCGTATGCTTCAAGAATCTCTTGACAAGTCAGCATGCCAAAGCAACAAGAGGCTGAAGCTCTGTGAAACACTTCCTACTACTAAAAGTCTGTGTCAGGTTAGTTTATGGTAACTTTGATCAATTCTTGTTCAAAGAATTAAGATTCATTGCCTCTATTTATTGCAGAAACTCGATGATATCTGTCTCGTGAATAACTGGGTACTACCAAACTATCGTGTGTCTCCATCAGATGGTAAAGTTCTGAGATCATATGACAAATTTGTAGTTCAGCTCCTTTACTCACTCAAAATTTTCCTGTTTATGTTGTTGCTTCGTTGCAAAAGGTGGATATGAAGCTGAAGTAACAATCACGGGGAATCATGTCACTTATACAATACATGGAGAGGAAAAGTCTGATCCTGAGGAAGCTAGGGAATCTGCGGCAGCTTGCTTGCTAACTAAGTTACAACACAGCACAACAGCCAACTTGTCATGATTTAGTGAGATTCAAGAGCAACTCAGAAACCAAACTAACTTCCAGCATGAGTAGAAAACAACCCTGATTTTGATATGTATGGGCATTTTGGAGAAATGTATAAAACAATAGCAGATTTGTACCAACTCCATCCTCTGGTTCAGACTTTGAGATATATTATAAGATATCAAAGGTATTAACTGTTGCAGAAACTAAAGTAGACCAAGTACCAAAATCAGAGTCATGTTAAAAAATATTCATCAATTCGCTTAGACTTAGTAATCAAAATTTGTTTGTACATTACTATCAAATAATCCAAGAAACTAAAACTGTTCATATAAGTATACTCATGTCCGAGTATTCATCGGATCAAAGTATAGAATCAGAAACAACTTTGATAATTAAACCTCCAAGAGGTTATTACTTGACCAAAAAAAAACCCTCTAGAATCATCTGATGGGGTCAACATCAGCCATGAACAGAGTCTTCTCACAGTTCAGTCTGGGGTCTTCTCCGTTCATGTTTCTCATCACCTGAATAAGCCACCTTGGCGTCATTGAAAAGAGAGCCACCTTTGGTTTCTTGAACCCACTACTACCACTTCTCTGTGACACCACACGTCTCTAGGAGCTTGTGCTATCCGTTAGGCACAATTGGTGATTAGAGTTTGGTGGGTTTTTTCATTTCCAACTTCTTGTACTCAGCAATGTAGTTTTAGAGTAAGGTTAAAGAAGAAGGCGATGAAGAAGAAGTTGAAGCCCCATTAAGATTTTCAAAGTTTGGTTTTGTGTACCTTCGCGTAGACTTTGAGATATATATTACAGGAAATAAAAGGTATTGATCGATGCGGTGACTAAAGTAGACCAAGCAGCAAAACCAGATTCATGTTAAAATATTCTTACATAGACTATAGATCAGAAACAACTTAGTTCCTCCTGATTAAGAAGCTCTTAACTTGGAAGAAAAGAAAGACTTGTTTTCATAGTTAAGCAAATTGGAGAAAGATTTAGGTTTTACAATACTTTCCAGTAACTCCTCATCAAGATCAGGTTAAGGAAACTATCTAACAATCCTAGAAAGTAGAAACTCAAAAAGCATCTTCATCTAAACGTAGAATAGAATCAGAAACAAAAAGAGACTTGCTAATAATAAAAGAGAGAAACCCACAAAAGTGTAATATCGACCACAATAGTAAAAACCCTAATTTGTAAATTACTAATCCAAGTAGTAACTAGACCAAAAACCTCAAGAATCGCCTGAATTAGACTAATCAAGCTCAACAGACACAAGAAACGTCTCAAAAACGAAGATATGATCTACCCTGTCTCATGGTAAAAGAAAGAGGAACAAGAGCAAAACAGAGGATTTCACCGCTCCTAAACGCCCAAACACCGATGTTGTCACCGTCTTTCAAATCATTAGCCTTAACAACGTCGTTCCAACCACAAGTCAAACAGTAATTCCAGCTTACCTTTCCTGAATGATTCCCCACCTCCCATTTCTTCAAAACCACACCCCACTTTTCAAACCTTGGATCCACGAGAATGGCTCCCACTTCCATCTTCTCATTATCATCATTGTCGATATCTTCTTCTTCTATGATACTCCGCTCCTCAGGCGTCAAGAAGTCGTTCCTGCTTAAGCTGTTGAAAGGCATTAAGAGACGGCCCATCGTTGGGTTGACATCAGATTTGGACAGAGTCTTCTCTAAGACCAGTGTCAGGTCTTCTCCATTCATGTCTCTCATCACCTGAAATTGCCACCACGGCATATCCCACGTCCTCCTTGGAAAAAAAGTTACCTTTGGTTTCTTGAATCCACCACTACTCCTTCTCTGTAACATCTCACGCATCTCGGTGGGGCTTGTGTACTCCGTTAGCCACGGAGATGGAGACCATTGGTGATTAGGGTTTGATGGGTTTTTCATCTCTGTCTTCTTGTACTCATCAGGGATGTAGTTTTCGAGGGGTAAGGTTGAAGAACAAGGCGATGAAGAAGAAGTAGAAGCCCCATTAGGGTTTTCAAAGTTAGGTTGTGGGTATCTAAGCGCAGGCCTTATCTTTCTGGGGACATGACTGAAGAATTTCTTCTTCTCGCTCTCTTTGTCGTCGTCTTCTTTTTTCTTTTTGATAAAGACGTTGTCTTCTTCTTTAGAGACAATCTTGGCTTTTCCTTTTCTTGCGCGTTGTTGTGCATCATTCAACGTAGCCTCGACACCCGCCAACTCATAGAGCTTCGAGGTCGACCCCATCGTATTTCTCTCAGCCGTGTGATCATAGTCGTTTGTCGTCATTATGATCGGAACCCTAACTCGAGATCAAAGAGAGAGAAGCTTGAGGAAGAAGGAAAGTTTAGAGACAGAATGAGAATGAGTGAAAAGAAAGTGCCTGTGTTGACGTTATTAAATAGGTCTTTTTTTCCTTTTCTTTTTTTTTTTCCTTTCAGCACAATAGTTTAACTATTGGGATTAGTTATTAATTATGACCGACTTGCCTATTTTTTACATCATTGTCTTTTGAGAGTGTGTGTAATAATATGCATTAAATGGAAATGTATGTGCGATGGCAAAAATGCATAATCTTCCTGTTTGTTTTTTGTAATTTTTCCCTATAGTTTTTACTTTTATATAATTTTAAGCTAAATCAGTAATTAGTGCAGTGAATCGCCTAATGTTTGGACTTTGGATCGATGGGTAATTGGGCTTCAAATGGGAAGAGACCCAATTAATTCATTGAATTTAGGCCCATTATAGGTGTAGGATAGAGAATTTGCAACTCGGAAGATGAGGATTACTATTATTGACTTTATGCTTTTCAAGACTTATTATTAGCTATGCTGCTCTCAACCTCTGTGACAACACTGAAGATGGTTGGATAAATAACTTGCTGGTTCAACACATTTTAAGATTGAATCTAGTCAAGCCAGACATGTTTGATCCTCCTCAGCTGCGGGGAAGATTGTGAAAATGTTGTGTTGATGTTTTCATATGGGTGATAAATTTGGTTTTCCAGCAGTCAGGCGAAAGATAGCTAATGCAATGAAGTTAAGAGAAGCGTTAGATACGTCAAATGCATTGGAGTCAGATGATGTTGAGACAGATATGTGGTGAAGAACTACATTGGATGCGGAAGAGAATATAGTCTTAAGTTTGTCACTCACAAATCACAACAAGGGTCTTAGTTCTGCAGTGTCATCATCAGAGGAACTCAGATTGACCTCACTGCCTTCGAATCTGATGATTGAGTTCGAAGAGGAACTCAAGATCCTTCTGGATTCTGCCTTAACATAAGTAGAATCTCTTGATCCCTAAGAGCATTTTGGAGGAATGTACCAAAACAGTTGACCATTGGACCAATGCAGTAACTAAAGTAGGCCTAAAAATCACTAGCAATTGAAGTTGATTTGTTTCCTTGTACATCAAGAAACAAAACCAGAGTCAAGTCAAAAGTAAAAAATTTCTATAAACAGAGTATAGTGACCTCCATTGAACGAGAAAGCACACGACTTACTTTGACTCCTAATGAAATTTCTTCATCCATTTACTAATGGAAGAGAAAAAACAACAAGATAAAGATCCCAACTTCGTACCAAAACCACAGTAACATCTTCTAGTCCCAAAAAATAAAAACTTTTTACTTATGTACAGAATCAACAACAGAGCTCATGGGAGGAACAAGGGCAAAGCAGAGGATTTCATTGGACCTGAAAGACCAAAGACTGATTATGTCGCCTTCTTTCAATCCATTAGTCTTAACGACGTTGCTCCATTCACCTCTCAACACAAAACTCCAGTAGCTGCTCCCTGAATCAGTCGTCATAAACCATTGCTTAAAACCTACGTTCCACTTTTTACTACGTTGATCCACAAGAAACGACGCCACACCCATATTCCCTTGGTTAGTGATGTCGTCGTCATCAATCAATCTTGACTCGTCAAGCGTCAAGAAATCGTTTTGGATTACGCTATTGATAGGGATTGAGAGACGGTTTTGAAGTGGATCAACATCGTTCGAGTCCAGAGTCTTCACTATGACTAGCTTCGGATCATCAACGCCGTTCATGCGACACATAACCTGGACAAGCCATTCTGGTGCCTTTATCCGATTTCGAGAAGAGGTTGGGACTTCCGGTGTCTTTATCGGTTCTTGTGGGTCTTTTGGTCGGACGTATTCGTAAGAAGTAGTCTTTTTTCTTCTGGGGACGTTACTCAAGATTCTATCCAATATCACATCTTTATCTTCTGAGACAGTCTTGGGGACAGAAGCAACTTGCGGCTCTGGATCCTTGCGAAGGTATGCGTGACCTTCCCTTTTTCCTTTGGGGACGCGATCCAAGAATCTCTTTCTTTTCTCTTCTTTTACTTGTGCGACACTCTTGGGACGCGAACTCATCTCTTCTCTTCTCTTCCTTTTCTCTTCTCTTACTTGTGCGACAGTCTTGGGTTTTCTTTGGTTATCACGCGAACTCATCTCTTCTTCTATGCCGGTGAGAAGTTGTATGAATCGTGAAAGCCAAAGGAGTTGTTCAAGCGTAGAGAAAAGGAGCACAAAAATTGCAAAGTCTAGATAAACAAGAAGAGAGAGAGAGCGGTTGAGAAAATGGTGAGAAGGGTCCTGAATTTTTTCTCTCTTGAGTCTTTAAAAGCGTCTAAGAATTTGTTTTTAAAGCGTTGACAAAAGTCTCAGTGCGTCAGGTTGATTTTCCCGCTCGAATTCATCTCCAACGGTCATAACAGAAACTCGAGTGACAGAGAATTAGAGAGAGTTACCACGAAAATATACCCAAAGATTATTTTCTTCTTTGTTTCATTTATTTTTTTACTAACATTCCCGTTTCATAGTGTTATTTAAAATATACGATGCTAGGCTGTGTTTCAATCTTTGACCAAATTACTTGTATAGTAGTAGGTAACAACACCACATCGAGAGATGGTTTTATAAGCCAAACAAGAAAGAACAATTACAAGATACGGTCATAGGCTAAAGATTAATCGAGAAATCCTTTCGGTTTTGTTTATGGCTTTTGTTTAAGATTGAAAGATGCAAGTTCAACTTTACAATAGAATCCTACCGATAAAACTACTTACCTTTTGTTCTTGCAACTTTTTCAGTCAAAGAAGAATCCGGATAAAAAAAAAAAAAAACTTCTTTTGTTCCTTTCATTTAGCAAACCTACCTAGTGACCGATAAGAGAAAATTTAGCCTCAGAAATTCGCCTGATGCTGAGCGAATTCCGACAAAAATCTCAAAATTGAATACTTGGGGTTATTATCATCATCACGAAGCCCTTCGTCTAAAGTCTCAAGAACACCCTTCATGATTCGAGTGTAGAGCCTCTCCATCTGCGGAATGCTGTAGTTGTCAGTGCGTTCCATGAGTAGTCCCTTTACAGATTCTGTTCGGCTTGAAATTTCTTCATCCAACTTAGCAGAATTCCTGGAAGAATCACCACACACATCTTCTGCAGATGCTTCTTTACTTGGTGGCTCGCTTCGGTCTTCTCTATCACCATCTGTTGGAGAAGGAGCTGCTGAGTCTTCCGGAGATGGCATCTCTTTGCCTGAATCTTGGTTTTGTGATTTGTCTGCAGCTGATTCTGTTCATCAAAACGTAAACACACACCACAAGTATTAAAAAGTCTCATTATCAAAGAGTTTTTCTACATCTAGGAACCCGAGATCATATGAACTCAAAAGTCTCAAGGGAAAGCAAACCACCTAAAACAAGAACCAAATCTTCGGTTGCAGTGGTATTACCTGTACAGACAGCATCAGTAGTTTTCTTGGGCTTTTTAAGACCTTCATAATCTCGATCTAAATTAACCTCTGGCTGCACATTTCGAAGTCGGGCACTGGTTCTAGTGACAGTTCCCATCTGCACAACAGGAGCTAAACCGAGGATTGATCCACTCAGATCATCTGGTATCTGTGAAGGACCACCTTCAGCTGCGATCTTATCACAATATGTTAGCAGTGCTGGGTCCATCTGTGACAGCATCCCATGCACCTGAAACATAATGACAACTATGGCTTCAGATAACAGCATTTGGGGGATGATATACTTGCAGCAATTTTAAATTGGGAATGAGAGACTTGCAAACATACTACATCTCGAAGCTCATAGGCTCTACTGACAATTCTCGCTCCTGCGTAATCATCTCCATTGTAAGCCTGGATAAATAATTGAATAAAGTCAAGTCAACCACCATCAAAACATACTTCATGGGTAAGAGTCTCATTCATTAGCATTGAATCATTCTGTTTAAGGAAGCATCTATTCCCTCAAAATATCAAATGATAAAAAAATGAATAGTACGGACAATGTCCACACCAACCAACAACTCTCTCCTTACAACTTTTCTAGTGCAGTGACGGAGTGACCACATTTTTTGAATTGTCAAGGTTTAATAGCCATGTAAAAGAGATGTGTTGTAAAACAGTAGTGCACCTTGGCATTTCTCACAATGAGATCAACGTCTTGCAAGAACGGTGCACATGTCAGATATTGCCCAGTATCAACACGCTGCAGCAGAGTAGCCGTATCCATTGGATTTTGAATTATTGAGCGATAGTTTGGAGCATCCTCGTCAGTAACTGGAAAGTGGAATGCACTGAATCTTTTATCATAAAGTATCCTGCACAGCAAAAGTATCCCATAAGTTACAATATGTTAAAAAAAAACCAATAAAAAAAGACAATTAAAGCAGGTTTCTCTGGAATACACAAGAGAATTCCCTACATTATAGACTTGGCAAGGCTACCCTATGTACAATTTGAGAGCTAAAATCAGTACTGTTATATCAAATAATGTTCATCTCTAGGCCTCCCGTTGACAAAAAGTAAAAGGCCTTCTTGATCTAAGTATAAAGACGACAATAATAAAGCTTCAAAATAAACACACTGCAAGCCTTGCAGTAGAGTGTAATGAAGATTATAAAAAAAAATGTCAGAGAAGAAACAAGGGAAGTGTTTCCAAAAGCTGGATCTCAGTATTTTTTGAAGTGCACCTGATCTACAAACCAACTGTTCTATCACATAAGCATATAGATAAAACAAGAGCATTTACAGCTACCAAAATATTATGTGTTAAGTACACACTTTGCATGGGTTTTTTATTTAACGTGAGGGCCCAGACACATTTACCTATTGCAAACATCTCTGAGACACATACGCAATCGTCGAAGGGCATGCTGCTCTGCTTCCACCTTGGCTTTTACTTCTGCGGGTTTTGGACCAGTAGGTTCTTTTGGAACCTTGGGAAGTTCTGGAAGGGGTTGTGGTCCATCAGGTTTGCCATTTAAGCCAGAAATGACTGAGAGAGCAGCTTCAATCAAACGGTCAAAGAACAAAGACCTGTCTTCACTTGATGGTTTGTCCACAGTATAGCTGAAAACAAATGTACACAATATGAGAAACTGAATTATAAACCATAAGCGTGAGGACGATTTCATGGACAACCAATATAATGAAGAAAATTAAATTTGTCACGAGAACCAAGGAAAAAGTAACTAAGTTGGGGAATGACACCAATAAAAATGCAATGCTATTTCACAGGAATTTTTCTCTGAACTTCATAATTTAGTCAAATATATTGTATAAGTACATAACTTAATCTGATCATTACTTGCTAAGACAAACCAAAAACATCAACTTGGAAAACATACGTAAGCATCTACAGCTTACTAACTCACATCCATGCCATTTGACATTGAAAGGATGACCGACTTTCAGAACAAGTTTGTACAGTATATAATTATATGGAGAAGCAGGTCAAAGAAAGAGACCTACCAGCTTTTATGGGAAAACAAAAGAAAAGCTAATAATAAAGCTGTAGTATGGTACTGGACAAAGTGATTACAAGTAGAACATAAACTTACAGAGATCGATTGTCAAATACTGACTGCTCTTCCATGTCAGATAATTCACCATAAGATGTAGCAAGTAATAATATGGGTAGATTTGATGGCAATTCTTCTAACAAAGTCAGAAATACAGCCCTAAGCTGTTCATGAGCCTGCAGTCATCAGTATCAAGATCATCAGACTAGCAATCTAAAACAACCAACAGGACAACCTAATACATTATATTAAGCAAACATGATCTCCAAAAGTAACTGCAGCAAAGTGGAATTTAAATAATAAAAGCACACTTACATTTTCCCACCAATTATTGAACATTGGTATGTAAAGTATTGAAGGTGTTGTTCTCCTAGCTTCACTAAATATATGTACTAACGCCTCTTCCGGGGTCTTTGCACCAGGATCCGAAAGGAGAGATGGAAGTCCCAGAGAATGAATAGGGAATTTTTCTAGCTCATGTAAAATTGCAGGCCCAAGATGATCCTGTTCAACTAACAAGTAAGTGAATTCAGTTCATAATAATAAAGCTTTCAGACATAATCACAAGAAACGAAAAGCAATTACCAGTCCAACTCCTTCACCACCAAGCAGCAAAAGTCGAGGTCGATAAACAAGAGGAATTGCAGATCCAAATGAAAGTATTGACAGCTTCGTCAACTCCGATGACGTGGCTGACGAGGGAAAAATATCTGATATTAAACTCATGGATTCAAGGAGGTGTCGATGTAAACATGGCAATACAACCGGAGAGAGTGGTCTGGATTGCACAACAGACCCTCTATGGGCAGCAGGAGTAATAGCTGACATTGCCTCTACAAAGTGGCTCTTCTCAACGTTAACCAACCCAACATCTATGGCGTATTTATCATCACTGGTATAAACTTGTGGATATTTCTCACGAAAAGCACGAATCGCAGCTTCAGTGCACAAAGCTTTTAGATCAGCACCACAATACCCTACACAAGTAGCTGCCAGTTCCTCTTTCAGCTCCCTAGTAGGTGGGTGCTTCCATTTACGAGTGTGAATATCCAATATTTCGGCTCGTGCTTCGCAGCCTGGTAAAGAAAAATTGAACTCCCGATCGAATCTGCCAGGGCGGCGTAACGCTCCATCTATTGCATCTACCCTGTTTGTTGCTCCAATGAGAACAACTTGACCACGAGAATCGAGGCCATCCATCAGCGCCAGCAAAGTTGAAACAATAGAATTATGTATTTGTTCCTGTTTGCTAGATCTTACAGGAGCAAGACCATCAATTTCATCAAAAAAGATTATGGAAGGCTGGTTTCGCTGAGCCTCCTCAAAGAGTAGCTTTAGCTGTCTCTCAGCCTCGCCAACCCACTTGCTAAGAACATCAGCACCCTTCCGCATATAAAAGCTAACTTTCTGTCCAGCTTTTGAAGCAGCACATGCTAATGCTCGAGCAATTAGTGTTTTACCAGTGCCTGGAGGACCACACAGCAGTACACCTCTGGGAGGAGTAATGCTGTAACTTGCAAAGAACTCTGGATACAGCAACGGAAAGAAAACCATTTCCTTCAAATCATTAATGTACTCGGACAGCCCACCAATGTCATCAAAATTTATATCCTCATTAATCTGCAGTGGCTGGATATCTGCACCTCCTTTAGAGCTTGGCCCAGCAGTCTGAACACCAGAAGTTAATGCAGCCAAACCATCACTCTGGTGACCCCAACCAGAAGCTCCAACGTTCAACCCCAATGAACTTGACCCATACGTGTCCAAACCCCCAAATAGCCAAGGTGCTCCAGATCTGTTTCCACCTCGAGCCCAGGGAATTGCAGGGCCCTGGTCCAACTCGTCCACAAGAAGAGAATCATCTGAATCATCTGTTCTTGTAAAACGATGGCGCTTGTGAGGCCGAGACCCACCTCTCCTAACATGCCTTCCAACCCTGGTGCCCATGCCTTGATGCAATACTCTCCGAGGAGATCTAGGTTGTTGTTGCTTGTTGATTTCTTCTGTAGGCATCCTCCGCACTTCAGCACGGTTTCGCAGATCATATCTCTTCCTTCCCTCTTGTTCTTCATCACCCTCTTCATCATCATCACCATCTTCTTCTCCCTCATCTTCGCCATCACCTTCATCTTCTCCATTACCCTCGTCTTCAGCCTCAACCTCATTTTCACCATCATCCGCATCATCTAATTCATTCCCGTTCTCGGTTTCATCTTGGCCATCTTTCTCTTCTGATGTATCTTGGTCAGTACCAGATTCTGTTTTCAGTCGTTTATTTGAACGACGAGGACGGAGACCCTCACGGCGTGGTGCCAATTCAGCATCCATGTCCTTTCTACTTTTTGAAGTTGAGTAATTTTTATGAACTCCATTATAGACTCTACTCCTCAAAGTTCGATATGCTGGACTCTGAAAAAGAACAGAAACTTATTTTCAGCAGGCATACCACAGTACTTATAAGATAGCTTTAAGTTACGTTATCGAAGTGCCATTTTAAAGAGGAATATATCCTGACCATCATATCTTCATCCTCCGCTCCAGAACTGTCTGTATAGTCCTCAAGGTTTACAGAAATTCTTCTCTTCCTCGTGGAACGCCGGAGATCAGATGCAATTGGCTGTACGTCATTAGCAATGTTATCAACATTCTGGTTTAATCAGACAAAAAGAAAAACGGTGTGCATTACAAAGAAAAAAACCGATCAGATTACTTTCATGTTGTTCCCCTGATACCCTCCGCAGACACAATAACCAGTAAAAATACAAAATCAAGACAAGATAAAAAAACAGATGATCATATATATCCACTTACCAATGATGTACTGAAGGATAAAACTATCAAAGAGATTCAAGTAAACCAAGATGAAGTGCCAGATATTATAGCACTGATGCAATATCATAGGAAGAAACATGTAATTCTTACCGTGGCATTTGATGCCCTCGCTGGACGGTTCCCTTTGTGCAGCATCTTTGCGATCTGAGAGGCTGCCGTTCTTGTCTTTGTGTTTCTTTTCCTATTATGTAATATGTTTGGTGAGTAGTATACGTATGAGCGATTATACAATTTGGGCCTCCTCCTAAGCCTATCACTGCTTCTAACTGGCTTAGTAACTGACCCATCTCCTTGACTTGATCGCTTAGGATGCATGGAGAAATGCTACCTCTGATGATTATCTCCTTCCATAAACTACAAACCCAAGATTGACAGATCAGATTTCCACACCATAACCAGCACTAAATGAAAAATAATTTCAAAACTAACAATACAGGGTTGCAATTTCTATCAGATAAAAGGAGAGAATATCTCAAATACCACAAACTACGTAATCTACAGGAATCACACATGTAGAATAGAAGAAACACTCAAACACTAGAAGAATTGTAGGAAAGTAAAACTTCACATATCAAAAGAATCCCAGAAGGAACACATCTAACATGTTCTCATAGACACGCCCTTTATAGGTACGCCAACTCCTAATAGACATGCATTCATAGAGATAAACCCCAAAGAGAAAGCCACTAAACCTCCGAGCGAAACAAAGAAAATTCTAAACCAAACCCTAGAAACTGAAGGTGGAAATGATCATCCTCAATCAAATCAACGGTTCCTGTTCATAACGATGAACAGATTCTTGCTAATCAACAACTAAAACGACTGTTTATCCGATTGCATTAGCCAAAGAACTCGACGAGACAAATCAACTGAGAAATGAACGGAGAGAATGCAAAATCGAACAAGCGTAAGAGATAGATGATAACACAAAGACGCAGAAACCTGAGGATTGAAGAAGGTGAACACAGAGAAAGATCGAAAGTGTCAGTGGAGACTGCAGAATTTGCAGGTCCGTCTTCGTTGCTCTTCTCTCTTTCTTTTTTTTTTTTCTCTTCGAGCGGTTTTTTTTTTCTTTTTTTTTTCCGGCTGCTGCTTTAATAAAATTTTCTTCACCACTCTCTCTGTTTGGACGTAAGAATATCTCTATCCCTAGCTCTTTCCTAGTCCAAGTTTGGATTATTTTGAAAGTACTCCCCGAAATTTATAATATGTCATAATATCAACCCCATAACTTTCATTCTATTCAGTATTAAATTACGGAAGTTATACCTTTAGTTTAAAATTAAACTTTTATGACCGTTAAGATTTCTTAAACCCCAATGTGATCAGCCATCAGTAAGGAGGATTCTTCCGTCTTGCAAAACTCAATTTGTTGATAATCTTTTTTGTCTTTACATAGAATATCAGTTAATTTTGGTTTGACCAAAAAAAGAATAGCAGTTAATTCTATATAAGGGAAATTCAAATTTTTTTAAAGTTTGCTAACAAAATTAGATAGATTACAAGGTAGATGAATCCAAATCACTTGCTTTTAGTGGAAAAACATTTAAAAGGTTCTTCAATTTTTTTTTTTTTTCAATAATCAATTAAAAGTATACTTGCCCAAGTTTCAGTCTTTTAAGTTATACACAACTACACAAGTGGGATGCTCTTGCATTCCCCATAAAGCTATACAATTTCTTGGCTACAATTTAACTGTTACCGAGGACTAATCACAAAATGGGTTAAAAATGATCTAGAAGGAGAATCCAGAGCCAAATCAACTAAAGTTTCTTGCTTTTGATAGATTTCTTCAATTTTGATGATGTGCTCGGAGTCTCCTTGAAGGCAGAAGGGCAGAGCTCAGTGATACTACAAGTTCCACAGCGTGGCCTTAGCGGTGTGCATATCGTTTGTCCAAAACCAACCTGTTTAGACAACAAAATAGAGAGGACGGAGATTAAGTCGGGTTATAGAGGTTTTCAAGCTTTTATATCGCTGACATATGAAATGTTCATAAAAGTCGTAAGTAGATTTTTTTATGAATGGTCATGCATCTTTAAGTTAGGATCTCCCAGAATGACGCACCAACAGAAAGTTAATAGCCACCCATTCTTCTTTTGGAAGCCACTGTTGCAGAGCTACCCTAGTTTCCTCAGGGGACGAGGTTTTCTGGTCAAGAACAAATTAGAGATAGGTGACCAAGAGCAGATGAGCAAACAAAAGAAGAAGCAAAATTTTACCAAGTGTTAAGAAATCAATCTAATAGGCTCACAGCCATATTTAATTCAACATAAGCCTGATGTTAGAGAAGCACCTGTTTCGTTCCTGGTTTAGACACCCAACCAAGTCTATTGCAAATACGATGCACATGTGTGTCTACACATATCCCTTGAACATCATTCCAGGCTACATGCAAAACCTATCACAGGACAACAACAGAAACCTTTTTATAACTATAGAAACATGTATCTCTCTTACATAGCTGAGTAATATGGGCAACTTTTACCAGATGAGCAATCTTAGGACCAACTCCTGGAAGTGAGAGTAGTTCTTCCAAAGTCCTTGGAATGTCACCGTCATATTTAGTTAGACATATTTTTGCAACTTTCTTCACATTAGCAGCCTTTCTAGTATAGAATCCAACCTAAAAGTAAAGGGCAAACAGTAAGTTTCATATCGAAAGTAAAATGATAACAACAATTTCCATTTATAGTTTCTCCCTCCTTTCCTTTTCATTTCTTAAATACATCTCATGAAAAATATGGCAGCTGGGGTCATAGCAGAGTCAAAGAGCACTTCAACAACATAAAGTAAGATTACAAAGGGATAATGTACCGGATAGATCAATTCCTTAATGGTTGATTCATCGGCTTTGTCAATGGCTTCAGGAGTGAGAAGGCCATTCTGATGAAGTCGTTCTACTGCCGCTGCATATTAGAAGAAGTGTTTGAATATAATATCGCGAAACTTGGAGATCCAGATGATATCAGAGATACTACAATGCTGAAATTAAGCGTTCTTGCAACATGGGCTAAGTAATTCAAATCTCACCACCAGTTATGTGCTCTTTAGTCTGACTTGAAAGAAGTGTTCCTATGAGCACATAAAATCGCCTTTCCTAGAAATAGGGAGAGATAAAATCAAAAGGAGAAACAAGAAGGGAAACCTTCTATCTACCTTTAAGCATAATTTCAATTTATGAAATGTGAAAACAACAAAGGAAGCAAGAATTCAGAATAAGAGAATTTTCTAATCGTAAGCTAGCATGTGTTACCAATTCACGTTAAACCACTTGGAACTTGGTTCCCAATCTATGCATAGAGTACAATGTAATAATGGAAAAACAAATGGGAAGTAATATTTGAGAAAGCAATGAAACTATCCCACTGCATACTCTTCCACATAGCAATGAAACTATCTCCCTGCATACTTCCACATAAAACAAATAGGCACAAACTCAGCAATACCGCAATTCTATAGAGTAAGATATTTCTACCTTTGGAGGTAAAAAGCTTCCGGTTCTATCACATTCTACAGCATTAACTGGTGCTTCTTCTGAAGATTTCAATTTTTGAATACCCTCGAGCACCTTTTTCCAGTTTTCAGGTGGTATGCCTAAATAAACATCTTAGGGACATCCCGTTTTCCATAAAGAATAAATGTACCAAAAATGCCACTAAGAGAAGTAGAGTATCATGAAAGAAAACCTGCTGTTTTGATCGACGATGCAGAAGGGCTAGCTTCTGTTGATTTATATATGAGTTTAGTTTTCTCGCCCCTGCAAAACAATTTCATACAAGGAATCATGCTATGAGTTGAAGAGTAGTGAGAACAAGTTTTGGCTCAGTGACTTTATTTCTTTCAATCCATTAAACATCTCCTGAATCAATCAGGAATATGAAACATTTGTGTCATATAAAAAAACAGGGAAAATGTAACTAACTATACACAGTGAGACTTACTAGATGAAGCAGATCCATTAGTCTTCTTGTAAGGAGAGTCTTCTATATCAGGTAATCCACACATCTCCTCCATTACATAAACAAGGAGTCAAAGACCAAGAGGATCATATAATACATATCTTAAAGTATAGAAAAGTTATCCCTATAAAATCTGATTGGTTAAGATCATAAAAAGCAGTAACTTTGCAAGCCAAGGGATCAATAAATTGCCTACAAATCTCTGCAGCTCTCAAGATTTGAAATTTCCAAAAACCCTATTATATATATACCTTGAGGGCATTGATTCCTCTGCTGGAACATTTCTCCAAATCTTCATGCTTTAGCCTTTTCTTCCTTAAAGAGACTCGAGTCTCAGACTCAGAAGTTCCATTGGCTGCTTCTGATACCAAAACAAGCAACTAGAGTAAAAAACAAATGGACCAGGTACGAATCAGTACAAAAATTTCCCATAAATTCGGAGAGAGGGAAGACCTGAATTGAAATTGGAATCGGTACGAGGATTTAGGGATTCGGCGGAGATGGATTTGGCAAATGATCGAGTAGTAGCAGCATACATTCGGCGATTCATAGCGTTAAAAACTCGAGCGGCGATGAGAAATGTTGAAGCGGCTCCACTTATAAGAATCATAGAGCCAATTTTTGTGTTTCATCAAATTCAGATTTTTTTTTTTTTTTTTTTGAAGGGAGTCGTCGAGGGTAACGATTTGATAGCTGGCGACAAGATCAGACTTTGGACTTTCAGGTGGCGTGGAGTCCTCTTCTTTGCCCTTGACTTGATATAGAGTAGCTCCTAGCCACAGGATAGGCACAGCTCAACTATTGTTCAAGGAATTGGTAGATAGCTAGCTCTCTTGTTTGATCCATATATAGTTTTCTCCATACATAGCATTTGAATTATATCTTGTGAAATGATGTGATCACAGACAGGTCACAGGTGAAGAAATGCAACAGTACGTAAAAAAGTGTCTGGCTGATAGACGTTCTAGGGATGCAGTAGCTACTCGTCGACGTGATACGAGGCTTGTAGTTAGCATAGCAAATATGATCGAGAAACATAGTAGGATTGCAGCTATTGGGAGTCAGTAACCCCAACTTCAGGGGGCGATTGGGATCCACAAGGCTCTAGGTTTGACTAGGATTGTCATCTTGCTCTTTGTTGGGTTTCTTTCCCCTGTTTATTAGTGAAACTGAACATTTTGTCATGAATATGGTTTCTTGATTGGTTTTCGACAAAAAAAAAAAAAAAAGATTGGTCTGCTTTAGTTACTGACAATAGATGCATTTGATTTCTTGTAATATATCTCAAGGTTTTAAAAGTGTGTGTTTAGGTCAAATTCCTCCAAACTGATCATACAATCAAAATAGGGTTGTTTTCTCTAGCCTTTTCTACTCATATGAGAATCTGATTATAAAAGAAAATTCATAGTCAGGAACAAAATTTGTTGCCAAAGAGAGTTTTTTTTTGTTTTTGTTTTGGCAAGTACATAATCTATAAGTTTCAAAAAGAATCATCGAACAAGAAAGTGTCAGAGTTAAATTCTGAATCTATACCCTCTCTACCCTTGAACTCACCAAGCCCCACTGCGTTTTCTATTGAGAAATCATTAATCAATGCGAAATCATCTTCCAACATTGTCTTGCTTCTGCGGTTTATGAGCTTTCTAGCTGTTATTTCCACTTTGGCTCTCTCTGCTGCAATCACTTCTTCAGCAACTTCAAAAGGTACAACCTTTGAACATGTTTTGCTTGATTTTCTCAACCTTGATGGCAAACTTTTGTTCCTCTTCACGCAGTTCCTAATGGGCTCGTTCTTGATGCTGTCATTTTTCTTGTTGCTGTTATTGCTGATAGTTCTTTTGAGCTCTGGAATCTTGGATGCGTTTGTTAAAGGGCCATTGAACACAAGCTTTCTCTTACTACCATCTTTAAGGTCTAGTTTTCTTGCTTGGAGAAGTTGTGCTCTCATGGATCTTGGAGAGCTACCTGCAGAAACTTTGGCATTCAATAATTTCTTTCTCCGAGGTGACATTGAGAAATGCTTCAAGATATCCTCAGGTGTCCAATCAAATCTCTGTTCATATGGCCAGAAAAGCGGCTCATCGACACTACTACTACTGCTCTTAGAATCCACAATCTCTGCACTTTTCTCATCCAAACTTATCTTACGAACCAAAGAAGTTGCCGTGTGATTATTCGGATCAGATGGTACATCAGAGGAGATTATCAGAGAAGGAGAATGATTTCCTGATTCAAGTTCTATACCTGAAGATTGTGAAAAGCTAACTTTCTTTCCTTGTGAACTCTGAGTAGAAGAATCAATAGCGGTGAGATTAGGAGCAGAACTAAATGAATCTTTCTTCTGTATGTTCTCTTTAGTGTTTCTTGGGATTCTGGGACGGTCTTTAATGGAACTTACTTCTTGATGATTCAGAGAAAGGGAAGCTTTAGCAAGGTTTGATAACCAAGAGACTACACTCTCATCAACCGAGAAACGAAACGAAACAGATAACCTGCGTTCCTCAAGAAGAGAAGTAGGAGATGCACAATCTGAAGATAACCAAATGGAATCACTATCATCAAAGCTTCTCCATTTTCCAAACTTGTTATTCGTCCCACCACCACGATCATCGATCTTTTCCCTTCTTGGTTGTGATGGTGTTACACTACCTGATGGTTTGATCCTTGTTTTGTTTGTGACATCTGAAATCTTCTTCGTTGCAGGTAGCCTCATGGATTCAAAGTTAGTAGAACCTGTTGATTTCGATCTTGGAAGCAACTTGGGTTCACTTGTTGCATTCTTCTTCTTCCTCATGGAGAAAGATGAAGCCACTCTCTTCACAAATCCCTTAGATCCTCCATCTTGTTCATTTGTGAAAGCCATTGAAGTGCCCAATCACTTTCTGTAAAACTTAGCCTGAAAAAATCAGACAAGAGATGTTTCAGTAACAAGCATTGAGATTATACGTTGAGGAGTACATGTCGAATTCAATTAAAAAAAAAAAAAAAATGATGAAGACAATTGACACACCAACCACTAACTTCTTGGAGTTTGACGGAGTCAGCACATGACTACTGCATTAGCAGAGAAGATTTGTGTTTCGCGCGTTATTACAAAGGCAATAATAATTAAGTAGCACGAAAGGTTCTCTTTCACCAGTAATTTTGTAAAAGAGCCAAATATTGCTTTCTTATGACACAATGGTGGTACCATTTGCCGCTTGAACTCGAGAAATTCTTTAGATAAGAAACTTCAGTTTGGTTCAAAAGGCAATTAAAAGCCAAAGTAACAATGTGCAGATTCTTTTTTACTATACAATATTTAGGGTAACCAAAGACTAACATGAACCCTTAAGACAGAGATAGATAGTTCACTTGTGCGTGCAGTCTTGTGCCTTAACAGCCTTCAAACTCACAGGAGTGTACTCAAAAGTATTGTAAACCCCAAACCTTTCTCCAATTTGCTGAACTCTTAAGAAATCTTTCTTCTTCTTCCCGAGTAATCTAGACCTTTGTGAGAGAGACTGAGTGATGCAACTGAAACCTGAGAGATCTCAATTGTCATCTGGGTTTCTGCTGGAACCGCCATTTTTGGAGCTTCCTTTACCTTTCCCACCGCCTTTTGTCTTGCTAGACGATTTAGAGTTTGCTGGTTTGCTGCTAGCAGCTTGTATATCCACATCAGCAAGACCATTCTCCAGAGCTTTCACCAGATTTTCGAAGTAGGTTTTTGTTATGCTGTTTATACACAGATAGAAGCCATTGGGGTTAGCATTGTTCAAAGTCTCAACTAGTTCACCTAAACCTACAACAGAATCTGACTATAGATGCAACAATCAATCTGAATATAATAGCAAACACTTATGACTAGATAGACTCATCTTAAAATCAACAAGGATTCTATATTGATCTGTCTGAAAAGCTGATGTCTTTTCTTGTTCTGTGCTAAACAGCCGGATAGATGTAAACAAGACAATTACCTGGTTAAACCAGTTAATTTTGTCCGGAAATGATTGAATTCATCTGAAGGGCCGTCAGCAATTTGAAACACCTCTAAATCCTTCTCCACGCATTTGTGGAGCCTCTCCAAACCTGACTCAGCCTCCCCTGATCAGATCAACAAGAGAAACGTCAACTTCAAGGGTTCACTGACACAACTGACTGTTCCAGCCAAATCTACAGATAAGAGTTCTGACCTTGCAAATACTCAAAAAATTGTCGCTTAGCATGATCTGGTAGATAGTATCCATATGCATATGTCCATTTAAGTACCCGTCTGCATTCAATGATCTGCAAAAGTATAAAATAAATGAGGGAACATTCAGAGAGACGTTGTACATACATCTCATTTATCTGAAGATTTTAGCTGCTAACCTGGAGCCAAGCTGCTGCGATAAACTTGAGCTGAGATTCTGGTGTGCACTGTATGTCACTAAGCTTCCCAAGCTAACAGAAAAATGAGAAAAGTTTGTCATCAGCATGTGAGAAACTGCCAAAAACCTAACGTTCAAATTTTAATATAATTGCACACATGTATAAGCACCAGAAATTCAAATCAAAATACACAAAGTAACAACAATGCAGTCTCTACTTATTCTGGATCCAATTTGGTGTTGCAAATAAATACAATGGGAAAACCTGCTAGCTCACATCATTCTCCACTCCAAAGAAGAATTAACTCTCTCATTCGGTAGATAAAGATGAAGGAAATAAATTGAAAAATAAGATTAATAATTCTTACCTTCTCTGATTGCATTTTCTGCAGATCCCCCATAGCTTTTTGCCTCGACTGCCAAATCACTCGAAAAATGTAAATATATATGATGGAAAAATCACAAAAGGCATAAGAAATCAAATAAACATTGAGCATACCACTTGATTGCTTGCCCAGCGTTCATAGTAATGAGTGTATCTCTCTAGCGAATTTTTTGCCATCTCTCGCCTCCTTTCAGCCTCATCATACTAAAACAGGAAAAATTTAATTGATATCAACAAAACAATATTGACAACAATCAGCTTAAGTGATTGCAGAAAATTACACCACAAATGATCAAATAAGTACAAGAGGTCTTACCAACCCTTCTTGCTTAGCCGCCTCATACCGATTGCAGGCATAAAATCCACCAGTTCTTTCCCCGTGCTCTGTCCATGCGTTAAGGCAAAGCCTAAAGATTCAAATAAAGATACGTTCATTAGCACATCTTGCATTTCTATCACTTTGCAGAGAAAGAGTAACAACCAAACAAAGACACCAGAGATGGGTAGAAAGCATTACCAACAAAACTCATGTTTACAAGGTGGTGTGCATGTCATGTGCATACAGCCATGATTCTTTTCAATTGGCCGCTTACACCTTGGACAAGGCTTTGAATTAGCAAGTATCCTGGGTATGAGGAGGAAAAATAAGATTAGCAAGTAGTATAATAAAATGGAAAATAACATAGTGACCGTAGTAATTAAACATATTTCTTCAGTGAGATATATGGTAGTAAACTAGTGATAAGCAGAAGATTAGGGAGCATGAATACGAATAAAAGGAGCATATACCAATTCATATTTTCAGATTCAGCGCTGTTCTTTAGTATCCATTTCCCAACTGTGTCACAATCCACAGGACGGTGAGCCTCTTCAGTGCACTGGAATTTCAAAGTTATAACAGTTCCAAAATGACCAATAGTCAAAAGAATGTGGTTCAAAAACAAAAAGCAAAAAAAAAATGTCAAAAGAAGTAGATTAGAGGTCTTTGATTCCAAGAACTTACATTCCAGCAAAAGCTATACGAACACAAGCACGAAACATCATAACTTTCAGTCCCAGCAGCAAAATCAATTGCATGCTCACATCCTGGGGCAGGACACCACTTCATCTGAAACAGAAAAAACAAATTGGAGCAATAAATAAAATTAGACACACGCCATATCATAGACACAAAAACTGATGACAAAGTTGTATAGTTTGCTCAAAGCAAATGCATTGAAATACGTTGGGCTTATTGTGATTTAATTCAAGAAGAAAAGCTGGACGCCATTCCATACAAGATTAAGAAAAGGAAGTTTAAATTATATAGACGGATCAAAAGAACTCGCAAGAGCATCAAGTAGTTTCTGCTTCTTGCGTGAATATATGCAGTCTGATATATATTATCTTGGAAGCCTTACCTTTCTGTTGTCTTCAACATAAGATCTAAGAAAATATCTATAATACTTCTCCTTGTCTTCCTTACAAGCCAATTTATCGATCATATCTCGACCAATAGCAGCAGGACAAGAAGGCTCAGGACATTTTAGCATCAAACATCCTGGGCCATCATTGATGGTTGTGCTTATGTAACCTATAAAAGTGCACAGCATAAAACGAAATGTATCAGAAAAGAGATGTTTAAGTAGGAAAAACAGTATATAAAATTTAGATCTACGCAAATCAGGCATGGAAGAAACTAAAGCTTAACAATTAAATTCATAGACAAATATCTTTATAATGTGTAAACCGAAATGCTAACTAGATATACAGTCAGATAAATCCAAGGAAAGTAATAAATCAACAGTCCCTGTTTCTGAAGAAGCTACAGATGTAAGAATCTATCGATAAGGGAGGAAAAAAAACATACCCGTCCAACATGTAGTGCAGAAAGGATGACCACAAGAAACCGATACAATTTGCTCAAGAGGGTAGGATTCAAAGCATATTCCACATGTAAGCTAAACGTCAAATCATGCGTCAGTGAAACATGATTTACCAAGTGAGAATTAAAGAAAACAATTCCGAGTCGAGAGTTAAAGGAATTACTTCTCTGCCTTTAGGTGTTGGAACAACAGGTCCCTCTAATATGCCAACAGTTCTCCGAATTCTCTCCTCATCGGCAAACCATTCATCATGAACTTTACTAACACTCCTAAAAAAGAAACATTTCTCAAAGTATTAGGAAACTATCTAAAGCCACTAGTTTGTTCACAAAGAGCCTAGAGTCCATTAAATGAAGCAGATCAAAACAATCTCATGGAAGAGAAAAGTCGTTTTGAAACAATTAGAGGATAAACAATGTCGTGGATATATAATCGAAAACATAGGAAACAGCGAGATATATAACAAAATCACCCAGTTGTCAAGGGAATTTACCAGTGATAGTGAAGAAGTAAAATGCTTGCTTCGACATCGGTTATGGAGAGGACCACGGAAACTCGCCCAACATCATCGTTCTGATGCCTGCGAATATCTTCTTCCTTGAGAACAACATAATTTATCTGGAAGCATACATCATTACCACAACACTGAGTCAATATGGTCACAGTAAAATAAGAGCAGATGTGAACTAAAACTAATAAACAGGTAGAGAACTATAATAAGACTAGACATTGCATGAATAAAGCAAAAGTCTAACCAAAAAAAACTTGTTAAAGCTCACCCTCAGCATATCCCATTAAAGCCGGAACAGAATGGGAAAACTAACCTACTAAAGACTAAGAAAGTAAGCTCAAAACGGGAAAAAGATCCAAACTTTAACAACCAAAAGAAGTAATCAACAAAGAGTCATATTAACCTAATCAAACAAAAAAAAAAAAAAAAAACAGCTTCCAACATTCGCCATCTGCAAAAGCAAGAAACACAAAACAAGTGACAAGTAAGAAAGAAGTGGAAGCCACCTGAGAGCGATGGGAGGCGATAATGGCGGAATCGTCGGCGTCTGCCTCACCAAACCCGTAATCAGTTTCAACATCATCACTATCATCGTAATCATCGGTGCCGCCGCTGTAGTAATCATCATCTCCAGATTCCATATCGTGGGCATCAAGCATATCATCATCGGAATCCATGATCTATAAATAAAGACTAGAGATTTAGCGGAATCAGACGAAACCCCTCTTCCTTTTTCGCTGGACAAAGTAGGGTTTGTGGGTTTCAATACACAAAAAAAAAAAAAAAAGGTTCTTGCTTTAAAGGAGAGAGAGAGAGAGAGAATCGCAAGGGAAAGTAAACAGCTTTATAAGGAACCGAAGAAGTTGGATAGTTTGATCGAGAAATATTGGTAGCTCTCTCGATTCCGGAGATCGCTCACTGGGTTCGCGATTTATAGAAATCGAGTAGATGAGAGATATGGACTTTTGCCACTATCGTCGGCTTGAGTTTATTTTACTACTCTATTTAAAGTGCAACAATTTAAAGAAATATGGAAATTTATAAAAGTAAATTCTATAATATTTTTCTTAAACACTACTAGATTCTTTTTTTTTTTGTTTTATACACATATTTTGACATTTACTTTTGATCTAGATTCTAGAGTAATTTAAAAAGGATATCATTAGTTCTTAAATGTAAGTAAAATCTAGGAAAATCAAATGTTTAAGCTCCTATGAAGCCAAAATCGAACTGAAAAATGATTTCATTTAGAACTCAGCTATATTGTAACCAAAGTAAACCACTTTTATACTGTCTATTGTATTTAATTGATTAAGAGTTACGTGTTGCATTTGGTGTTTTACCTCTCTAGTTAATGAATTAGCAAGATGTGACGGATTTGTTCTTTCAAAAAGTTGAAAAAATGGTAAACCCCAAACATCATCTCTCAATGAAGACTTTCTCGATTTGAATATTTAATAGGAGGGGTTGCAATTCAGGACCGGATTCATATTGGCACCACCAGCCTCAACAGACTTCTAAGTAGATGAATCACACAAACAAAACGACCAACACAATTATTATCAAAGTCACAATTTCAAGGAACATAGGCAACAAGAATCAATCTAAATGTAACGAATGTGTATCATTGATATATTATGTATGAATTACAACGTTTTTGCCTCAAACCTAGGAAGATTATAAAATTGATCTCCACTTAATTTTTTTCTTTAAATATAGAAGAAAACAGAGTCCATAACTCACACGTCACACCCAATATTTTCTTATATATTTAGTTAAGTCAAACATTTTTCACAACAGTAATTTCAAAAATTAGAAAGAGAACATTCTCGTTTTTTTTTTTTATATGTCCAATATTCCAGCCTAAACTGCAACTTGCAATTACCAAATAAATATCTCGGTAGTAAAAACGTGTGCATAAACTGGAAATTAACAATTAGCCTGGATTAATCGTCATGATTACGGCCCGAACCACTAGCTTCCCCGTCAGAGACAACACTAGCTAAGCCATTCTCTATATCTTTTACCACATTCTCATAGTGGTTCCGCGTTAGGCTGTTATGAAAGAAAAATAATAAATAAGTTGATCGATTTTAGGGTTTAATTGTTGGATCTTGCTAAAACTACAAGAAACAAAGGAATATAATATCAAACCTAGTTAGTTCAGTTAACTTGATGCGGAAGGCTTTGAAATCCTTTGATGGTTCCTCCTCGTAACAAAACGGCTGCAGATTAGTCTCCAAACAGTGTTTGAGATTCTCCACAAAAAATTTCAACCTCTCTGATTAACAAAAATATGTTAGCTTATAATTAATATCTCTCAGTTTATGCATATACATATACCAAAAGTTACATACCTTGCGTATCCTTCAATAAATTTTGCTTCCCGACCTCATCCTCTCTAAGGTAATATCCATAAACATAAGTCCATTTCAGGACCCTTAGACATTCTATGACCTGTATCATGTATGCATCACTTAAGTTATGTCGGAAACCAAAACATAAAACATAGATTTCTCGCACTAGTTTTACTTTTGCTAACCTGAAGCCCAGCTTCTAGGATGAAGTTAAGCTGTGATACGTTTTCTAACTGTGTGTTACTTAGATCCTGAATCTGGAAAATAGATTATTAAAAAGAAATGATTCGACTTTCATCTACAGAGATTGAAACAGAGCGATAGTAAGGCGATAAAGATTTCTCTTACAGCAGTATCTAGTTTTGGCAGGTTTGCTTCTGCTTTTTGCATCAACTGTCCAAAAACCATGCTCAAAAGAAATCAATTCTTTTTTCATAAGTGTAAAATGGACTTGAAGTTCAAAAATAAGTGCATGTATATACCAATTCATTACTGCTCCAATCTTCATAACAATCTTCGTATCTATTTGGATCAGATTCTGACATATCCCCACTTTGATCACTCTACAAAACATCAGAAAAGGTACATAATAAAAAATCAATAAACAAGATATTGGTTGATTACGCAAACCATGAAACATCTGATAAAGTACCGAGACAGCATAGAAGTTACAAGTGTATGAATCACCCAGGTGTTCAATCCAGTGGAGACGGCAGTACCTGCAGAGGACATTTCATGAAAGAACTTAATAGTAAGATCATAATAATGAACCACAAGACATGAATTAATAGAAGAATAATTAAGTATATTACCAACAGAAATCGTAGTTACAGGGTAAGCATTTCATCTTCAGTGAATTATCTTGATTTCGTAGGATACTTAGCTTACACGTGGGACAAGGTACCGCATTTTCTAGTAGCCTAAAGTCATAATCCAAAAGGACTAAAAACATTTCAGAAATGGGAAATAGACCGGTTTTGGATATCAGAAGCGTGTGTATTGCTAACCATTTTGCAGCAGTTTTACAGTCCACAGGGCTGTGAGCATCCTCTCTGCACTGAAGCTAGGATTCAATATATAGTAATAGAAACTGGTTAAAAGACAAAAGGATTCCTCAAGCTAAAAAAAACTCACCTTCCAACAGAATCTAACCAAACGGAGACAGGAGACACTGGCATCTCCAGAATCAGGACTAAGATCAATCGCGCATCTAGACCCCGGGATAGGATGCCATTTCATCTAATGCCAAAAAAAAGAAAAAGCTAAATATATAAATCTTTTAAGCAACAAATGGTTTAATTCTCTATGATCTATCAAAAGTTGTTTTCTTAATGCCTTATCATTACCATTTCTCTGTTCTCAACGTAAGTTCTAAGGAGATATTGAGTGTACTTGAACTTCTCTTCCTTGGAAGCAAATCTCTCAATCATATCTCGACCAACAGAAGCTGGACAAGAAGCGTGGAGACCAACACGAACAGGGCATTTCAGCCAAAGATTCCATTCAGCAGATGGCTTTTCACTGATGATTTTGTTGATATGACCTATAAAATTACATGTCATTTATATAAATAAGGTCTTGAAGGAGTCAGAAAAATCATTTTTTATGTAAACGAGATATATATTAATGCATACTTGTCCAGCAGAGAGTGCATATACGATGGCCACAAGAAACTGATGCGAAGTTCTTATGTGGGTCTGATTTGCCACAGGCTCCGCAAAAATACTATACGAACATTAAGGGATCTTGCGTTAACTTAGATTTGAAAAAAAAAAGAAAGAAAGTAGAATTAATAGAAACATTTGAATTCAAAGATTGTTGTTAATTACCTCGTTGTCATCAGAAGATGGATCAAGCTCCAATAAGCCGACGCTTTCTCTAACAATCTGAGCATCAGCAGACCATTGTTCACGAATGTCATCAACATCCCTAAGTACATAAAACAAAAGAAACAGAGAGATCAAGAAAAGGGGTTGCTTGTAGAAGAAGAAATACAAATCTTAGAACAATTTTTGGGACGCAATTAAAACTCTTTTACCATCTCAAGTGAGAAAGCAGAAGTGTGGCTTCCGCTTTGGAGAGGGAAGTAAAATCTGAAACACTTTGAATGTCAATTTCCATTAGTTCTCGAATATCTTCCTCTGTCAGAACAGTTGCATAATTCCGTTGGACAGATTTTTTTGCGGTCTGACCATCTTCTAAAGCTGCGTTGACGTACGACTCATACGCCTCCGCCTCGGCCTCCGATTGGATTTCGAGCTCACCCTGGCTTTTGATTACGGAATTATTATCCATAAGAGAAGTACACAATGTGAGAAGAGACGACGTTTTTCCCTTTTATAGAATTCAGTTGAAGAAGACTTGGTCTTTGACAAGGGTGTACAATTCTCTTACTTTTTGTGACAAGCAATCTTTAAGTTTCTCAGCTTTTACCCTCCATCTTCCGATGTCTTTTTAATAAGTTCAAACACTACTTCCCATTAAACAAATGTTTACCAAAGACAATTGGGAATCGTTTTTAAACAATAAAATGGTTGACAATAGATATTAACATCTATCTAATTTAGTATATATTCTATATGGAAACAATAAATGTCAAATAGCTTTATCTTCAATGATTGTTTTGTTCATTTTGTCACATTTGCTAATATACCTATATGCTTTAATCTAGTAAATACAATTTAATGTTATTATAGTCACATTGATCATATCGATATATCACTAGAGATCACAAGTGAAATTTTCACTGCTTCACATTGATAAGACTAATCTGGATTTCAGTCTAAAAATATCATGTAAGAAAAGTAAACCATATTGGAAAAGTCATACTTATGTTTTAATCATGCATGCAATTGGGAATATTCAATATTGTATGTTTCTCCATTAGTTTCCTTGAAAGAAAGAGTCTCATAGAGAGAATATGAATAGGGATGAAAGAAAAGAAAAATCAAGGAAACTACATCTTAAGTAAACCAAAATGGAGTTTTTATGACAATATAATAATACGTAAGTGTTTGACAAAAGTAAAATAAAAAAAAAAAAAAATCAGTTTGGTGTCAACTCCTCAAGCTGAGTCCGTGTAAAATTGAACCGATCGTCCATTATGCATCACGGAATCTACAACTAGAGATTAAAAAAAAAAAAGAGAGTAAAAATCATTAGATTAGTAGTTCGTCGGACGAATGGATCTGGTCTCTCCAGGTTGATTCTTCGAAATAACAATCATAAACTCCATTAATTCTTCCACATGAACATAATAATGTTATTATTTATTTAATTGTATACTGTGTTGTGTCTCTATGAATTGTTTTATCTTTGTTTGGTGTATCAAAAGTGACGTGTGTAAGTATACCTTTAAAGGGGAAAAAGCCTAAAGCGTTAGATCATGTGGATCCTACCAGTGTCTCCGTGATGTCTCGCAGCCTCACACCACGTACGAGTGCAAATTGTGCAAAATCAATTATTCGCGCTTTTTATAAGAAAAAAGTAAATGGTGTCTCTTTTTGTTAATTACTCCCTCTGTTTTTAAAAAGTTGTCGTTTTAACTGTATTTAGACAAATTAAGAAAAGATATACAATGACTATATTAACCTCATAAAAATGACAAGTAATTATTTACAAGTAATTTGTGTTTAATTAAATGAGGGTAATTTGGGTAGTTATTGGCATAAGTTACATTATTACCTTAAAACGACAACTAATTTAAAACAAAAAAAATGCTCTAAAACGACAACTATTCGAAAACAGAGGGAGTAATAATTATGGTGACTTCTAAACCAAATAATGGTGACACTCACACTAATAAGCACCGATAAGAGATACGAACATCTAAATAATCTAAATAATGTGGTGATTTCCAGATAAAATGATTCGAATGCCACCCTTGCATTTGTGATCTCATCATCACTATTGATTTACGGATCTTCTCGATCTGCGTTGATTTTGTACATATGAATAATATTTTGAAAAAAGACAACATATCTTTTAGCTTAACAAAAAAAAAAAGCCATTCTAATAACATTATTATTTATAAATATGCATGGGAAAGGGATGTAAATGTAGTATAAAAATAGGTCCTATATGCAATGGGTCATGGTGACCGTATATAATGTAGATGAATAATTGTGAGGTGAAGAAGAATAATGATGGTGACTTTGTATTCTTCTCCTCCCACTTAAATTATTGAGCGACAACGTGGCTTTTTGTTGGCCCATATTCATTCATATCACATCTTCAATTTCCAATCTCTCCACTCCTTATCCACCACGTGTCCCAAGCTGCAAGACCAACTGTGTGTATATCTTTGTCACATCCAAGTCGTTACAATGACAGTGTTTCACATTCAAAAGGGTTAATTATCATCTACAGTAGATGACAGTTCATGATTATATCTGCACATAACATATAACATCATATCATAGACATGCAGTGTCTTGTGACTAATTCTTAGATTATCTGCAATATGTAAAAAAGATATACAAACTATAAGATTGACAATGACATATATCTATATATATATATTGGACAGATGTACTGTTCACTAAATTTTTTCGTATTTTTTTCCTAACATGTTAACTTCTATTAAATTAAACTTATAAAAAATAATGTCCCTTTTTTGTAACACTTAAATAAAAACGTAAAATTATACAAAAAAAAACCAATATTTGATGCCTTTGATGGATCATTTCCAATTTAGTCATCTACTTAACTTCAAAATTCATCATTGCCATTTGACAATTATACCCTAATTGTCGGGGGCTCACTAATTTTAAAACGACATTAGTCACGCGAGAAGATGCCAACCCATCACATCACCATCATCATCATCATTCAGCATCACCATCATCATCATCAGACATCGCGGCTTTTATAAGTAAACAAATCGACTCTAATGTCTTTCTCCCGACACAAGACAAAGTTCATATACTAAGAAAAACAGAGAGAAACACAGAGAACCGAGAGGAGAGTGAGTGATGGGTTGTGTTCGCTGCAAATCATCAGATCCATGGCAAACATCTGCCAATGCCTTAGAAGAATACGTCGATGAATCTGGAATCAACGAAGCCTGGGTTGAGATCTCTAGCCGCAGATCATTTGTCTCCGGCGAAGGTAGTAGTCGGAAGAAGCTGGAGAGGAAGAAGAGCCAAGTGTTACTGGAAGGTTACGTTGAGACTTCTGCTGCTTCATCGGTGGATGATCAAAAAGACGATCTGACGAGATCCAAGAGTTTGACGGATGACGATCTCGAAGATCTCAAAGGTTGTTTAGATCTAGGGTTTGGTTTCAGCTACGACGAGATCCCTGAGCTCTGCAACACTTTACCTGCTTTGGAGCTGTGCTATTCAATGAGCCAGAAGTTCTTAGACGATAAGCATAAATCACCGGAAAGTTCGTCGGTGGAAGATTCTCCGTCGCCTCCACCTGTCACCTCCACTCCCATTGCCAATTGGAAGATCTCTAGTCCCGGTAAATATATTCGGTGATCTAAATTCAAAGTTTGTTGCTTTAGGGCTAGTGTTAAAACAAGGATTTGTAACATCCAGTTCTTGTTACAGAGGCCACAAATCTGACTCTGGTATATGAAGTCTAAATGTTATCAATTTGTTGTTGGTTACAGGTGATAATCCGGATGATGTGAAAGCTAGGCTCAAATACTGGGCACAAGCCGTTGCCTGTACTGTCCAATTGTGCAGCTGAATGAATCATTGTCACTTCTCAACAATATCTCAAGCATTGTTAGCTAAGGAGGAGATCTCAGAAAGGCATTGGAAGGTCTGAAATTTAACTGAATATCAACAATGATTCTCACTTGATTCCATGTATGTGTAGTACTAGTAGTATCTAGTCTAATGATTTTATGAACGGAAATAAAGGTATCACTTGAATAAAAAAAATACATCAACTTCTTTCTCATTTCCTGCTGGTCTCAGCATCTACAGCTTAACATCTGACATAGATCGATTCTTCTCCTTATGCAGTAGTGAGAGCATTCACTCACTTAACTGGTCATGGTTCTGCTAAGGTAACTAATCTAACTGTGTCTATTACCTGAGTGTGATGCAATATGATCATCGTCTTTCCTGTATTAATTCGTGATGAATGTGTGTTAAGCTAATGTGTAAAGCTTATTACAAGTGAGATATGAATGAAAGTTGGATTGTTGTCCTTGTGCAGTGGTGAGAGACTTTGTGTTTGTGAGACCTATCACTAACTGGTTATGGACCTTACTTGCTGAGGTAACTAATCTAAATTTGGTAACTGAATCTACAACCCTCTTTATGAAGGTAAATGACATTACTAGAGTCCTCTGACAGTCTTGACTCATTCCATTTTTGTGAATGTGTGTTGAAGCTTACAATCTTGTGGCTAAATTGCCTTATTTGGTGATGATCATTAATCATTTATGAAGAATCGAGTGGGAGGAAAAGAAAGAAGATAGACGCAGATATTATGTGTTTCCATGTTTTTCGTTCTTCATCAACTAACCATACTGGTGAAAAAGTAGATGGCTGGTTACAGTCCTAGATGCACAATATGGCGACTGAAGATGAGTCATTTTCTGGATCTTGAGAGTGAGTGTAAATATAAGCTCAAACAGCTTCTGATGACTCTTCTGTAATACATGCTACAAACAGTCACGAGTTGTTGCTCTAAAATGTAATCAAATTTTTTATATACTTCCGCAATTCCAAGCCCTTTTCAAGTACGCATTGCTCACAAGAATCGGAAACATATGAATCAGTTAGCAATAAATCAAGTCTTAAACTCAGAACACTGCAAGACGATATAGATTTATATTAAGGAGTAGCCAAAGCTCGTGGCAGGAACCACACAAAGAACATCGGTTTTTCACACAGCCGATGAAAGCTACCAGTTGCTAAAACATTAAGTGTCAACTGCTAAATCCACATCTGAATCAAGTTTGTCACAGGAATTAGAAGCATACTGGTAGGACTTGGGAATTCTACTCTAGAACCTAGATAGTGCCTTATGAGATCCAAAGATATCCTCATTTCGAGCTACACGGCTTAACTAAACCATTGTGTCAATGTTGCTCCTCGCTTGACCTAAGCTCCTTGCAAGTTGTAAGTTACCTTGTAGAGGCACTCACAGCTAAATCTGTCAATGTCATTGCAGAAGCAGGGTTGGTCAAATGGTATGCAGGCACATTAACTACTTGAATAAAGATTTCAGACCTATATATTATAAACGTGGCTTTCTTCATTCAACAAGACAACCATAGACAAATACAAAAGATCACACAACCTGTTGTATGTTGGAATCAAAGTCTACTCTTATTGGAAATGACTGTTAGCTCCATCCATTAAAAATAGAACGTAAACCACGAGACACATCTTAGAAGCTAGTCATTCTAAAAGCATCATTGCTTTGCTAAGCTTAACAACGAAAAAGAAAATTCTACTAAGACATTCTGTGTGACCAAGATCTACTACATTTATAAAAGATAAACTTTCTTCATTACTAGGCATAGATGACTACCCTATCTATCACCAGTCAAACAGGATCAGCTACCTGTCTTTATCATTTGTGATGATAGAAAGCCAGTTATCTTACCTTCCTTTTTTGCACAAATGTGGAAACAAACAGCTTCTGCTCACTCTGTTTGATTTAGCTTGTAATTTCTTCTTTTACTAAGCTTTTCAATTTGCCCTCTTTTCGTGGATCTTTTCTTTTCGCTTGAATATGATGCACAAATGCGGCTACTATGTCATGGAGTTTCGGGGGAGGCTTGCTTGCTGAAGAAACATTATGACCAGCATCCTTTAAAGCTCGAGCAACATCCTTTTGGGCTTTCTGGAAGTGCACATTACACAGAGCAGGAACAGTCGATGCAAGTGTTGGTTTTGGACACGTTATTGCTTTTGACTGAGCTCTGCATGAACGATAAAACCACACAAAGTTAGAATAGCGATGATTATATAATCATCACATGCTAGTTGCACTTTAGAATGCAAAAATTAAGCTCTTTCCAATCAGAGATATAAAAACACAAATGACATAACAAAGAACATATCATCTGACATCTGATTCATGTTTTATTACCATAACAGCTAAACCATCACAATAAGAACTTCAGGAATATATAATCATGCAGACAATCCTAACTCCTATCTTCTTCGCTCATTATCACATTACAAACAATGCAAAGTACTTTCAATTCCTCACCACGAAACAAAACCTGTCTCAAAGAACTGGATTTCACAGCATTACAAAAACATATTAGCATCTATTGAAGCACTTATTATTTCCTAATGCGAAACAACCACAAAAAAGCAAGAGAAAATATGCGAATCAAAAGTTATAAACAATGAAATTCGAAATTGAGAACGAACCTTTTGTTGACGTAAGTACAAGAAGTGTAAAGCTTCTGCTTTTTATCCATGAGAATATGAAGCTGGCAGTAATTGGTGAGTGCCATGGCCTTGGATTTGCATCCATTACCACAAGTCACACAGTTACCAGCCTTAACGCCATCGTTGTCATTGTCTCCGCTACCTTCAATTTCATCCCCAGTCTGTCCTTCTACCTTACGTCTCTTGTTTTGCTGATGATTCTCATCTTTGAAAGGACTAACACCATAGTTCCAGCTATAATATCTATGTTGCGCCTTGAGATCTTCCATTAGAGCCCAGTAATGGTCTCTGTAGCATCTAGCGAGCTGCTTCATGTTGTGCGATCTGCGTCGGAGAAGCTCAGGGCGTGTGATGTGGCTGGAACTTCCCAGGATCTGATCCTCCACAGCCATCGAAATCGGTGAATTCGACGACGTCGAAGGGTTATTAGGGTTTCGAAATTGGGATTCTTCAGATACACCGGATTTAGAGGGGATGGAAGCAGTGATCGGAGATGGATGCCTAGGAGGTTTGGAAGAAGAAGGGTTTTGCTTGGAAGCTGACGCCATTCTTACTGTTGGAAAACAACGAGAGAAAGAGAGTGGCGACTGGCGAGAGGAAAGAGAAGGACGAGAGAGGAATGGAAACTCTGGCAAAATTCATTTATAGAAAGGCCTAACTTAAAAGCCCATTGGGCCTTACATGACCGAAAATCCAGATAAAAAATCGAATTAAACCGGTCGGTTATAACCAGGTCTGATGGTGTGCGGCTGTCGGTGGAAGGCTCCACTTCAGTAAAGTAGGGCCCACAACACGAACCAGGCTGTCTTCTCATACCGACACATACATTACACCAAACGCAATATTCACCGTTGATTATTTTCTAATCTAACGGTTGATAGAGACTGCTGATCCGTCACCCGCTTTAGTTTTAGTGTTTCTTCTTCCTCTCTTTCCCAAGAATCTCTTATTTCCTCGGCAACGAAGCAAAAAGGGTAGTTTTTGTCGGTTGAATCAAATCTATTTTTCTCCATCTCTCTCTGGATCTATAGCTGATCTGCATTGCGGGTAAGCATTTTTTCCACAAGTACTTATGTCTAATTTTGGTAACGATTTAGCTAAATCTTGACTCGAGAATTTTGTTTCGTTGCTTGGTTATTGATTCCGTGATCTCACATTTGAAGTCTTCGCATATCTTATACATCAATCTCTCCAATTTGGTATAATATTGGTCAATCTAATAGCTATTAGGAGTTTTTCTTAGTTTTTGACTTAAGAACTTAGAGAGTTCCATGTTTTTGGTTTAATTCTTCCTTTGTTGATTCTAATCAGCTTTTGGCTTTAAGTGCTTGTTGTTTAAGGTAGATCTGTATTGTTAGTAATTTTTGTTCTGTTTTCTTAATAGTAATGTTCAGATGCTTACTGGGGATAAATGGATGTTTACAAATTTGTTGTTGTTGATGTTTGTAGCTTGTAGCTGGTATTTTTTCCATAGTTGTAAGCTATGGTGACAATCCGGAGTGGTTCGATCGTGATTCTGGTTCTGCTGGCTGTATCATTCCTGGCGTTGGTTGCAAATGGAGAGGACAAAACGATTAAAGTGAAGAAAGTGAGGGGAGAGAGGGTGTGCACACAGGGATGGGAATGCAGCTGGTGGTCTAAATACTGCTGTAACCAGACGATATCAGATTACTTTCAGGTTTATCAGTTCGAGCAACTCTTTTCCAAAAGGAACACTCCCATAGCTCACGCTGTTGGTTTCTGGGACTACCAGTCCTTCATTACTGCTGCTGCCCTCTATGAGCCTCTTGGTTTTGGTACCACTGGAGGGAAACTCCAGGGACAGAAAGAAATGGCTGCCTTTCTCGGTCATGTCGCCAGCAAAACGTCCTGTAAGTTTTCTTCATTTTTTACATAGAGTTGACCATCCAAACCTGAACCATTTTGGGAATCTGGTATGACTACAAGAAATGGATGCTTTAAGCTTAGCTCCGTAGCTTTTTCATCTTATTAATCTGATCAAACTCGACATCCGGAATCATGTAAATGGACATGCCCTAGGCTGCAGTTGGTGGTTTCTATGTTGTAAGAAGCTTTGCATTAACATGGATGTTACTGTGATGTCTTATAGGTGGCTATGGAGTCGCAACAGGAGGGCCTTTGGCTTGGGGTCTGTGCTATAACAGGGAAATGAGCCCAATGCAATCCTACTGTGACGAGTCCTGGAAATTCAAGTACCCTTGCAGTCCTGGAGCTGAATACTACGGACGTGGTGCCTTACCCATTTACTGGTATGCATTTCTCTTTGAAGCTAGATGAAATCAAACAATTTGCATTCTTCCATACTCAAATGTCAACGATCATCAGAGGCTGAAGGTATTTTACCTCTGTGTTTATTTGAAGGAACTTCAACTACGGTGCAGCTGGGGAAGCCCTGAAAGCTGATCTCTTGAACCACCCCGAGTACATCGAGCAGAATGCGACACTTGCATTTCAAGCTGCAATCTGGAGATGGATGACTCCAATCAAGAAATATCAGCCCTCGGCTCACGACATCTTTGTCGGAAACTGGAAACCTACAAAGAACGACACTTTGTCCAAGCGTGGCCCAACTTTCGGCAGCACCATGAACGTCTTGTACGGAGAGTACACATGTGGTCAAGGTTCCATTGATCCAATGAACAACATAATCTCACACTACTTATACTTCCTCGACCTCTTGGGTATTGGAAGAGAAGACGCAGGGCCAAACGAGGAGCTGAGTTGCGCAGAACAGAAACCTTTCAACCCATCAACTGTACCTTCCTCTTCCTCTTCGTAAGTCTTATGATGTATCGCCATTGCTCTCAAGTCTCTCTTGCTTCGCGGAAGAAATGTTACGTAATAAGTGAAATTGCTTGTGGTAAAAAAAAAAAAGTGTGCTTTTGTCCCTTAGAACTTATAATGCAAACAAAATTTATATTTTTCTGTATGTAAAACCATATTTAATTATTGTATTTGAAGAATGTGTGTAAAATAGAGAAAAGCGAGGAAACATAAATGTGGTTTGCGAATGATATGTCATAAAATTTGTTCACATGCTTTTGAGTCTATACGCATTTTACTAAAACTCATAATCTATCTACATTGTAACACATGATTTCTTCTAAAATTTAAGTAATTGAATTTTAAAATTTTTGTTACAGTTGAAACGACCAAAGGGATATACACTGTACAGTACAATATGAGTTGTAATAGCGTCAGTAACACCTAATTTACATTTGTAATAAAACTAAAAGAATACCCAAAAAGTTTCGAATCGAATCGGGAAAAAAAAAGGAAATTGAAAAGTCCACGTAGGAAACTAAAAATTAATAAAATAAAGGAAAGGCTGTATTGGTGGAAGAACTGACCAACAAACTCTGGAATTTCTGAACTTCCTCCTCGTCGTCGTCGTCGTCGCCGGTCCGGTGATTTCTTTCAACTTCTCCGCCGAGACGACTGACGCTGTAAAAATCAGGCACGGGGGAAGAAGGAAGAAGATGACCGTATCAATCGTCTCTTTCCCCATCTGCGCAAGAATCACGCTGATTTGGTTTCTCACTTCTCTTATATCCGTATCTTCTAATCCCGGAGTGTTCAATGTTAAGTACCGTTATCCAAGGCTTCAAGGGTCTTTAAGCGCCTTAAAGGAGCACGATGACCGGCGTCAGCTCACAATTCTCGCCGGAATCGATCTACCCCTTGGTGGAACTGGTCGTCCTGATATCCCCGGGTCAGTTTCTCTCTCAACTTTCAGATTCAACTAAAGACTTCTTATTGTTTCTTTAGCGTCTCTGATCACTGGTGATTTCGAGATTTTTAGAGGAATTTATTTTAAAGTTGAGATTTTTAAGATAACTTGCATTGATCTCTGTTTCATTGTTTTCTCAGGCTTTATTATGCAAAAATTGGAATTGGAACACCTGCTAAGAGCTATTATGTTCAAGTCGACACAGGCAGTGATATTATGTGGGTTAACTGCATCCAGTGCAAACAATGTCCTAGACGAAGCACTCTCGGTGTAAGCCCTCTTGTTTTGTGTCTCATCTACGTGTTCCTTTCGTTTCTCCAACTTAATGGGTGCGTTTTTCTTTCTCTATATAGATTGAGCTTACACTCTACAACATTGACGAATCAGACAGTGGAAAGTTGGTCTCTTGTGATGATGATTTTTGCTACCAGATTAGTGGTGGTCCTCTCTCGGGCTGCAAAGCTAATATGTCTTGTCCTTATCTTGAGATTTATGGAGATGGTAGCTCTACTGCTGGTTATTTTGTCAAAGATGTTGTGCAGTATGACAGTGTTGCTGGTGATCTCAAGACTCAGACAGCTAATGGGAGTGTCATATTTGGGTTAGTCACTTTTACTTATCTCGCTTTACATGACTTATCTTTAAACTAGTAAACTTCTGCAACATTCTTGTACTTGCGGCTTTGTTAGATCTTCTTTCTGTTCTCACTGAACAGAACACAATTTCACCTTGCTTGTGGTCAAGGTTTTATTTTGTCAAGTGAAAAGAAATAAAGGCATGGAAAACGCTGTAACAAATCTTGATTGACCAACAATTCTTAAAGCGCATACGAATGCCAAACAGATAAAACTTAATTGCTTAAATAAAAAATCTTGAGATTCTGAAAGAGGTTGAAGTGCATACTAGCATCTATTCTTGATTTTGAAAGTAACATGTGAATAAGTTCTCCACCATATAGTGAATATCACAAATAGACCTTTACTGAATATGTTGTGCTTCTGATTGTGACAGTTGATTAGTTTGCGAAGGTATCTTCCCGAGCACAGCTCATTTCATATGCTTCTACACGTTGGAAAACTTAGTAATTTAGAAATACCATATTTATACCAAATTTCTATTTTAGTTTTGTATCCTGGCCTGAGAATTGCTGGTCACTTTTAAAATCCCTCAGAGATCTGTAAAAAGAGTAGACTGTCCATTACAACGTTTTTTCATTCATATGGCAAAGATGCTTAATCCCTCATTCCTCATTGCCTCTTCCAGTTCTTAATGTTTTTATATGATCTTGAAGGTGTGGTGCTAGGCAGTCAGGAGATCTAGACTCTTCTAATGAAGAAGCACTTGACGGAATACTTGGATTTGGGAAAGCTAATTCCTCCATGATTTCCCAGCTGGCCTCATCAGGGAGAGTGAAAAAGATATTTGCTCATTGCTTAGATGGAAGAAATGGAGGTGGTATATTTGCTATTGGGCGTGTTGTGCAACCAAAAGTAAACATGACACCATTGGTACCCAATCAGTATGTCAACATTGTTTTCCTTTTATAATGTTTTACCTTTTTCTTGCGTTTGTGGAATCATATGCTTCAAATGCAATCAATACCTATTTCATTTTGGTAAGAAGCTCAATGAGATACTGGTAGATGCAGCCACCATGTTATTCCTGTTATAGTCTTGCTTTAGACTAATCTTATACGCTCGCTCCCCGAGATTCAATTTTCTTTCGAGTACATTGGAATAGCTGGACTTTTTAACGAATAGTAGACTGAATCTTCTTGCAGTTCTTGTGTAGAGAAGGAAAATAACATTAGTGTACTGAAAGCTTCGTCAGAACTGGTGAATGTATTCTTTCTATTGGTCTTTTTGTTAACAGACTATTTTTGTTTTTAATTGTAGACCACATTACAATGTCAATATGACAGCAGTTCAAGTTGGTCAGGAGTTCCTAAATATCCCAGCGGATTTATTTCAGCCTGGAGATAGAAAAGGAGCGATAATTGACAGTGGTACAACCTTGGCCTATCTTCCAGAGATAATCTATGAACCATTGGTGAAGAAGGTAAGTTCAAGAAAATATCTAGTTCTTAAAGACATTTGAACTGCAGAGTCTATTCTCATAGATGTGGTTCTTTTATTAGATAACCTCGCAGGAGCCTGCTCTGAAAGTTCACATAGTGGATAAAGATTATAAATGCTTTCAGTACTCTGGAAGGTTAGTTATACGTCTTGCTTTTATAATTGACAAATTTCAAATAGGCATTTACCAAGAATATCTTTGGATATCATTGTGGATGTTTTGCATACAAGCAACTGCTCATTGTGTTGTCAACGTATCACACAATAGTTTTCTTATGAAACCACATCTTACCTTTGCTGCAGAGTTGATGAGGGGTTTCCGAATGTCACTTTCCATTTCGAGAACTCGGTTTTCCTCAGGGTTTATCCTCATGACTATTTGTTCCCTTATGTAAGCATCTTCAGCCTTTCTGGTTGATTTTTCGCTCTTGTAATATTCGTGTTGCAGCCTTATTTTGCTCTCAATCTTGCTATCCACTGCACCCTGAACTCATAACACCAAATTTTCACAGGAAGGAATGTGGTGCATTGGTTGGCAAAATAGCGCAATGCAATCCAGGGATAGGAGAAACATGACACTTTTGGGAGGTACCTTAATTGGATACATAGTTTGCTGTCATATTATACGAAAGCATGACTTTAGTTTAATTGCAATTCAGTTTGTGGAAAAAGCCCATTGTATGCTCTTGCTCTCAGTGACAATGAACCCTGTGTGACTCAATCCAATGCCCACAGTATCTTACATTCTCTTTTGCAGATTTGGTGCTTTCAAACAAACTTGTTCTCTACGATCTCGAAAATCAGCTCATTGGATGGACTGAGTACAACTGTAAGTGCTATATATCATACACTTGAAAACAATATAACGATTCATGTCTCATTGTGACTGGGAAAGATTTCGAATTTGAAACAAAATTTTATGTGTGCTTTATCTCTCTTTGCAGGCTCATCAAGCATAAAAGTAAAAGACGAAGGCACAGGAACAGTTCATCTAGTAGGCTCACATTTTATCTCTTCTGCATTACCTTTGGATACCTGTCTGTTTCTACTTTCTGTACTTCTCCTCATGACTATGTTCCTCCTTTAGAGACTTCTTATAGTTTATCTTTTGTACATAGATTCAACATTTTGCTAAAATGGTAAAAAAAAAAAAAAAAGTCTGATATATAGATAATACAAAGAAAACCAGCAGATTGATGATGAACATTTTATTGACTTAACTAACTTATTGATTTACTCGCACTGAAAAGACCAAGAAAGAGGGCGCAGAGCAAACTGGTGTGAGTTGGAGTAGTTGAAGGAGAGAGTCTGCATTGGACTCAGTGGCAGGCCATCGTTAACGACACAGTTTCCGGTGGAAGAGGAGAGAACGCGGAGGAGTGTGGGGTCCACAAGCGACTGAGGAAATCCTTGACATTTCAGACGAAGGTTGATGATTGGACACATAGGACATTTGTTCATTACCTCCACTCTGAACTTCTTTCCTTCTCTCCACTTCACCTGTGTCTGCCTCACCGCGGGTTCGCTGCTTTTGCTCTCACATATTGCCCCAGAACCTATACATACAACCCCATTCACATGTCTATATATTAAATTACAATGAAAAGTTTTTAAGCTTTGAAGTTACCTATCTGAAGAAGCAATAGAGCAAGAGATGACCAAAGAAGGAACTTGAGAGGTTTTGACATTTGGACACAAGTAAACTGAACTACAGAAGCATCATACTCCGAAGCTGAGTATATATACACATACAGAGTGACACAAAAACATGCATACACGTGCGTTTGCGTGTGTGCGTGTGAGGGAATGGGTCAAGGGATACGACCAATAATGGTCACATGCACAGATAACCAAAAGGAGGTGGAAATAAAGTTACACTACAAAGGACTTAAAGGAGTGATGAGGACTTCTTCCTTCACATGTTGTGTGTCAGACTGTAGAAAACTATACACCTCTTATTTCTGACTCAAAAACATATATAATCCCTTGTTAAATCTCTAATCACAGCGCTTACCAGATACAAAATTCTGAAATCAAAAGAACCTGATAAAAAGGTGAAAGAGCAGATTAAGGCTCATTTGAGTCAGGAGAAATAAGAGAATGCTACTTTTTTTCATTTACCCAAAGATTGTAATGTGCCTCTTGTTACAAAAAGCTTTACTGTGTAAGAAATAATTAGAATCTGTACAAGAAATAGATTGTTACAAAACATAGGGATATAATCAAACGATTTCATGTCAAGAGTATTGAGAGTCACAGTATGTGTTTAGGGAGATTAATGGGGGGATCTCTAGAGAGGAAAGTTAGCCAGAATCATGAGAATTTGCAAACGTATGTCGTCCTTACAAAGATCTCGTGCAGACTGTTGAAATAGCAGATGTGATGATCTGGATCAAGTAAGCACATGCAAGTCAAAACATATGGTTAGGAGCTTCCATCCAATGCTAAACAAAAGGATTTTGTAAGTAAATTCGACAACTTGCACTGAGATAAAAGTTTTCTTTTGTGACTAATGAAATCATATTTGCAATACAATTGGCAGGCCTCACCATGAAATAAGGCTGTATCAAGACGCGTTAAAGAAGTCATTGTCTTCAATGGATGTTAGACATCTACTAACCTGGAAACTAGCTTTCAATAGCTACAAAGAACAAACTATTCCCAAGTTAACATACTAACAAATATAGCTTACCTCTTCAGGCCTCTGCCCACTCTTTTAACTCACAGCGAGAAGCATGAATATTTGCCTGTTGTTCTTCGGCTTCTGTGTCATTAACAACACCCCGGCATCTTGGGAAACCACAGTAACATGCAAGGCGCTCATCAATTGAAAAGAACCTGCAATGTTAAAGATAAAGAATCAGGAAATAATGGAATTTCAAAAGAACCCGAAACCTTAAGGGCACGAAGAAAGACCTATAGTCATAGGTCAGCTCCTCCCATTTTGCAACATCTCTCTTTGCAAATATGATAATATGCTCATCACCATTAACACTAATGACTCTTGAATAGCAATTTGGCTGTACAGAAGCATATCCATAAGTAATGTGATGATATTTCAGATGCTAACTAAATCAAAACAAATTGTCAAAACTACTTGACCATACCTCACATGAGTGATTGATGAGGTGGGCAATGCTGCCTGTCCTTGTTGCGTCTATGACTCGCTCATTATCAATTCTAAACATATAGGTCCCAGCACCCTGTATCATAAAAGAAGTTATTTTTGGTGAATTGATACCAAAGAACTCAGGACTTATAACCAAAAATATCAGATACTAACAACACTGATTGATTGTTTAAGGGAATGATAAGGTTCAGGGCTCGAGCAAGAGAAAACTATCAATAAAATACATCAAAGTAAAGTGATATATTGGTCTAGGTGTGACCGATCAATGTGCTGATAATCAGGTCCAATGTTGCTCCGAGTTTTCCATTAAGTATAATATGTACAAGGTCAGATACGTACCACCATTGAGTTGTATATAAGATGCTCTCTCTTGTCAGCTATTGGTGGCCTAACAAGTTCACCAGTGTACTCAATCATCTGCACCCACCCAAATCACAATATTGTCATGACTGACGTTACACTATGTAAAAATGGACAGTTCAATTTAAGAATGCCTAACCATATCTCCCGCCCTGTGCGGAAGCTTTGCAAAGATCCCAAAACCATGAATTCCCGATTTCCCTGTAGAAGAAAGTAAATCATTTAGAGGAAAACAAAAAGTTCAGAAAATATTAGTTTTGATAGATATGTTAGGCCTTATGGGAAACGTTTCCCGTCTAATCCATAATAAGTAAAAACGATCACTATATTCAGAGCCCATCACAGGAATGCACCATACGTCCCAAGAATTCAAGTAGAAAAAAAATCCTACCAGTTTTATCTTCTTACAGAAATTCCATTAATTTGACCTTCAAAACCCCCCAAAGGCATGAAAAACTGAGGCATCATAGCAGCAACTTTGACAAGTAGTAGCATCTTTTACGATTGCTGATTAAATGCTTACCAAATGCTAGTCTCTTCCTGTACGTTTCCTTCATGAATGTATATTTCTCAGCCATAGATAGAATATTGCTTGGAGTAGTTATTTGTGACATCTTTGATCCATAAATGCGTTCGTAGGTTGAAAATTCATGTCGAGAGTATCCACCAACAATGTACGGCTGATTCTCAACAAATAATCGTTTTGAAGAAGCACCAGCAAGAGCTTCAGGTTCCTTACGTCCTCTTCTTCCAAGATAATTATATGGCTCTACGGGAAACAGAGGGAAAAGACGTTAATAATCCAGCAAGATAAAGCTATACTGACCTCTAAAGTGCCCTCTTTTATGAATTTTGGATGTGAACACGAATACAAGCAAACACAATGTAAAAAAAAATACATGAAATTAGATCTCTGAGCATAAAATATAAAAATCTAAGGGAATAATGTAAGATTATTAAAGCTGACCAAAAGACACACATTGTCACATGTGAGGTAAGAGAATTTTGAGCAAAACAATTCCATCCCAAATAGGTACAGCCAATCTACAGTTTTATTTCTAGCAACTATTGATCAATGCAACTGCATACCAGTGCGAGCACAGCCAGATGGATTAGGAGGTGGGAGATACTCGGCAATGTTATGAGCTGGTTTGATCATGTACTCTGTTTCTAAGTGGTCATTTGATGTTTGTCGATGCCTCTTGCAAAATGAAAGCAGGCGGATGCACTGATCTGCTTCATCGTCATCCATTGATAGAAGAAAAAGCCTATCCTCATCTGCAAGCTACAATGGCAGTACAAGAATGCTATCATAGTTAGAACCATCTCTTTTGTTATATCTGTGTGTTCAGTAAACATATATGAATGAACGCAGAATCTTATATTCCCCTGTAGGATATGAAAAGTACCTCAACACAGAGACCAGCAGCTCGTGCACATAGTGGATGATATGCCACTCGACAAGAACTATTCGAACACTGAAAATCGGCATCATTGTTCTCGTTAAATACTTTTTTCAGTGACTAATATTTATGTAATTAAATATTGTCATCTGTGAATGCTACACAATGATTCAGCTTTCTCTTGCCATCAAAATAATTCTTACTTGGATACAAGCTCCATAAGATACACCACAGATGCTGCACAACAATTTCCAACGATCCTGTTTTGAAGTGTGAAAAAAAAGACAACTATTCAAGCATCACATGGCTGCTGAAAATTAGACTATGCTGCGCTTCTCTAGTGGAAAAGGTAACTAACTCCATTTAAGACAACAGATGTAAGGGGAACTGAAAAAGAATAGAGCTCAAACCTTATTGACTTTCTTAACCCCATCGATCGGTTCCATCTTCTTGACATCCAATAAGCAGGTTTCTGGATAATATCACAATCATTGCTCATACATCTTGGATAATAAAGGTAAAGCCTCCAAAATCCTTAGTAGAAAGCAGAAATATGCAGAGTAACAAATCAAATGGTGAAGATTATACCTGGGATCCATATGGCACACGCCAGATGAGCCCAGCGCCCATCAGTTGTCGGCTTCATAGCACCCCCTGAAAGATATTTTGTTGGCTATTAACAAAGAATATAGAGACTCCATACCAAAATCGTTGGGTTAAATTACCTACTACAGGACAAAGACAACATCGAGGAGGAATATCAAGAGCGCCAGGACGACATAAGTTGCATAACCACAGAATGCCATCACGGGGTTCTAGCTGCCCATAGCATCTAGTATGGACCTAGTCCAAGATCAAAAAAAATTTGAACTGAGCATCACCAATTAAAAAAAAAGGATGCCAGCCACTAAAAGGATATATAATAGTATAAACAACTCAGAGAAAGCAATACCATCATTCTGCATTTATCACATTGCAAGAACAAATTGTTCTCATATTCCTGCAGACACAAAAATCGAAGTCAGAACTAACTTATTAAAGATACACGATTAGATATGCATACAAAACGTTCTATCAAGAAAGAAGTGTTAACCTCATCCATGTGGCAGACATTGCACTTATCAAGATCTTTCCAGTCCACCCGTACAGGTCGGTAACCAGTAGGATGATCTTGATACTTTCCGGAACTATATTTGCGCTGAGAAACCTTGGAAGGTGGTCTAGATTGTAATAGCCCCTGCCATGTAGGTCAAGACTTATTATAGGCACAACATATATAAAATGCAATTGATAGAAGCTGAAGAATATTAGAAAGCAAGAAATTAGAAATCTACACCACATACATAAAGAAAAGTCACAATTTGTTTTTATATAGATTAGTTGTCGTAATGGTGAAATCTTTTGTGAAACCTTGGTTCCTTTATAAATGATGCAGATCAGGACCCACCCTTAGTTTCTATAAGAGTTCGAATTTCTCCCGCAAAGAGATAAGGAGAAAGATTTAATGCCTATAGCTTAATAATATTAAACTTCCATGCTAGACATAAGGATGCCTATTTATGTGTTTTAACTGCAAAGCAGAAGGCAGAGAACTGCAAAGTTTTCAGGGTCCCGAAATGAGTACAATGGAGAACCTAGCGAAAACTCCTGAGAGTTCAGTGAATGAAGGAGTAAAAGGAGAAAAAACCACTACATATAATTTCATATTCAAGAAGACAAACCTGAATAAGTTTATCGACTTCTGGGTTGGAGAAGCCAAACATATCTGTACCAGATTCATGAAGTCCTTCACCCAAACCATCAGGACCATCAGAAGCACTCTGAATCTTTTTTATCCTATTATATATTTTATTCCAGCAGGCAGATGGAGTGTCCCCTTTGAACTGTCCAAAAATCAAGTATTAATGTAACACACGGCTATAACGAACTTTCTATCCACACAAGCCTTCCACCTAGAAACCTAACCTGCTCACCGCTGTTGGTTGTAACTCTGAAAACAGGACGAGTTTTTGACTCGGGATCTCTAAGCACTTCCATCTTGTACATGGCAGATGCATCAGGATCTGCTTAAAGTCAAAGCAAGAAATCGCGCATATATGAGACAAAAACTGCCTGATTAATATAGAAAGCACAAAAACTGGTAAATAATTGACCTTTTAGTGATATAAATTTTCTTATAGCTGTATACCCTTCAGGCCAAGTATGCTTACTATCCTTGAAAAATTCTGAGTCTGTCACGATCCTTCCTGGCAGACAAAGACAAGTGAAATACGCCTATGCATAATGAGCAGAGTTCATTCCAACCAAGGATGATCCAACATACTAGTTAGTTTCAAACATTACCAAGATTGATTATTTGCAGATCGCCTATTCTATGCAAGCAATCTCCAAGTTCTGTTGGTCGCAACCAGACTTCTCCATCTTTAGTGTAATCATCACCCGAGTTTGAGCTATCCTCTTCTCCACTATTAGTCCTTTCCGAATAATCAGTATCAGCAACTTTTTGAAGTTGATCCATCCTTCCTGGAAGCTTATATTCTTTTAGGTACCTGGGTGAGGAGAGTTACAGCAAATTAACACAGGCATCATGTTCTTGTTCAGATAATCTGTTTGTTAACAACCTTCACTATGTTGGGAAATAAAAAAAAAGTAGAATGCCAGTGAAAGCAAGAGAAACTTACATTTTTGCTTCCTCCATAGCCTCTTCAAACCGAGGTTGCTTACACTTCAGGGGAGACCGTGAGAGAAGCCCTTTAAGAAATGAGACCGCTTGTTTGACTTGTATTCTATATAACCAAAGGAAAATTAGTCAATTTCCACTCTGAAATTATGATGTGTAACATTAATTTCAACAATTCGGTGGTATAACAAGATCTCTAAAGATTTTAAGAAGATTTGACCTAGCAAAATCATGGGTGCCGAAAAACTGTACGAGGACAGATCTTCCTCCAGATGCCTTGTTGTTTAGACCTTTCCGCTTTACAATAACAGACTCATCAACAATAATTGCTGGCCACATAGCATGACCTGTCCGGAAAAGTTTAACACACACAACAGTACGGTTCTCAGTATGCATAATTAGTTTTCTTCCGAAGTTTATTCTGGAAACCAGAATATCTGAAGGCTAGGCAATACATGCGTACTAAGCACCAAAAAATTCTAACAGCAATTAGGTCTTAAAGAGAAAGAATGCGACTAATATGCTTCCTAACAGCATCATGTTTCTTACACCATAAAGGGAGGTTATATGCCTAAATATTTTCTACAACAAGATAAGAAAATACGTTTATAAGAATACAGAAATCGGTTTGATTTAGAGCATTCACCTGCTAGTTTCGCCCATATGATGTCTCTAGGCTCAAAATCTTGACAATCCTCAAAAGAAGCAGCCAATATAACCAGTTCATCATAATCTTGACCATGAACGGCGACATCATTAGTACCAAACTTCATGTTTAGCAACTCCATCTCGTCACGAGAAATTAAAAATTTGATCTTTTCACGACGAAGAGCTAATTCCTCGCCATCTCCATCTCCATATTTAACCTGTAGTAAATTTTAGTAAGAGTCACCAAAAATCCAAAAATCATGACATTAGCCAGACACAATATAGACACCAATAACTTACAATGTGATGCTTTGTTTCTACATTATATCCCATGATAGAACCAGGATACCAAACAGCATCCAATGGCCAAAAAACCTAACGATTAGACAACAATCAACTGTTAACAGGACCCTATCATAAACAGAGAATGAAATAGCTAAACAACATAACTACATAGCTGAAAGCTTGCCTTGCATTGCAGCCCAATGAAATTTTTAGGATCGACACCATCATAACTCAACCTGCCATGCCAAAACTCGTCCATCATACAACAGCAAACTAACAAATAGACTAAAAGTCTATATTGTGAACACCAAAAAGTAACTAGTGCAAAACAACAGGGCATATGAACAAGTAGAAGAAGCCACTATTCAACATGTCAAACAAATGACTTATCTCTAAGATCACAGAGTTTGTATAACCGGCAGAATTAATGGTAGGTGAATCCTAACCTGACCCATTTCTTAGCTGTAGCAGAAGCTGAGACTACCTTCTCCTGATTTTTGACAAAACTCCTCTTACTCCGGGAAGATCCATCTTGTTTATTTCCGCTACACACAGCTTTAATTCGACATCCCCGTAAAGGCGGGGTAGCAGAGACGCTTAAAGTAGTTGAATCCACACCCAATTTCATGAGCTCACCATTACCAATCCTCCTTTTCTTCTGCTTCTTCTTCTTCTTCTCCTCCTCCTCCTCCTCATCAAGCTCCGCATTTTCAATCTTCACAATCACATCCTTTCTCTCCACTCCCTCATTCTGAAGTATTGCTAACTCAACGAAAGACTCCCTCCGCCGCCGCCTCCTCCTCTTACGGCGACAATAGACGTGAACAATCTCCGGACGCCGATGAGGCTGCAACTCAAAACTATCACTCATTGGGTTCTTCTGGGCATTGACCTTCTTGTGTGAACCAGCCGCGCTAATACAACACAATGAAGACGAGGAAGAAGAAACGGAGTAGACGCTCTCAAGAGAGGCGTAACGAACAGGAATATCACCGTGGTCATGGAGTTCGGTTTTGATTTGGGTATTTTCTTCTTCTTCTTCGACCAAATGTTTTGGGACACACGACATTGAAATCATTCAAAGGAAGAGAGCAAAAAAGCTGTTGGGTTCTCGCTATCTCCTTTAGTTGAAATTGAAATTGTTAGGTTTTGAAGGATGTCGAGAATTAGGGTTTAAGAGAAAGAGGGATGGTTTTGAGAGAAGAGCTTTTCCCCCAAAATTATCCGTTTTCCCGCCGGCTAAAATTAACCAGTAGAGTTCTTCTTCTTCTTCTTCTCCCAGATCTTCTCTTCCAAAACTTTTTAATAATAACCTCTGCAACCAAAGTGTAAACAAGACACGACACCGTTTTGGTTGAATCTAATCTGTCTCTTGTTGTCTTAATGGGTAGTGAAGTAGTGTCAGTTCCTATTTCCTTAAAAATTATAGTTTGATCCAAATTCTTTCAGTAATTTATAAATGACCTTGGAAATTAATCAAAATATAAATTAATTTATTTATTAAAAAAAAATATTTTTGAGGGGGAAAAAAACCTAATAATTTGAGAGCACATGCCTATTCGTATTTGTACAATATACAAACTTGTTCATTCAGATTCAGAAGTTGTTGTTGTGTGTATGTGTACTTATACATTATATTTTATACGTTTTGGTGGGCTCGAGACTACATGTATATGCACCAAAGTGTAGATTTCTTATATTTTTATGTGCAAAAGAAAATTTTTGGTTTCTTCTTCTTCTTGTTCTTCAGTCTCCAGAGTTTTGAGTTATGTATGTTGAAGCAATTTATGCTTCTGGAGATGGATTTACATCTGCAGCTGAAGGCTGTTCAGTCCCATAGTTCCACAAGTCTCTGAGTTCTCTCCTCACCAACCCGAGAATGACCGTGATTCCTGCAAACCGAACAACATGTAAGAAATCTTGCATTTGGTTGGGTTTCAATGGAATTTGCATGAGATGAACAAGATACCGAGCGTGCAAGGGACAAGATAGAGCAATGCAGGTTGACCGTGCCCGTTCATTACATACAATCCCAAGTATGTTAAGAAAAGGCCAAGTCCGTAGCCAAACATCAACCACGGAAAATATCCATTCGAGACTCCTTTGTTGTTTTCCTTGTCATATCTGAGACGTAAAAGAGTTTAAAAGCGGTCAACAAACAAATTGAGATGACGCATATTGAATATGGACAGCGTTTGAGACAGAGGATGTGTATAGAATTGGTGTCGTGAACCATAATCGTTATTGAGCCAATCCATGAGAGGGTTACCTGAAAATAAAGCATATGAGAAGGCCCGGGAAAAGAATGTCTCCAAAACCGATCATGTTGTAACCACCCCATGGATCAGAAAGCCGTGGAATTCTCAAAAGCATGGGAATAGATTCTCCAGTGTCTTTGCTCCCACGTGCAACCTATGCCATAGATTAACACAAACAGAAGAGTATAGTAACCAACTAGTACGTGATTGAGGTTAACCTATCATCGACCTTCTTCGTTCTCGCTATGTGCAAACATTTTATACTGTGATGAAATTACAACAAGTGCAACACAAACTCAATCTTTGAGTGTTTTGAGCAATTATCCGACACATATCATGCTCGGAAGTAAAAGTACAACACACTTATGGTAAACATGCTCTGTTTTGATGAGACTTAAGTTTATAAGAATCATATGATTTGATGGACAACATTAAATATTCTTCACCTTGCAGAAACAGAACTAAATATTAAGGTGTGAGACACAGTTTGGAAAATGATGGAAAATATCGAAAACTCACCGCAATCATTACACTTTGCTTGAAGATTAGTGGTGATAGGAATACCCAAAAGATGTCATAGAAAAATGCACAACAGAGAAGAATGGTAGCAACCTAAGTGTGAGAAACCCATTAGAACACATACAAAAGGATTACAAAAGAATTTTAGTTGGAAAATACATACAGAAAATTTACCCTGATATTAGGTAGCCGAGCCACTTGCAAGACATTAATCATCATGCAAATACCCTGTCACATGACACGTCAACCTTAGAAAGCATGCTAAGCTAATTGGTACTGTGGTCAACCGATAAATGTCGAAAACAAAACAGAACCTTGAGTTGGATTTGAACAAGAAGTGAAAGTAAATGTTGAATACGTCAAGCCAATAGTTGTGTTTAGACATGCGGAAAAAAATCAAAAAAGAACCAAAATACATAGGGATAATTTGGCTTTAGACAACTGTAAAATTACCAGGCTAAAAAGGACTTACAAAAATATCTTGGCCGGCCCATGCATACGAAGTTTTGCGCTTCATAAACCAGAGGATAGCAACCACAAAGCAGAATAACAGAACCACGAGTGAGAGAATTGAGGTATTCCCAAGCAGAGGGAGTTTTACATTCTTCTGGCCACATTTATTGCATCTCCTGCAGAAATAAAAACATGAATAAAGCAAAAGCATCACATGATGCTTTTAACTAGCTGGAATAGAGCTCTTTCATGGTTCAATGACTTAATTGGGTTTCTGAGAGTACCTTGTTATGAGTGTAGTGATAATATTATGCATTCCCTGAGATAGAAAAATATATTAATAATTATGATATTAAAATAACACAATGCTTAGCTTAGCAAGCCTCTGTTTCATTCCACATAAAGAGTTCATCATGTTTTGTATTTTTACCAGGTAAACAATGCTAAAGAAAGTTTACTATCAACTTGTTACCAAACATTGATCATAATTCTAGCTATTGAACCATGAAACTAAGGATATGCTCAAGATTAGCCAACATTACCTGCATACCACCAATGCAGAAAAATATGGTCAGGATCAAGATAAACCACGATGACATGAAGAAGAAGAGCAAAACGAGGAATGTGGACGCTGATATGACAAAGATAACAGCACCCATAGCACTGATATCAAGAGTTTCCTCTTCAGCACCACCTTTGGTAGCGTCATCATTTGAAGATTTCTGCCAAAATTTTCAGAAAATATAAAAAGAACAAGAATTAGTGTATAACTCAGACAAGTGGATCAATAGAAGAGGCAGATATATTAGAGACAGAACGAGCTAATTAGATTATTATATCTTGTTGTCACTTCGAATAAAGTTATATTTTCATGATTTCTTCTATGCTCAGATGTTAAAGTGAAGTTTATTTTCAGTAGAACCCCCAAAAGCAGAGTATAATAAACCTTGGGTGATAATTCATCGTACTGCTCATCATTCTTCTTCGGACTGGTAAAATGTGACCAAACAGAAGCAACGAAAACTGTTCCAACAGACATTAGCCAGAGGAAGACCACTGCATAATCCAAAATTGGGCTCTTTGGAGCATACAATAAAAGCTCCACTGCATCAGAAAAAACACAGAGGAAACAACATAGGCATCAAAAGAAACAGATAGAGTATAATAGAAAATTTGAGACTGAGAATTGCAACACGCCAGTTTGAGTGAATAGGACTAGAAAAGATATGAGGATCATACAGGCGCAACAAATATAAAAGGCGTAGACCTTACCTTTCTTATTTTGCATAATGGATTTCTTCAGGGCATCTCCAGATGACGTTGAAATCATCAAAATAGGTATAGAAACATTTAAGGAGGTATCTTTCTCACTACAAACCATCTCATCAAGCTCTAAAAAAAAGCAAAGATAGAGAAACAGATGTCAGATGCTCATCGAAATAAAAACCGCAAAGCAAGAAATAGCAACATGGGAAACAGTTCGGGGATTAAACACAAAATCTCAACCTTCTTTGTCGTTTATTAACACCAAAGCTGCAGCTCCTCCTGCCTGTGCAACTTCAGCCTTAGCAGTGAAAGCACATTCGCCACGTACAGATAACGCTATAGAACCAGATAGCTGCAAGAAGAAAACATCACAACAACAACAAAACTGATCTTCACGACAAAAAAAACATCACAACAGTCGTGTTTGAGTCCAAGCTAGGACTGTACAAGATGGAAAAGAAAAAGGAAGACCTTTGAAGTCAAATTGGAGCAACTGTCCAAAGGAGTGGTAAGAACAACCGGAAGTTTAACCGCTTTGTCTTTATCAGATGGGAGCATGGTGCCAAACTGTGCAGTCATGGCTGTAAAAGTCTCACCGTTTTCTCCGTTAACCCAATTCTCAACTTTGACCTGGACAATATTTCAATATTCCATTCAATAATCAGTAGTTGCATGAGCAATCTGATCTTGTAGAGAAGTTTTGTTGTACATGAATCTATTTATAGACAACTGATAACAAACATAATCGATGAACAACTACCCCATCCTCTTCATCAATCTCAGATTAACCTAACCTATAGAAATTTAACAGCAGACGCTGAAAACAAAAGCTGCATTTGAATGCAATATCGAAGACAATTCAATTCAATCAATGAGATATACGTACGGTTCCGTTAGACAACGATTCCGGTTTATTGATGAACACTTAACCAAATCCTCGTAAGAAATTACAAGTGAAACTCAATAAATTATGAATAGGAACTCGAATTGGGGAAATCTGTTACCATTTGAAATTCATTGGAGCAACCTGGAATTTTGGGAGCGGTAACATCTTTCGTGTCAGCCCCAACGCACAACAGACCTACCAGATAGAGGGTCACCGCCACCGCGAGAAGGCGGCAGCTAAACGGAGGTAAAGACATCGCCACCGTGAGATATGGATAGAGAACAAAATTTGAAGAATTGTGGGAAAAAAAAAGGAATGAATCAAAAATAAAAGGGAAAGAAGAGATTATTCTTCGTTCATCTTCGTTGTACAAAACCAGAGAAAACTCGGTGAAAAGCCATCTTTTTTTTTCTTTTTCTTTTTTCTATTTGGATTTATTTTCCCTCGCTTTTCCCAAATAATCACCAAACCAACCAATCAAATTTAGTTTCTATCGTTTATTTAAAATAGGAAATAAACGAAATAGAATGAATAGATCTTTTCAATGTTTGCCAAAATTATAATGTGACAAATAAATTACAGTTCATGAATTTCTCTTCTTTTTCTTCTATGAGACAAAGGAAAAAAACAATAAAGTTACAATGAGAAAGAAAAGGGAAAGAAAATTAAGAAACAAAAAAGATAATTTTGGGTGTATATCATCAAGAGGAAGAACAACAAGAGAAACCAGAGCTTTGTTTGGAGGCAGTGTTATCATCCTTAACAAGACTTACCCGGTTCACGGTGAGTTCATCTTTATAAGTGTCTGAGTTGAGTTGCTTACGGCTCACGTTATTGTAGATGTCAAGTATCACCATTTCGAAAGATGTTTTAACATTGGTGGAATCAAGAGCCGATGTTTCCACAAAGAAGAGCCCCTCCGCTTCTGCTAGGGCCTTTCCTTCGTCCACGCTCACTGCTCTTATGTTTTCTAGATCACACTTGTTCCCCACCAGCATTCTCGCCACCGTTGTATCCGAATGGACTGGAACAAAAACAAAGAGAGCAAATGAATCAGTCTTAGATCTCAAAACAAATGCCGAAACTTCAACAGTTTTACATAGAAGAAACAAGGTTGAAGAAATGCAAAAAGAAGTCTATGAATCTAAAGCGGTTCTTTATGAATAATCCTCTGTTTTGTTCTAGTAGATTTGAACTTTCAAAGAGTCGAGCTAGGTCACAAATTCCAGAAGTCTACCAAAATTAGATTCAAAATTCCCAATTCTAAGTCAAATCCGTACGACCTAATTAGATCATGAGAATCCCCAAATAATAATAGTGAATCGCATAATTCACATCCCATTAATGGAGACTTACTCTTAAGCTCATCGAGCCAACGTCCAACGCTTTCGAAAGTGGTGCGGCGGGTAATGTCGTAAACGACGAGCGCACCGACAGCGCCACGGTAATAAGCGGAAGTGACGGCACGGAAACGCTCTTGACCAGCAGTGTCCCAAATCTGAGCCTTGACTTCTTTACCTTCAATCTCCATACTCTGCGTCTGAAACTCGACTCCGATCGTCGCCTTGGAATTCGCGCTGAACTCGTTACGAGCGTAACGAGACAGAAGATTAGATTTACCGACCGCAGAGTCACCGATGACAACTATCTTGAAGAGATACTCCTCTCTTCCTTCGTCGTCCGAAGACATCGTTACGTTATCTTCCTTCTTCTTCTGCTTTCTCTCTTTCGGTTTCTAGAGAGAGAAAGAGAGGAGACGGTGCAACAAGCTGGCACAAGAGGACGGACATACTGCGCATTAAGTGCCCCTCTTTAATATCGTTCCCTTTTCCTTTTTCATTTTTTTCCCCATATATCAGTTTTAATTATCCATTTACTAATCCTAATTATTTTTTTAATTAACGACTTTTCCCTGATTTGTGTTTTTTGGTTTTATTTTAAGGGAAAATTAAAAATAAAGGAGCTCTAAAAAAAAGTTTGACCATATACATTTTTTTTTCTGAGATTGTCACTTTGGATTAAAATACCCCTATTCTCTATTTTCAGCATTTTTCAATGATTTTACCAAAAAAACATGTAGATATACAACATTATAGATGATTTGTAAAAAAAAATTGATGATTTAGTTGAAAAAAAGTTGATTTTTTGATGGATAAAATTTCGTCTAAAATTATTAGAATACGTTTTCTAGTGTTCTACCAATATCAGAGTTTATATTCTAAACTTTTGTACATGTTTTACGAAAATCAGAGTTTGTATTCTAAACTTTTGTACATGTTCTACGACTTTTAGATTAGATATCTGTTCTAACAGATTCAGAAGACCGGAATACAATTTCCTAAAATCCTTAGAACATGTATTCTACGCATTTCTTCATGTTCTAAATTTAGTCAGAAAATCAATTCTACGATTTACTACATGTTCTGAAAACGTTAGAAAACGTATTATTATTTTAGAATCTATTTTCTGAAAAAATATAGATTTCAATTTCTGAACTTTTTAAAATCCCTAAATATAGAAAGTGAATCTTTCAAAAAAGAAAATAAATATTTATTAAATATTACGTTTTTATTGTTTAGATTACGATCTGAGGATGTTTAGAATAGGTTTTTTAAAAATTTTAGATGAAAAAAAATTAAAAACGAAAATTGGGTTTCTTCAATTTGATAATGGCTTATTTGAGAGAGGGGAAAGTTGGAAGGATTCGACATGCAATTTCAATTGATAAGAGGGAGACGACCCACGAGTGAAATCGCCGGTGGGATATTCGTGACGAGAAACACAGCCGTTGAAGACAATCACCAAGGAACGACGACTAATTCCTTGTTAAGCTTTGTAAAATGGTTTTGGTTTTTTTTTTGTCTTTAGTGGTTGTGTTGTACGAACATAAAAAAGAAAAACAAAGGTTTTATTGTTTGGTGTAAGTCTCTTTTTCAACAAGAGTCTTTGAGAAAACATAAAAATATCTGAATTATGTAAATAAAATAGGAAATTTTTTTTTTTTAATTTTGTTAATTATATTTTCGAAAATATGAGGGTAAATTTGGGTTTTGATTTTTAAAAAACCTATTCCATCAAATTTTTTATATAAAAGTATATATGGACATTTATCCATTAAAACATCCTTTATTTCTAATTTTCCCTTTTTAATCCACCACGTTGGTGGACCTGGACTTCTTGGTAACGTAGGAGGGAGATTTATTTTTCAACTTTCGGTTTTGTCCTAACTGACGCCAAGCCTTGGATCCACAAATTCGCTTAGAACTTAATTCAACTAAATCATGACTACCTTGACCGTTTCACGTAATTTACAAACTAAATACGAACAGGCAAGACAATTTTAACTTTTAAGTGTAGAGCATATAATTAATTAAAGATATTTCATCTTTAATTTAGAATAAATCTTTCTTCGTAACGTGCATACACGCTAGTTTTGTTAATAATAGGAAAGTTAATGCTACTAAAGAAAGTATCCCGGTTCATATATTTATGCCCATTCATAATTAAGTTCTAACTACTACTAAATAGGACCATGCATATGATCATCGAAATTAACTTTGGTACCAGAATTCTGCTTTTTAATGTTTTTATTGGTTCAAGTAACTTTGGTATTTGCTCTATTTCTCCATGTAAAAAACAAAAAAAAAAACAAAAGTAACTTTGGTATTGGTCACATACTTTCAATCTTCTATTTCAGGAATTATAGGCCATGAATGGATATTGTTTTTCAATTTGGTTTCTGGATTTTGTTTTTAGTTTTTGGATTTTAGATTTTAGTTTTAGATTTTGTAAATAGATTTTTGTTTTAGAAACCCCAAAAAAGTGGTTTTTGGTTTTTGAGAAAAATAACGTAGATTGAGTAAAAACTAGATTCCCTAAATTATAGGAGAATTAAAAATCTAAAATCTTGAATGGAAGATCACAACAAAAAAGTGTTTCTAAATTGTAGAGAAACCAAAATTTGAAAAACTTGATTGGTGTGAAATGAGTTTTTCAAAAACAAAAACTAAAAACTCTTTCAAAAACTACGAAACATTCAAAGCCATAATTATAAAAATAAATTAAAAGAGAGAGAGCGCGAGTGAATGTGAAAGTCACATTTTTCAATTAGTTTCAGAATTCATAGCATAATCCTTACAATATAAGCAACACGCAGAACATAAAAATTTGAAACAAAATCATAATGGACAATTGTCACTGTTCTATCTTATAATGATAACGAATGAAAAGCTTAATTATAAGAGGATCAAACATTTAATATAATCTATTTATTTACATCTTCTCTAATTCTCTCATATGATAAAATCGGAACAACGCAAATAATATTAGGATGATCCCTACCGTTAGGGTTTGAGCTAGCTAGCTTGGTCTCTCACTGCATCCACACGTGCAATTCTCTTGATCCTTTTTCAAATTCTGCGTTTTTATATGAGAATGTCTTAATATATCTATATCGGTCATGAATTAGAGAGAACTCTGAAATTGGATTCAGCTGACCTAAACAGAAAAAGTAAGATAATTAATAGTTTTGTAGTGAACCTGAAGTTGATGTTGAAGGCCTTTGATGTGTTGTACAGCTAAATCCAGCATGTCTGAATAGCTTGTTTGCTAAGAAAATCAGAAACAAGCAAATATTGTATTAGTAAATAATATTTTCAAAATAATGTTATTGTTACCATATGTATATATAGTTTAATATGATTTAAAGTAACCTTATCCATGTTGGGGACAAGATCTTGTAGCTTCTTTAGCTTCCCGCTTATTCTCGTTCTCCTCTCCTATAAACATAGTGTGTATGCATGTTAAGATGGCAAAAAGAAAAGAATTCTACATGTTTAGCGACGAGTTTGTAGCTAAATTATCCATCGATAAATAAATAAAAAAGTGTTTTTAACTGACCCGCTCAGCGATGCTTCTAGGATGGGTGGCGCAGCCGCGTTTGGCCCGGATTTTGCAGGGTACAGAATCTTCTGGAAGCTGCATGAAGTTATCCATGTAGTTCATTGAAGTGTCTGAAGGAAGACTATACTGCAAAACCAGTGATAAAAAGATTCGGTAAGAGTTGGCCACTTAATATATGGCCATTAAGAGATTGCTGCATTTACCTTTAGTAGTTAAAATTTTATTTGTCTATCTTAAAACAAAATATTTTACATTTTTTTGTCCTTGTATGGAAATTTTGAAATTTCATTTGGTTTGACTAAAGCAGCATCCTTAGAGTAAACTACTAACACATGGAAAAGAAAAGAAAAAATCAAATCACACATGGAAACAAAAGGTACGTACCTGTGAAAAGAGACCAGAGTCCATGTCCTTGGATCGTTTATTGGGTCGAGTCACGGTAAATCCAATTGAACCGGAACCGTCATCCCAAGAATCAGTAGCTGCAGCACCAAAGCTAGCCGCAGAAAACGAATGGCCTGAACCGTCAGGGACAGGGGTCTCATTGACCTCGTTGATCCGAGCGAGAGAATCGTGACTCGTGAAGCTTAGCTGAGACTTCAATCTCGAATGTCCTCGTCCCGCATTAGACCCCCCTTGCGGATTATAATCACTGGTTGGTTGGTTCAACGAGAAATCTGATTTACAAAGTAAACTATATTATAATGACATTACGTGAAAATTTTCAAAACAGAATTCGCATTTTTTTTTCCGACGATTTGTGTTTGTGACACCATTAGTGTAATTTTGAAAAAAAGAATTTGTCGTCGAAAAAAGAAAAAAAAATTACAAAAAAAAGGAATTCACATTCACTTCAAATATTAGAAACCATTAGTGTAATTAAATAAAAAAGTAATTTTATGGATAAATGGTTAGTTGAGTTCCGGTTCAGGCCGGTGGCCGGTTAGGTGGAAGTCACATCCAGACTTGGTGGAAGATATTATTATTAGATAACAACGAAGCAAAGCACGAATCATCAGGACCAAACGAAAAAAAAAATTAAAAAGGTACAGATCCACCAACTAGATCTATCGCTTTCTATTTGAATAATCTTCTTAAGAACCAATCGTTTTCCGCCATGTCAGCAGAGAAACTATTGGTCACGAACTAAAAAAATCCCATCCCCTTAATAAAAAAATGCAACTTGAGTTATAGGATTCCTCGAAGATTTAAATAATATCCCAAATTAAGGGTAACCGAGCCACATTTTGCTGTATTTTCAAGCACGTGGTTAGGGATCAAAGGGTGTTTTCGTCATTTCGAAAATACGAGGATCACGTCTTGCACAAGTACCAACCAAAGCTAATTTAGCAACGACCCTAAATATCAAATGTCAACTTATTTTATATATGTAGTCATTAATTAACTTACAAAAACTACATACAGTAATTCATAGTGACAGATACCGAAAATACCCCCAGCTAGCCTCGCGATTAGATTTCATTTCACCAAAAAATGGATTCTTTGGTTCAGCAATGAATGATTGATTGAATAACTAAGAACTATATATCTCATATTCTACATTACGATTTTTGGCAAATTCTAAGTCTGAAATTGAGTAAACGTGTCTGTCTAAATATATATCTCATCACAAATAGTAATATTCTTGAGAGTTAAAAAGTAAAAAACTAACTGTTTTTATCTGCGGAGAGGTAGGTGAAGAAATCGGCGGGAGAGCTACGTTGTCTAGCGAGAGAGTAAGAAGATCCTGAGCTATTTCCTCCGATGTCGTTGCTCTTGTGTTGTTGCGAGATCTCGTTGAATCCACCGTAGGTTCTGTCCAGGAAGATATCTTTATTATTATTATTGCCTAGCTGTTTCTGTCCCTCGGATGAGTTGACTCCACAAGTCGTCGAATCGGATCTCAGCGAGGATGAGTCAGCGCCGGTGAAGAAATTACCGATGAAGTTATCTGACGACGGTTGATAACCGGTGAAGTCACGAGCGTTCGATGACCCTCCTCCGATGACTTCGTCAACCACAGCGTTTAGAAACGATCCCGGAGCTGAGCCGTAACGGATCAGTCCTCCGCCGCCGGGAAGCGATGATCTCTGCGATGATGATGACGTGGAGGATGATGATTGGTACATGACTTCTTCTATCGCCAAATGGAGAGAGATAGAGAGAGAGAGATTTGCAAAGTTTGGTTTCGAAAAGAAAATAAAAGATGAGAGAGAGAGATGATGCTTTTGTTTATGGGGTAAAATAGAAAGAAAGTCTTCACTTTTCAGCGATTGGCTATTCGTTGGATGTCACATGTGCCTCACGTGATCTTCCGAAAGATAATACTATTTATTATTTTGTACCGACTACCGAGTCAGCTTAACCTTTGGGCTTTGGGCCACAAGACGAATATTTGGGCTGGGTTTGATAAAAATATATGATATTTGCGACTCTTTGATGAACTTTAAAATTCCCAAGATGTTGAGTTTTTCAGTGGAATGTAATTATTGTTGTCTAGTGTATATTAATTTAAAGATTTTTACGGTAATGGTGTTAATTTAAAGATTACAAGATCATAGAAATGTCTTCTTTTTTTGTTAAAGTTAAAAAATTAAATGACTCGATAAAATCCAACTTAATTGCTTAATTGTAAAATGAACAAATGTAAATGCTTATATCATGGTTCATGATTCATGAATACATACATTTAACGCAAACCTTTTTCCGGTAGTAATACAAAATAATTCGGTTAATTTTTACCCAAACAATTAATATATATATATATATATATATTTTAATTTAGAGCCCACAAAGATGGACGTTTCTTCATTCACCTGTTATATATGTTCACAATAAATATAATCTTCCATAAAAGGAAAGGAGTAAATAAAACGATATCTCATCTTGTCTGAATTATACATATCCCTGAATTTGTGTGTTACAGTATAAAATGGAGTCGTAATTAAGATGCGTACGGATTATTAGTTACGAAGTTGACATGCAAAATAAAAATAAACGTTTTTCTGGAGAGTGAAATTAATATAAACACATCTGATGCGCATGCAGGAATGGTACACATTGGTCTCCCAACGTACGTGTTTTTCTAGCCCCACCCTTATTGACCCCATGTGATTCGTAAGCTGTATCGAAATTGAAATTGAATTAATAACTCTTCTGATATATGTCTTTATTTATCATTGGCATGGTTTTTTAATGCTGAATGATGTAATCTGTAACCAAATTAAACTTAACCGAAAACAATATACATAATTTAATATATATATATATATATATATATATATAATTTTGTGGAAGTAGTAATGTTCCTGAATAAAATACTGATGAAATTGAAGGAATAGAAAAATATTTTCCATTTCATTCCGTAAAAATGATATGACTGAGTAAAAAATTATATGACTCGATAAAATCCAACTTTATTGCTTAATTGCAAAATAAACAAAAAAAATGTGTTATAGGGAGGAACGTCAAATTAGTTCGTTCATTAATCTGACAACTAAACATTGTCCAGATATGACGTTGACAAACGATAACACGTCAGTGCACACGCAAATACAACAAAAATGGAAGATTGTAATTTAGAGAAAAAACCAAACAATTGTGCAAAATAATTAGCTATTTCGAACATATTGCATTTTTTTATTATATACCACCAATTCACCAACCCAAAGATCAAGGTCCCATTGCATGGATTTCTCAGTTTTCTTTCAAACCCCAGTCTCTTTCACTTTCATTTTTTCCTTCTTTCTTTCCATTTACAAACACAATTCTTAGTTTTTCACCTGTCCAAGAAGTCTTTTGTGTATTTGTCAAATGAAAATAATTTGGATCACCATATCTCCTTCATTTGTAAACTTTGTTCACATAGCATGTTTTCATATTATTAATTTCATTTTCAAAATATTCTAGAAAATTGTTTCTTTCACTTTCAATAATTCTAGCCAATAATCAATTCCGCTGAGTTGATTATTGTCAATAACTCAATAACCAGGAAAATGAAATTAATAACCAGGAAATATGTATATACAATAATCAATAACCAGGAAATATGTATATAGAATAACATTAACCTTTTTTTGTTTTTATGTTATAGAATAAGGTAGTGCATATATATAGATAGATGAAAGCTTCCAAATAAGAAAATGAAAAAAAGACCCTCGCACAACACGAGAAGTGACACACTTAGCATACAAAATGGGAAATATAGTAGTTTTTTTTTTTTTTTTGCATTTATATAAGACTCCAAAAAAAAAAAGTATATAAGACCCATTGCTATCATTGACAAATAGATACAGTAAGCATTTTTTATATCGTATGTATTCGATGATTAAATTTGAGCATATAAATAAATTTATGTATGAAACTTTGATCATTTAGAAAAAATCAAAATTTAAATTATATATTGCAACGATGTTGAAATTTTGACTAATGATTTCTTCTTGGCCATTTTTATCTTACAACGATGATGTTGAAGTTTTGACAAACGGCTTTGTCTAGTACTTTCGTTGCTATCGTCACTTCTACTATAATCATAACAAAATAATACATCTGTCTACTTTTATAAGTGATAAAAAATACATCTCTGGATTGGAAATATAATAGAAAGATAGACGACAATGCTAATATGTACACGCCTGATATTGGATGTCCCTTTTTCATTTACAATCTTGAGTTCTTTTACTTCATCAATTGTTGAGAGCTTTAACCTATATTATATATTGTGAACTCATTATAACAAATCAAGAAATTATATATAGTAGTTTTGCAAGAGAAACAGTTTTAGTATACAAGACAATATAGTTAACTTATTTATTAACAACATGCGATATATATACATGTTTGAAGCGGATGGTAATTAACTAAGCGATAAAACTAGCATAAACTACAATGCCACAAATCCTAATCACATATTGGAAATATAGTTATACAACCTTTTTTTTTTTGATAAAATGTTCTATTAAAATAATTTAAAATTTAATTTAACAGATTTTAATTAGAACCCTTTGATACTGCAACATTATTTACGAAGTCATTACCAAGAAAATTGTTGACCGTTTGTTTAACCTTTTTCATAAAAAAAACAATTCGTGCAATAAGTTGGAAAATCATAAATATGTCTTATGATTTAGAAGGTAAAATCAAATAGAGAGATTAGTTTATATAATTGGTCAATTCGAGAGATAACGCAAGAAAACAGAACAAAGTATAAAGAGGACATAACATAAAGAAAACAAAAAAAATTGTGACAGCTGAGAGATCTGATGCAATAATTAATCTTGGATCTTGAAAATATGTTTTTTTTAATAAAGTGTTTCGTTAATTGATGATATTTACATAAAACCAGACAAAAAAGATCTTGAAAAATAGTTGCAAACCATCTTGAATTATCATAGCCGTTCTAAAAGCTTCATTCCCCAAATACACGGAAGCATATTAGGTTTTGCATATACACATCTATATATGTACTTGCTACGTAAAAGATAGGGCAACAATTATTTTGTCCTGTCTTAAAAAAAGATCAAAATTTGTAGCTTGGATCAATCTAGACCTAAAAGATATTATAATACAACATATGGTTGGATATAGAACAAAGTAGATATGCCGCATTGGTCGCTGCGTTTGTTAAATGCAACGCTCGACGTCGTCCCTTACCGAACATCATCTCACTTGTTCTGTTCAAAAACTCGCCGCCAAAATTGTCTTCATTAACTGCCGATTTCGAGCATCTCGGACGGTTTACTAAATTGATGTAAGTCTCGAGGTCATGGACACAAGAAATGTTTTGAACATCGAAGAAGTCGAGGGTGAGTTCGACTCCCACGTGAGTGTAGCAAGAGCAGCTCCAAGGAAGTTCGTAAACACCACCTAAAGATCTGAAATTCTCGTTGAACAAGAAGCCGGGAAGTTTGGTGATCGGATCGTTTACATTCGTGATCCTCAAGACTTTAACTCCTAGCTCCTCACACCGTTTTTTGAACCCCAAGTTACCAACCCTAGGACCCGCAAACGAAAACACGGTCACCGGAACAGCTTTCTCACCACTTCTCTGGTTCATACCGAGTTCTGCTATGTCGTAAGCTAGAAGGTGAGCTAGCGAACTCCCCATACTATGTCCCGCAAGCGTGATGCTCATTTCCTCGCCTTTGTGCTTGTTCATAAGCCTCGAGATCTCAGAGAGAAGCTGCTCACGGCAGCTTTCTAGCCCGAATTTGCTCTCACTCTCACCGGATGTGTATAAACCTAAGAACCCGGATTCGACCTTGACATCAGGACGAGGGTTATGAGGATCAAGCCGAGCCGGAGTCAAAGAGCTCTTTAGGTTAGCTAACCACTCATGGTTGGTCACAGTGCCACGAAACGTCACCACAATATCCCTCCTCCCCAAACGTTTCACTGATTCATCAGAAGAAACCGCTACATAACCAATCCATCGAGCACGGTTAGGCTCGTTCTTGATAGGGTTGAGGTTGATGTCTGGAGTTGCGTAGATATACTTGGTGACTTGGTATCCATCAGGGTCATGGATTCCAGATTCTTTAAGCAAGTTCTTTTTTCCATACTTGCAGTTCAAGTAACGTTTGGAGTTAGGGTTTAGATCAAACCCTTTGTAAGAAGCGGAGAGTAAGTTCCCGTAGCGAGTAATCTCTTGTTGGAGAATAGGGCTTAAAGGGTCAATGAGATTTTCCCAGTTATTGCTTCCTTGTATCTCTCTCCAAACCCGAGACAACGGTAGCGTTGCTGCAGGTGCTCTTGAAGGAGGAATGACCTGAGAAGTAGAAAAAGAAGAAGAAGAAGAGGAAGAGGAAGAAGGGAGAGCGAGTAGAGAAGATGGAATCGGAGGGGACATTATAGAAGAAGAGACAACGAGTCTTTTAGAGGTGTTCTTGGAGAGAGAGAAATGGCCAAGATTGTGTTTTTGTTGAGGAGTTTTGTCTTTAATTAGAGATGGAGAACATATAGGGTTTTGAGTGAAGACTTTGGCCGCCATTATTGGACGGCAGTGTAGAGAGAGAGAGAAAGAAAGAGAGAGAGAACAGTTGGTTGAAGTATAAAGAGAGACAACGAGTGAGATGCATATTTATAGAGTGAAAATGTGAATGGAGATCACAGAGAGAGAAAAGGCTACAATATGTTTGGCGAGTATTGACTGAGAATTTAAATATTCAAAAGTTATCGTTGGTACTAATTTTAATAATAATATTCATTTGTTGGGAGACAAGTATTAATATTATATGTGGTCGGTTCTAATTATTAAACATTTTTTTGTATTACTCTTATGATTTCTGTTCACGCCTCATGCTTCTCTTCTATACTTTACTATACTCGGTTATAAAGACAAAAAGAACAAAATTAACAATAATTTTAGCTAAGGTATTCGATTAAGATTTGGGAAGATTTATAGGGTAGTTGTGGTCATCGATATGCAACTATAAAATTTATATAATAGATATGAAATTTGAAAATAAAACTGCACCTTTGAAATCAGGATTGATATTATTATTTTTAGTTAAAATTGATTATGGTAAGTTTTTGTTAGAGTCTTTCCATAGTTTGATTAAATTCAAAAATGCCGCTGAGGTGTACAATGTTTCTACAGTCTTCTCCACGAAATAAAAAAAATTCTGAACTATAGTAATCTACTTTACCAAAATGTAAGTAATTGAGGTCACGGGATATAAGTAGGGGAAATGGTTATGCTTCAACTTGAACAATGTTGTGCGGTGGTGGTTATAAATCTCCAGGTAAATCATACTCGAAAAAATGGGAAATATATTTTAATTGAAAACTAAAACATTAAGACATTAACCAAAGGATAAAAATATTATATATAGTAGAATAGAATGTAAATATTGAAGATCGATCCATGGCTTATAAGTGATGAAAAAATCATTATTTACAAACTACAAATAAAACGTTAGAATTTTTTTATAAAACAACGCATGGAAAAAAAGGTGGTATAAAAAAGGTCAAAATTTTATGTAAGCAAGAGATCTAAAGGGCAAAAGAGTTAAGCTGACAAAAAGAAAAGAATAAAAAGGCAAAAGAAAGATACACTGGCATTTTCGATGTTGTTTCCTAAAGGTCAAATTTCTAACGCTATCTGTTGTTATCTGAGTTATCATTTTTACTTTTTCATTTTGGGATTTTTTCACAAGTTTAGATTTTGTTGCTTGCTAGTTGGCTACTAAAGAAAAACCATTCATTCTAAGTCGTTGTAAATAAGTATCATCATTTTTTAAAATCAGATATATTATTTATTTATTTTATTTCTAACTTTCACATTTGAATAAAACTCAATTGGTTTACAAAAATCAAAACTTACAGTTTTGTTGTTTTTGGTGAGTTGTAAAAAAATCAAGAGGTATCATGATCAACTGTATGTTCTGCCATAATTAATAGGAATTAATTACAATTATATTTGGAATCAATTATGGATTTGCCATTTTTTGGGATGGTATTTGTGGATTTTGCCCTTTTTTGAATAGTTTATGGATTTTGCCCTTTTTCAGTCTACGGAAATATGATTTAACATGCGTTTTATTCGTTATGTTTGGGTTTAGTCGGTTGTGGTTGTTCTTAGGGTTTAGTATTTTATATAAACTACGTATTTTTACCAAAAAAAATCTGAAATACGTACATTTTTAAGTGTTAGAAAATGGCATATCTGTAAGATTTTAATAAAAATGGCAATTTCAAAAGATTTCTATGAAAAATGGCAAAATCAACAATAATCCCTTATATTTGTCATGGCCTAAAATTACAATTTGGCCATAAAAGGAATTAATTACAATTTTAAGAAATTAATGGCGTAAACCTCTTTTTTTTTTTGATAACGAAAGTGACGTAAAGTTCATGGCCAATCTTTCATATATACATTTTACCTTGATGGCAATTAAAAAAAAATTAGCAATAGGTTTGAAACCACTTATTTGATGCATAATTATTTATTGCTATTTTATTATTATTATTGAACGATGGATTGTAATCTATGGCTACTTAAATATATAAATGGCCCATATATAAACTTGTAATGCCTTTTCTTTATAGTGAGTGACGTTTAAAGAAGAAGAGAATTATGGTTTTCTCTACAGTGAGTGACGTTTAAACACAAACTAACACACACACACACAATTTATGTTTACGCGTGTCATGTGAAAGCATAGGTTGATGGCAAATCCATTATCCAAAGGGAAAAAAAGTAAGTTAAACACGTACGGACCACGGTATTAGTCGAGGACTTCACCCACCACCTTAGCTAAACTTCTAATTATATGTTAATGTCACAATAGTATAACTGACATATGTTGACATTCTCCAAGCGAGGTTGACATATTTTTTCACTATGAGGTTGACATTTTTATATATATATATTTTTAGTAGAAAAGAGAAAAAAAAGTCTTGCACTATATATATATGTCACTTGTCTTTTAATACGCATGTTATTTTATTCAGAATTATATTTACCATAGATTCACAAAATAAGACAATTATTTTCAGAACCAGAACCTGCCCATGGCTAAAACGAATGAAACAAGAACTTTAGGCATCAAATATTTTCAAAAACGTTAAGTGGTGCAGTGGTCAGTCTTTAAGTAATCTCTGTTATTAGTTCGTCCTTTTACTAGTCGTCATTTTTCTCTACATATATCCGTCTACATAATATTTTTGGAAGAGTGGCTTTTTCTCAAAAACAAAAGTAGAACAAATGAAAATTTTAGGAAAAAAATTAAAGCAGGTGTTATTTGTTTGGCACGAATTACGAAGGAAGAATTTACGCGGCAAGAAAATGAGTTTGACTTAGAATTTGGAAATGTTAGAGCAGAGCGAGACACAGAGACTGAAAAGCTACAGCTGATTTTTTTTCTTTCCAGTTTTGCTTTGATCCTTATTTGACTTATTCCTATATATGTCCGTCGAACTCCCAACTTCTTCATTTCTCACTCTTTACTCTTTTTTTTTTTCCTTTAAATTTGATTTCTCCTTTTATAATTCAATGATCTCACTCAGCAAAAAAAATCGAGTCAAAAATATGATCAATGTATTTATACATGCATGTTCGTCTATAATGAGATTCGTTATTTATTTAATATTCATAAAATAACTACCTACGTAATCTTATTCTTGACAATTAATATATGCATATAATTATTCACTAGTTCTGGATTTCTTTTTGGGTTTACTATTTACCTTACAGAAATAACAATCACCTAGCTGATCTGATATCGTAAATGAATTTGCAAAGTCTAAACGATTTGCAAAGTCATCGAACTATATAAAATTTGTATAAATAAAGAACTGTTGACGATTAAAAGAAATTTATAGAATCATAAGTCAAAACCGGAGCAGTCCATACTAATGTCATGCAATTTTAGACAAACGGGTCTAAATGATCAAATTTTTAACAGCCTTAAATATTCAACTTCAAGTGCTATGAATTATGTTATTAAAAAAATGCTGGTGATTCTCGTTTTAGATCATGACACCATCAATTTGAATTTCAAAAATAAAACATTCGTGAGACTTGACCAGCCATCTTCAAATACCAAATTTAGTGGAAGAATGTCGAATTTTGGGAAAGGGAATTCCAAACTGATAAAACTTTCGGTTATTAAGGAGAAGAGCCTCCATAGACCATATAGTCCATATATGATATATAGAGTCCAAATACTCAGCTTCTCTTCTTTTCACTATTATGCAAAGGAATAATTATCAAATGATTCCCCAATTTAAAAATCTGTGGATTTTTAAGAGCATCCTAAGGGCATCTCCAACGGTGGAATATGGAAGTTCTCTTGAGGGTTTCTCTGATTTAAAATAGCAAAAAATAAATCAAAAAGCTTAAATATGGGAACAGCCGTTTCTCTTAAGAGAGATTTGAGAAGTGAAGAGAGCCGACTACGTGTCACGGTTTAATTGGTTAACAATTTTTAACATAATACAAAAAATCTCTCTCTCCTTTTCTCATTTTTCTCCCGACTATCTCTCTCTTTAGCCGAGAGCAATGGCGATGGAGAAAATGAGTTTTGCTCTGACGATTATGGCGATTGAGGGTAGAATTAAGGGTGAATTATGGTGAATGAACATTCGTTCGGCCGGATTCTTCATCTCCAGAGCCACTTGTCACGATCGGCGATGGGAGATTAAAGCAAATCGGAGATGCATCTCTCTCGAGTCTGAGAGTAATCGATGAAGAAAGCTCTTGTTTGTTTTTAATGGTATGAATCTAATCCTTTTCCACAATTTTTCTAGATTAAATCTTGTAGTTTGATGTTGGTCAATTAGGGTTCTCCCTCCGATGTTAGAAAATTGTTGCTAGAAGGTATCAGTGTTAGAAAATCAAACCGCTGCAAATCCATTATCTCTATATGTGTCTATGGTAATGATTTCATTCTTTTCCGTATCATTGATTGCTTTGCAGAAAGTCTTGAAATTGTTGATACAGTTTGATTGATGCACTTGAAAGATAAGGCTGTTGATAAGTATCCATGAAACTTGTTGATACGGTTTGTCATATACCCACTATTGTTATTCGTTTTTGTTAGCTTGGTTAGATAAGGCTGTTGATAAGTGTTGGATTGTTTATATATGGTGCTTCAGAGTTTATGTACAATGGGTGTGTTCAGTTTTGCCGTTGTTGATTCTGTTGCTAGTGGAATTACTGAGTTATGGTGTGGTGGTTGTGGTTCTTGAATCAGGATTATAGCAAATTATAAGCACATATATTTAACATGTTCCAGGCGCAGTTTATACATCAATGAATCAATTTATGCATTACAATTTTTCCTTTTGGATGAATTGTTTAAGGCATCATATGAAACTGTTTACTGTTTTCTGCTTCAATGAATTTTTTTTGTCGTTCTTCATTCTAAAATTGTTTGCTTCTGTCATTTGCAGGTGACAAGTAAAAGAAGATCGCAAGTACAAGTAAAAGAAGAAGACAAGTAACAGAAGATGACAACTTCTTGTTAACTCTTTTGTGTTCTGTTCTTCATTTAAATGTCGTATTGCTTATGTCATTGTGTTACTTGTATTTATTTTGCTTCAGAACCACAACTTTTTGTAGATGCAAGTGTTGTTATGTGTATAGCTATGCTCGTGTGAAGAACAAGAGAGCCTCCCATGAGCTCTACCATTGGAGAAAACATAAGCTCTCATCTAATGATTTCAAAAAAATTTATACATAAAAAAATAGTGAGAGCCTCCCATGAGCTCTCACCATTGGAGATGGTCTAAGCAACTTGAGATAGTGTTGCGTTTGTTACTTTAAAATATATAAGAGTATAAAACCAACAAAACTGCATATTTAAAACCAACAAAAAAAGAAATAGTGTTGCGTTTGTTACTTTAAAATATACTAGATCATCACCCGTACTGTAGTACGGGTTGAATTTCATTTATTACAAAATTTATAAATTTTATGTTTTATAATAAAGTTGTGATATATTATAATAGTAAGTGAAAAAATAATATTTTTTTGTCAGTCCCTATATATAATATTAGAATGAATATATTTTCCTTTTTCTATAGTATTCAATTATGGATATTTTTTTTAAGATATGAAAACGGAAAATAAGATTATTTTTAAAAAAAATTAATATTGTTTGAACAATAAGTTAATTTATGTTAACAACCACAAAATGAGAGTGCATATAATTTAGTTAGATCAAAAATCAAAATATCATAAATGAATCGCATCTAAAACGTAGATTATTTTGAATTACTTAAAAAAATTAGCTATTATTTTGAATTAATTTAGCAAATTATTTTTTTCAAATTCTGATTCATTGGTTGTTGAAATAGAGATTTGTTTGCGCTAATTACGGAATTTACCAATTATTCACATAATCAAATATGTTATGAACATATATTTGGTATATAATAATACCAAATTTAATCCGTGTGTGGATTCTATATTTTCATTTTACAATCCGGATGAAAATATTGCGGCACAATCTATTATTTATTATTTTCAAAATTGCTTCCAGAATCAAATTTTCAAATATTTAGAAGTATCAAACCTTATTTAACTCATCTCATCATAAAATCTTAAAATGCCGTCTGTTATAAGGATCATAACTTTCTACCATATAATACATTACATTTAACCCGCCGCCTACTATAAATATTTTAAACATATCTTTTTAGAAAATCAAATTAATGTATTTATAATTTTTTTTTTATCTTTTTAATCTATTAAATATTTATGATATTCTTTAATATATTAAATTAAACTATTTTAAAATGTTCCAAATTAAAATCTTTAAAAAAATTTATTGTATTATGTAAAATTATGAATTTTTAAAAAAATGATATGAAATTAAATATAAATATTCAAATAGTTATAAGGATCATAACTCATTTCATCATATAATATATTATATTCAACCCGCCGCCTATTATATATATTTGTTTCAAAAAATCAAATTAGAGTATTTATACTTCATAAATTTTTTATCTATTAAGTATTGATGATATTAAAAAAAAAAGAATATATTACTCAAATATGAATTTTTGACCCGTTAAATTTGTTCTTTCATACATTGAATAATTTATATTCGTTTTTAAAAATTCAAATCTTGGTATATGCGGAAAAAAATTTACTTTTTTTTTTATTATATAGATGATATAATGATTTATTTATTTATAGAAATAGAATCATATAAAGATGAGAGGTGAAGTATAATGATTAATAACAAATTAATATGGTAAGTTAGATATCAAATCTTATATGTTTATTTTGATTGGTCATTCTTTTTAAGGAAATTAATAATAGATTTTCGTTTTTATAATTAAATTAAATTAATTAAATTGCATAAAATAGTATTTGACTTGTTTATCCTTAATGAGTTGAATTAATTTACTCTATAAAATTTTATTTCTAATGGCATTTTTAAGTAAATTCTTACAAAGGGAAAGGTTAATTAAAGGTAATCCATAAATTGTACTCCCCAAATAATAGTATAGGATAAGAGTATTAAACTGCATGATTTTTTTTTAAAAAAATCTTAAAACGTAATTTTTGCGATGTGATAGTTTTGACAAAAATAAGAACTCCCATAATAGTCTAAAAACCTTTGTTTGAATATTACTTTTGCTTTTCTCCTGTCTTTTATTGTTCGCATAACTAATTCAAGTGTTTGCAGCCAAATTTGGTTCGAGGTTTATTCATCTTTTCTACACTTTTAAAGATTGAGAGACCAGTCTTCTCTTCAAGGAAGCTGCAGTGAGGTTTCTTGAGTTTGATTCTAAATAAAGCTATAACTTGCTACAAAAGTAAACAATGTATACTTGAAGACAATTCTATAATAACGACCAGCCGACAATGCTAATCTATATCTCTAGTTTGTCCTAACACGTCAAGAGGGTTCGATTCGATTCTTTCTACTAGCATCTGGAGATTCTTAGTGGCCTCCGTCAAAAAAAAACGAAAAAATAATAACTAATTTCGTTTTGAAGATAGATGAAAAGTTCCTTCATTATGTTGTTTGATGTTTCAATAGGAAGAACATATGCACATTGTGTTGTTCAATCGAAGTTTCGAGAAACCTGTTCATGTCTTGTGTCATACTATATCAGATTCACTTGTCAGATCGAAGAAGAGATTCCGAGATTCTAGAACCTTCTGCAGCGCGTGTCTACATCTGAAGTAAAAAAAAAATGAAGTAGCTAAGATTCAGAGAGTTTGACTTAAACAATCGAAGTTGTGGGTTAGAGATTTACCTCCAAGGAAGATGATCAAGGAACATAGATGGAGAAACCATAATTTCTTTGAAGCTCTCTCTGTTTGCAACATAAGCTTTGTAACCATCAGTAACATCACAGATTGGCCATCCTCGCCATATCGGCACACTCATGTTGTTTCCTTCGGGTACAATATGAATGACTAAACCGGGCATGAACATCTCGGGAGCTTCATCATCGTCTTCTCTTGTTGGGCCTGTTTCCATAAACTGAGACACGGGATTATCCTCTGAGGCCAAACCGTGAAAAGGGTTTATGAACTCTTCGTCATCTTGCTGCATTTCTGCTTCAGCTTCTTCCCATATTGGGTATATTTGATCTTGTTGGCTTTCCGGTGAATTGTTAACTTACCAAGAAAAACAAGAAGAAGCAAATATTCCTCATTAGGTAATTTCTCTTGATGGAAAACTAAAAGAACTGAGTATCAGAGTGAGATTAAAGTTGTTACCAATTATTGATGGCATTGCTTCTTCTGAAGTATTTTCTTCAACATTTTCTCGTTGGCGTTTGCTCGCAGACAAAAACCGGCGTGCGAGTCTGAAAATGAGTGCTGTATCAGCTTTTGGGTCTTGAGACAGTACTTTGATTGCTGCTACTTGGAGCCGGCGGATTGATCCATATGAAAGTCGTGATGAGAATTCGTTATCGAGTACAATGCTGTTAAGAATTGCATCAAGGGCCTAAAAAATTAGTGACTTGTAATCTAAACCATTATAATCAGCATGATTCAAAAATTTACCTTGTAACAAATTCTGAACATGCGTCTGCCACATCTGAATCTACACTTGGGAGAGGTCCATAGGCATATACATATAGGTTAGGGAATCTGCGACGAAGCTACCCACCGAAAAGAAAAGAAAACTCAGAACGAAAGATATGTTAAAGGACGGTATGTAACCTTTTTATTAGTGAAGAACATACTCTAATTCCCAGTAATGAGGCGATAGCACCTCCTAAAGAATGCCCAACAATGCGAATGCTGTAGCCATCACACTCACACCCATCACCAATCAATGAGGACAAGAACCCAATTGATCCTGACTCTGCGTAGTCATTTGCATATTAGCGTAGAGAAGCTTGTATCGTGGCAATTTATGAAAACATATCGCAAAGGTACAACACCAATTGACAGTTATAGCTTAATTCATACCTCCAAATTTGGGGTCTCCTTCTATTTGCATAAATAGATCTCTTGCAGCTTCTACTATTCCTGAATGCCCATAGTGTTTGCGAGATGTATCCATACCATGTACATGACTGACAGAAAAATAATGAAACAGCAAAAAGGAGAATCATTACTACTGACGGGTGGAGTAGTGAGACCTCAACATAAATCAGAAGAAAGAGAGAGCATGCGTGACTTGAAACATCAGATATCACAGTTTTGAGTTATAAACTAAGTGGACTGCAGAAATTTTTTTAGATTTTACCCATCAACTAATATAACTTGTGAAACCAAACTAACAAGCATAAATATTGTTTTTGTATAAGAAAGAGATAGAGACTGACTTTGTTAGTCCATCCAAGTCCTCAACAGTTAGTGAACACGCACGGCCTAAACCATCAGTTATGAGGTCTTCAGCCGTCTCAGTACCCCGAACAGCAATTACAACACATCTAAGATAATGTAAGACTACAACAAAGTATGTTGCTTTACACTTCTCCTGCCACAACAGAATAATTAAACGTATAGATGAGAAAGATTCTGATGGATAAATGCAAAAACATATCAAACAACTTCGATAACAGTTTGTTTTCTACAAAAAACTGACTTTTTACAGTGAATCCGTTTCCATTTAGTGTCAAATGAAACAAGGCATACAAGATTTTTCTGCCATGGCTTGCTTTGGTCTATACAATGGAGGCACAACATTCATATGAATCCATTTTCATTCTTCGTTTTGGAACAGAAGATTAAAGGGAACAAACTTACCCTACAAATTCGACCTCTTCGAAGAACATGAGCAGGAAAATTTATAAACTTAAGGAAGGCAGCTGCATGACCTCGCCACCAATTATCACCATCAAGTTTAGGCCGCCTGCAAATAATTGAAGGAAGTTTCTTACATTGATATAATATGTATTTGTCCGTATCAAGATCAGACACAAGGGAAAAGTATGGAAACTGGAGAGAGTAAACTTCAAAGAAACAAGTTGAGTTTCTTCAAACGAGCTAACC